ATATCACAAATTTCATTTGATACCTAATTTCTTCCACTAACGCTTCATCCAGTGGAATAATGCAAAACAAATGCCGTTTGTTTCTGGGAAGTCTAATTGTTCGTTTTTTTTTTAAATTTCTTTCTCTTTCCACATCATCTTGGTCGTTGATTGGTGCTATGAACGGTTGGCAAAGCAATTACCCCATGAGTCACTACTTCTTCGGCTCTTGCGGAGAGTCCACTTTAATGCGAAAGTTTTGCGTTTCATGTCGTTGATTAACCAGGTTTAGTTACCCAAGTTTAATTGCGATGCCACTAATGGAGAGTTCGGAAATGGTTGGCAACGAACCACTTTGCTGAAATCAAAACACCTGTCTCAAACTGTTATTACAATGTTTTGAAATTATTGTGTTCAATCTCGATCATTCAATCAAGTTTGGCATAAGCCAACACCGTATGTATTACGTTGTTGTTATCTACAAGTCATATTCAACGGCTCATCTCAACATTTCAACAAGTAATTATCTCTTCGTTTCGAGATACGTTTTTTTTCAATAAATCATGACTGCTTAAAGTCAAAGTCATCAGAATTGATTATTATTTCCGATCCGAATCAACCTCTAATCCATATCCCAATCAAATTTGCCTTCCATTTTATCCTCTACATTATTCAATGAATTCATTCGTCCCAATAAATATCCTACTGATTCAATCGGTGTATCGCGGTTGTCGCGTCCATGAATTCGCACCAGCACGCCACCTCAACTATTAGCAGTATCTGTCCAGCCATACAACAAACTCAATTATAAGGTATAATTGTTACATTAGTAGTTTGGATCAAGTGAAAGGAAGTGCTTCAACTAGTATCAAATCTCATTAAACGAATTTATCAAATTTTTTCATTTTTTTATTAAGCGATTTCACTCGTCCCATGAAGATAATAGCGAATCTATTGATATTCAGACATCATTAGATGGGAGTTTACCAAAATAGTTTCATCCGTCCTACAAGTTCAGATTTGGCAATTATATTGGGTATTTAGCTAAACGTTAGCTGTAATAAATATGTTTTCAACAGTTTCATCTGCATTACTCTGTTCATTTCAAATTTGTTATTGTACATCATATCCCATTTTACTTGCAGATCATTGATCACCTTGCATATCAATCATCACTATTCACCTACATCGCATTATTTAAGCGAATTATAATTATTTAAATATACGTTTCTCGTTTTTCACATAATACCATATACATACAAAACCAAAACCCAGTGCCTAAATCGTCACATTTGTTCAGTCTTTCCACTTAAATCGAACACCATTCAAATGTTTCAATTGTATTATTATGCCAGATTGTTATGCTACGCATCACTACATGATGTTGGGACTAGCTGTTACTACATTTTACTGAAACATAAGCGATGTATGGGTGGCAGATTCGAAAACCGTAACACCAAATTTTTGGTAGCGGTGCTATTGTTGGTTAAACACCGAAGATCAAACACTGAATTATAGTGAATTAGTGAAGTGCGGTCACACCAAAGGAATGATTAAGCCGCGTTTGAAGCATTTAGAAGATATTTATACGTTTTCAGAGGTTGTACGTCGTCGTCCTGAAAGAGTAGGCTTTTGTTGCAAGATCGGTTCTAAAAAGGAGAAAGAAATTGTACACCACATTGTCTGCTAATGTTATGAGAGGAATTATTGTTGCGTCGAAAAGAATGCTGAAACATATGAAGTATCATACCACAAAAATCAGAAAAATATCGTGCACACGAAGTTCTAAGAAGGTAAAATTTGTATTATCACAAACTGGTGGATGTTCAAGTATTTTATTACCGTTATTGGCGGCTGTCGGTGCAGATGCTTGAATAAGAGAGTGCAGCACAATGAACCACAAAAAAAGTCGATCGTTACTGACGAGGTTGTTTGGAACGCTATGGTGAAAGATCGACACTCAAACAAGAATATCACTTCCACAAGCAACTAATCCTATCGTATCACATCTTGCACAATTGGGAATGGATATTCAGAAAATTCTATTCAACAAATCAGTGCGTGCAGACGAAAAATTCTTGAATTATTATCGATCATTTTCCCAATAAAAAAATGCTGTTGAAGAAGCCCGAAAGCCGACGAGTGTTGGTCGTTAAGAGCAGATTATCGAAACTCGAGTTCTGCTCACCGACGCAAGATCTATCACCCTGTATGCCTTGTGAATTCCACAAGATGCTTCCGACACAAAACATCATTAATACTCAAAAGTTGTTGCGAATTATCGAAGANGAAGATGATAATGTAAATGGAACAGCAAAGGAGAAATTTCGAACGATGATTGTGAAGCAGTCGCAGGCAGTAATATAATGAGCGCAATGGTCTTTTTAGCAAATATTCGTATGTCACAAAAGACACTCATTGGTGCACAATTCGTACAGAATCGTTTATGTGTGAGAGGACAACTTGAAAATGTGGAGAAGCATTGATGAATGCTGACGATAATGAATCCAAGATACATAGTGATGAATCATTCGATAGATCGATCACACAACGACGTACGCATAAGCAGCGTAACAAAAAGAATTTGAAAGGAATGGGTCACAACAAATTATGTGTACATGTTTGGAAAAACAAGAAATTCTAGAATGAATATGGACCGCTCCCCGTCGTACAGGATGTTTTGGTAGAGTCGATGCTCTACCTGGTCAAGCCAAACAAATAGAAAACTTTATATCCCGTACTCATGTTCAGGACTATTCACAATCAGCACATAAGCGTGCATATACACTGCACAAAGGCGTTAAGCGAACACATAAAAACTTCGCGTAACGGTATCAGAAATTGGAAAATCACCACAACGTGATTGAATGGTTTTTCGTGGAATTAAGAAAAATGATGACTGTCATACCTGTATATTGGTTTGTGTCGATGTAATTTCAAGATTTATAAGGATAGCACTTTTGCGAAAAAAATTTTCAGCGAATACTAAAGCACATCTCGAACGGATTTTTCAATATTCCTATTATCCGTGGTCGATTCAAACGCATCTTAGTGACTTCATGACGGAAGAACTGCATAACTACTATGCTGAAAAAAACAAGAATGCTGATCATCACCACATGTGCATTACAAAATGTGATTCGCCACATAAAAGCTAAACTTGGCTGTTGTTTCACTAAATCAAGATCGTTGAATATAATGGAATAATTTGCTTATAACGTTCTGCTGGTTGCCTTCCTTTTTCATCATGACGAATCAGTTTCCAATTCGCCTCGGGTAAGGAAGTGAACGCAGCGTGATATTGTTCTGAACAACGTTCTGCACCGAATGCTTTCATGAAATCCATTTCAAAATAGTAAGGTACTTCCATGATGTACTGGCTGCGATTGCTTTCGATAGCCTGCTAGATATTGTTTTTGTGATACCTCTGTAATCATCATCATCTAGTGAGGGAGAATTGCTCTGCCGAAATATGTAGAAAACGATAATAGTAGTTCGTCATCATATATTGATTTAATCATTATTACTAAAAGGGATTAGCTGATACCAAAAGGATGATTCTGTTGGTTATTGATCACTTTGTAAGCTGTGGTAATTGTAGATGAAACTAGGCATTCACATCTGCAACGTTGAAATGGCTGTTATGTGCTTACGGTTTCACTGCGTGAACATTGCTCATGGATTGCATACTGCAAACAGATCACTGCTATTTCCATCTTTGTGGAGTAATCTCTGTATATGGCGAGAATGGAATTACATTTATGTACGATATTCGACATTCAAACGCAATGATCATTGGTGAAGCATTCTATTAACTACATTTACATATTTGCGTAAATGTAAACACATCTCTGGAATCGTGTGATAAAATGTGATGAATGTGATGACAAGCACGATATAGGCTGAATTCGGAATTTGGTCAACAAAGTGGTTTCGCTCTAGAACCAACTACTGCATTATGCTAATTGTGCCATGCAATTAGTGCTACTCATTGCTCGTTCCATCGTTATGGAGTGATCTCTTTATACGGTGAGAATTTAAACGTGTCATCATGCGAACAATTCCAACGATATAGCTCAAGGATGCAAAATATTAATACTTCAAAAACAGAATAATACAAATAAAAATACAAGTAATACTGAGAATATAAATAATACTTCAAAAATTTGCTATGATGAATTAAAAGATGAGGATGGTTGTTGTCCGCACTTATACTCACTATAGTAATCTTATACTCACTTACTTATACTCACTACTCGTACTCACTTATACTCGGTTATACTCACCATTCCAATGCAGCTTTCTGTAATGAGTCCTGTTCATGGAGTATATGGGGGACAGGTGTTGAAACGAACATCTTGATGAGCTTGGTTGATGGTCAGCCGAAACCAGCAATCTGAGGACAATTTCATCTTGAGAGAGGGAACATTATCGCAAATTGAAGAGATCGCTCATGTGACGATTATGTTTTGCCGTCGAACAAGTACGGTGACAAATGAGCGTTGAGATCGTCCGTTCAATGGCTAACAGCAGTCGCCCTTTGGGAACCAAGAATGCGCGCAAAATTCATGGTCACATTACATTCACAGTTGTGCTAAGAATTTTTTGGAAAAGCAAACACCCGCGTCATTAAGAAGCCTGAAAGCTTTCCAGTTCTTCTACGCATTATTTTCTGCAAAGAACCGCCGGTCTCTCTTCAAAGAGCTTTACTTATAACGTTCTCCTGGTCGCCTTCCTTTTTCATCTTGACAAATCGGAGAGATGTCTCGCCTTGCCCGTCCCAATGCCAATTTGAGTGTGAACCCTCATGACGAAAAGATCTCACACCCTGTTATTGAGCAGTATGATCGATGAAACGTGCCAAATCCACTGCAGAAAAAAGTCGGTGGCAGTGGATGAATTATGGAAATATTTCGTCGCTTCGTATTACATAGTTGATTCGGAGCGCCGAATTGGATTCATTTGCATGATCCGCAAGAGGTGTGGCCGTATGGTTCTAGTTTCATTGGTTGAAGCACCCTTCAAAAGCACCGTACAAGCTGTATTCGTTCAGTATTCGACACCACCGGGAAGCGACTGTCATTGCGCCATGTCGCCTCTGGATCGAACGTCGATGTTGTTGCTACTTCAAGTGTTATTCGCCATCGTGAGTTGCCTTCAAGTTGCCGTTTCGTTTTTTGCCTCAGCAGCAATGCATCTGAAAACCGGTTATTAGCAGCCAACATCGGCTGACTGAGATGCTATTTTCGAAGGGGGGTTTTTAAAAACTATTTTCCGAAGAATTCCGTCTTACGAAATCAAACATCACACGTTCTACCCGAAATGTTACCGTCATTCTGACGTAACGGTTAAATCTGTCCTCAATGCTTAATGCAAAGAGCATGCACTGAGCCCATTCATTCGCAAACGAACCTGAAATGGATGTATAGTAAGGTGCCTAGAAATAAAGATGTTTCACAGATCATTATTAAAAAGATTTTGAAAACTGATCATTCGAGTAAGCGCTTACAGTGCCCTTTAGGCTTCTCATTCTTAAGAATTGGACGGGATGATTTGTTGCGCAAACTGAACCAATTTTAGCTTTCAACATTAGTCTTTGAGGGCCATGAATCTAGCTTGTACTATTCAGTTTTATCTTTTAAGTCATTCAGTTTCAAATACCGTTTGTTCTTCTCCATTTATCATCCAAATTCCACGAATTCTCTTTCCTGTACTGCACATATCATCCATAGCATTGTTGAACTGCACTGATCAATATCAGCATTTCACAGCACCTAATGAGTCAAGTAGGTAATACCAGCTCAATCCGTAACTAGCACTTCTCTTAATCCCCATGATCCATGACGATTCCATACAGGAATGTTTTGAGCCTAAGCACTTATTAGGCAGATTCAAATTGTGACAATATCGATACTACTCAATTTCTTCACCTTGCGCATGACTAGCAAACTGGTTTATGCTCCCAATTTTTTTCAACGGAAATTGTGAGAAGTGGGCAGCCGCCGCGTACTATTAAACAGCACATGCTGAGATGATAATATAATTGGTCTCTAACCTTCATTCAAGCCGACTGACCCATGCCGTATAATCACAAGGCAGTTAGTCAAATGAGCTGTTTGAATAGAACCATTAGTTACTAAATCCATTTGATTTAGAATGTCGAAGTCGTTCAATCCGAGCGAGCGTATTACGATGCAGCTCAGAGTTTCTCAACGATTGCAGGTAATGAGAACCCAGCCACAGGTACTATAAACTCTTCCACGTTTTTTTAATTGCCTTTCGAATCAGTCGGGAACTGCGGAGTCGCCGAGCTTCTGAGAGTTTACTCAATTACGCTGCTGTCATTAACTTAAACGTTCTCGCTGATATCGGACCAAATCATCAAATCCGTGAGGAGCTAAAGCAACCAATCAAAATGATTTAATCATGGAGTTCACTCAAAATAAAATTCACAAATTTAAAATCAGTGCAAGAGTGGGGTTGATTTTCAAATAACTAGATCAATTTGAAGTAAACGCATACATCATTTCAGACGGCGAAATACCTATAACCATCACAGACTCCTCATACACGAAGAGCTACGTTACGTCCGCAGATTACGTCCAACAAACTCATCAAAAAACTTCAACACCTAGCAATCAAAGGGAAAATTCCGAGTTCCCGACCTCCAATCATTTCGGGAACAACCCAGAACCTTCAACATCGTATCCTTCCCGGAACAACTACGATTCCGCAACATCATATCCTTGGCAGAACAATTACAGAGCATCAACATCCTATCCTTCCTGGAACAATTACGATTCCGCAACATCATATCCTTCCAGGAACAATTATAGAGCATCAACATCCTATCCCTCCTGGAACAATTATGATTCCGCAACATCCTATCCTTCGTGGAACAACTACGATTCCGCAACATCATATCCTTGGCAGAACAATTACAGAGCATCAACATCCTATCCTTCCTGGAAGAATTACGATTCGGCAACATCATATCCTTCCTGGAACAATTATACAGCATCAACATCCTATCCTTCCTGGAACAATTACGATTCTTCAACATCTTATCCTTCCCGGAACAATTACGATTCTTCAACATCCTATCCTTCCCGGAACAATTACGATTCTTCAACATCTTATCCTTCCCGGAACAATTACGATTCTTCAACATCCTATCCTTCCCGGAACAATTACGATTCTTCAACATCCTATCCTTCCTGGAACAATTACGATTCTTCAACATCTTATCCTTCCCGGAACAATTACGATTCTTCAACATCATATCCTTCCTGGAACAATTACGATTCTACAACTCCTTATCCTTACTAGAACAACTATGATTCAATGCTTTATCCTTGGTAGAACACTTACAAAACAAGAACATCTTACCCTTACTGGCGCAATCAATAAAAATCAACATTCTATGCTTACTGGAACAAGTGTGATTCTCTTTTTTACTATGTCAATTATTTCGAATGTATTCTTTTCTCGAACAATCATGATTGATGAAATTTATCATCACCTTGTGTTCAGAGGAATAATTGCGAATCTTCATTGTTGTATGTCCCATCTCAAACTCTGCTTATTTAACGGATTTTCCGCTATCGGTATCTAGAAGCTTATCGATTTAATATCGAATACTCTGATTCAATGAAACTTGCTAAACGTTATTTTGCTGGGTTTCTTCTTCCTGGGTTCATCACTAGGTTTTGCGTTTTTGGGTTTTTCTTCCTGGGTTTTTGCTGGGTTCATCACTGCGTTGCTCTGTTGTGACGAAGTTCCCGGCATATCACTGTCTGTTTTCAAGCCGATTTCCGATAGGGGTGCAGCATCTTTGACACCTATTTCAAGTTCTTCAATCGACGGTTTGCTACTGGCTTATATTGCTTATCCTGAAAAATCTTTCCGGGATTTTGGATCTTTCCTTCGTTGATTTCATCAGATAAACGTGAATAAATCCAACATTGTTCAATCGTTGCTCTCTTCATCAATACATTAATCGTTTGCTGCTATCGAAAACTGTTGAAAATGAGCTCAAACAAAGGGAATGTTTTGGCGACAGATAGCCGGAATGCAATTCAAAATCTATTACTGAGAGTTGTGCATGGCCTGGATTTACCCCGAACTCCTGGATTTTCTCATTACTTTTGCGATGACCCAATAAACCGAATGCTTTTACGGATAACATTGATGAACTTCGAATACGACTGCACACCTGATTCCGAACATTTCTTTGGGGCAATACTCGCAAAAATCATTGAAGGATACGACTCCGATTCTGAAAAAGCGTCCTGTTTTGCCCTGTTGATCACACACTGAAATCTGGGAAAAGTATGTCGCGGAAATCGTCTACATTTTACGCCAGCGATGAAACTTTATGCTCGGTGGAACTGAGTCGGTTTGAACATATCAATTCATTTTTTGTATTCCTTGCGCAAAAACGCTCCCGTTTCCAAATCTAGCCACCATCGTCATCTTTTTTTCATTTAGCTGAGGCAAGAACCCCCTTCCACGATTAGGCCAGAACCGAACACTTAAAAACGGCAGAACAGGGAAGGTAAGAACGGTGTTAAAATTCTGCGGTGCGGGAATAGGACCGGAAACGATACTTGGACTAGACGATTTTGGTAACTTGTGATTGTAAGCCGTTGACAAACATATCTCAATATCAGTAGAAATAACTGAAAGTTTGAAGTAATTATTTGATGATTATCAAATAGCAATGATTGAANAAAGCACAACTGCAATCACATTGAATTGTACTTTTAATTTCAATCGAATCAGAATAACAAGTTTAAGGTGAAATTCTGCAATGGAAAGTGAATAATGTTCATTCAAACTGATTTTGATGGACTCTTTTGGTTCCCTTGTACTGGCACTGGTCGTGATTGAGTTTGACCTTGAAAATGGGTAATTGAACCTTGACGCTAAACGTGACGACGATGACAGTTATTATGAACACTTGTAAGTCAGCACGCTGAGAAGGTGAAACTTATTGAAATATCAAATTAATTCGAAGGTCTGAACAAACATGTGATTGTGAGTTGGAATGGTGAAGAACTGCGCTTGCAGATGACAGTATTTGAAGGAAATGACTTGATAGAAACACAATAAAAGCACGGCATGAACAAGTTTAGATCGACACTTTGCGCTTCGATTTCCCAATGTCTGCAACAGCAAAAGGAAAATGAGACTGTTGTAGCGGTAATTGGCTGTGTTCTAAGAATTTTTTTAAGGCATTCGCGATTTTCGTGACACTCATCGTCAGTGAACGCAGTCTATTAATTGCATTCGAGTTAATGAATCTGAAACGACGCCTTCTCGGCTCAGTCAAGAAACAAAAGCAAAAATAAAACCAAAAAGAATGAAGCTTCAACAATGTTTATATTCTTAATGTAGAGATTCTGCTGGATCGAATAGGGTACACAAAGTCATATGTTAATGAGAAACTTGAGAGTACGACAGGCTTGATGGTGGCACCCATATAGCCTTGAGATAGTACATTGCAGCGTTTCAAAGGAATCGGTTTTTTTTTTCTTAGTTTACTCCAACTGTGATTGGTCGGTCCATCAACTGCTGCTATGCAATATTGTATACCTGTAATCAAAGAACCGCAATGTCATTCACTGAGCAATTTATAATGAGAGGATCGTCAATTACATTATTCAGCGATATTCCACATTCATGCTCTCAGTGACGCAAGCTCTTACAACATTACCGTAAAAATTTTACACAGGTTGTTCGGCGTAAATTATAGATGCGCTCAACAATATCATACCACTATCTTTGCTGCTGTTGAATATGGATGCAAGCGGATGATGTGCATCAGTTTTCAAAATAACATAGCATGAATGCGACATAGTCATTCGACCGGCACTTGATCAGGCCGGTGATATGCACTCACGATGATATATGCTCAGGCTCGGCGGACTACTCACCAGAACCGCTGAGGACCCCGTTCCTGGAATCCCGAGATTTGAGTTCTGATGCCGATCCGTAAATTTACGTTTTAAAAAACCCGGGATTTCGGGACTTGATGAAGCAAGTCATTTCGTACGATTTTGGCAATAAATTCATTTAAAGTTACGCATTAATCATTCCTAGATCATTGAGATGTAATGGAATGTGTTGTGCATCACCCTTTTTTGAACATGACGCTGAAAAAATTTGTAAAGTGCTCTGATGAAATTGAGCAGATCCTTGCCCATCTAAAACTTACATACAAACTCAGTGAGCACGATCGTAAAAAAATAAAAGACTTATGCAATGCAATTGGCGTTTTCGAAATTGCTATCAACACATTGTGCCGTCGAGATATCGATTTGTTCAAAATAGATAAAACGCTTCAGTTCTTCGTCGATGCATTAAAGAAATTGAATACGAATATCGCTAATGATCTCTTGCATCCACTTCTGATTAACGAGCCTAGAATATCAATTCTGATGCAGTTGATGAGATATATGGACGATCCTGATTACATCCAGAAGGGAACAGATTATATGGGCTATACGACTGTGAGAGAAAATATTGTGGAGCTGCTGATGGATTTATTTTCGAGGCTCTCCGATACGAGGAGAGAACAAAGTGATTAATCTGAATCCACCTTATGGATGGCAACTGATTCTTCTGATTATATGAATGAAAATTATGTTCCTCTGTCAAAGAAAAAGAATTGATGCTGAATTCCGAAAATTCCGTGAGCTGTGAAAGAAGAAATGACAGAGTAATCTTTGAAATGCATTTGTACGGAGAAAATGGAAATGATGTCGAATATGAAAAAATTGTACGAGTCGATTAAAACGATCCCACCGACGAGTGTCGAAAGTGAGTGAGCTTTCTCTAAGTTTTTATTTTTTGTACAAAACTGAGAACGCAAATGGGTAATGCAACTATCAACGCTCTCACGTTTCTCAGAGCATATTTCAAACTCCACTAACTTGTATTCTTACCACGTTCTTGTCATACTCCTGTCATAATATTATTCGTTACAATATGTTTTGTTGAATAATTTGAATTTGAATAATGTCGCAACTGAGCCATCTTCATTTGTCTTTATTTTTATTAATTTTATTTCTTTCGACGACGATATCTAATCGTAAATCCATCAAAGATTTTGGACCGAAACGGAATCGAACTCACGCGCTCTGAACAGATCATTATTAATGGGTTGAGAACATGACACTGAACCGCAGTTTTAAGTTTTATGAAGTGTGTATAAAATTTTAATTAAAGCGCTCCTTCTGCATTCATTTGCTGTGTTCAAAAATGTTCTCTGCAAGAAAGGGGAGCTTTCAGGGAATGAGAGAGGTGGACGCACCGGAAAGCAATAGGTCCCTCAAGAGGAGAAGATCTTACTGATATGGCGTTCATCGAGAGAAAGAAGGATTACCATTAAGGTTACACTCTCAAAATAATGATAAGCAATTTGTGTGTCTCGTTAATTTGTGAGTAATTCGAAGGGGCGCCACATTAATCGTAGGGAATTCGGAATTTTGTTTGTGAAAGCGTTTCTGATGCGAAGATCACAACCCAATTTTGATAGACCTTCATGTGCACTGTTTAAGGACAATTGGACTATCAAATTCTATTTGAATGATCTTTGCATCCGCTTTTCTGAACCAAAAAATTTTAGTTTAAAAATCCTTGACTTTCTTCATCTGAAGAAACGAAAACTTTTCTTTTGCACGGATCACTGAGTGTAGAAATCAGAGAACCGGTTTTTGAGAAAAATAATGTCAAATTTCTATGATCATCCTTGTCACAATTTATCCATTCGTTGATATCCTTTTCACTATTCAGCAATTCTTGATTCATTTCCAATCGAACACTCTTATCGAGACACATCGCATCAAAAGTCTCCCTACGTTCTTATCAATTCAGTATTATTATCTTCCAAACAATTCGTTCATCTTCGTTGTTATACATTCACTTTACGGGGTTTCAACAATTTAAAAATCATCACCATCACTAATGGCTAATTGCGTTTTATCAGTTTCCAATTATATTGTACAGCTTGGCCAGTCCTGAATGCTGACGATGAATTCACTCGTAAAATTCGAAAAATTTCCACTTCCTTGTTGACGCAAATGTTATCTCTCGATTACATCTTTATGATACGTGAATGACCGATCTTCATATCCTAATGAATGCACTTAAAGTTGGGAACCAACAAATTTTTTTCGATGGTCACTGACCGAACGAACACGCTATCGTTGGCTGTCGACCCAACTCTAACAGCAAATGCAATCGTATAAACAGTTTATTAAATTGTGATCAATGGATTGCGCGTAATTTTTCAACATTTCACGCTATGTATAAAAATATGTGATTTTTGGTTTGCATGGCTTTAGAATTTTTTTCCGCTAATCGTATTGAGTGATTTAATGGAGATCAATCATAAGTAACGAAGTAACGAAAATGACTAATCACCACTTTTGAGCAAATTGTCAGTTATCCTCAGTTTGAGCATCATTCTTGCACAAAGTAGGATTAATGTCGCAGTGGAAAACGAGCTCGAACTTTTTTGATCCATTCGATTACGATCTTTTTGGATCTGATTGTATGTGTGTGTGCGCTGAATGGAACCCTAACGTAGGCAAATTACTATTCGATGAGCCCTTATTCTGCACCGCAATTTACCCATTTGCATCAGTAAATGAGATATTTTGGTCCATACCCTTGTGTTGATTTCATCTGTTTTTTTTTTCGATCACATCTTTTTCGCATCGCAGGTAAACAGTTCGAATTTTTGACTGCGACACTGTAAAAAAATTGCTTCAAAGTGAAAAAGGTGAATCTGGTTTCTGACGCGAATCGTTTCTCTGAAATTGTTTTGAAGCATTTGATGTGAGTGATAACCTCGGCAGTGTTTCATAACTGGTTAGTTCTAAAAGATTGGAAATTCAAGTTCATCTAGAGAAATAAATTTTATACCCACAGAATGTGATGATCGACTTAAGATGAAAATCTTCTTCATCTGCAGTTTAATCAAATCTTTTCAGTTCAATGTATTATTCACTCAAAAATCCAGTTTCTTTTGTTTCCTTCGTAAATTCCTTTCGAATTATTATTTTTCGATAGTATTGATTACTTTCATCGATTCAACAAGTGCCCAATAAAATACTGCGTGTTTTCAGTCTATGTCCATTCTAATGGGCCATTGTAAACTCATCATGAAACACATCACTTGATATTTGCCAAATTTTCAGTATTTCAATGAATGATTAGCTCAGCATCTCATGCATAGCTGTTCAACATTCTAAGCTATTCATCTACATAAACGACTTTCGATTCGCATAGTTTCGTTCTCTTACATAATCCTAACAAGTGGCTTGAGCAGTCATTAAATATGAGAAACAAACTGTCAAAGCTACCAAAAATGATCGATCACCACCTATTTGCACAGATTTTCTGATTTTTTGTGAGGCTGAAATTGCCGAATTCTCTTCGCTCATTAAATTTTTCATGATTCGCATCTGTGAATCATTGATTACTCGAATGAAAATAAATGCTTCGTCATTTTCACTAGAATTAGATACATTTATCCATTGTTGGTGTGTCACTTAAAACCTCGAATGATTTTATGAATAAGATTATTTTGAAATTTATGACTGTTCACATAATGTAAGATGTAAAAAAGCGGATTCATCAAACTGGTCAAGCATTTACCATTTTACGGCTGATTCACAGTAAGCCAGTTTTCACAAAAATTCCCAAAAATAATTTCCAGTTCTTAAAATTTCGCATTTCCATCTAACTGCAGGACCTCGTTTCTATTTATCCGTCTGAATTAGGTGACTTTGTTTAGGTGATTAAACTTTTGCGTGATGTTATTTCGACTGCGGTAATGAATTCGTGCTGAAGCTGACTATAGTTCAAGTTATACTCTCACTGCTAGCTTCAAATTAGCACTATTAGTTCGGCCATCAATGGTATTGATTGCTGAAAAAAGTCTGAAAAGTATATGTGATAGATAAAAACATGGACTTGACCTAGTGAGAAAACGATCAATGTCATATGATTATTAATAGCATTAGAACGCTATCTTTGCTAAAATAAGATTTTCATCTTTTCCAACTTTTCATTTTGGAAAGATGATTTCCATAGACAGTTATGAACCTGCTGCAATTTTTTTCATGGTTTCCAAAAAACGAAAGAATTTCTGACAGAACGGTGATTCATTCTGAACTATCCGGTGNACTTTTTCACAAGGTATTTGCGTTCGTTCAATGCAATAACGTTACTGATGTAAAGTGCCCCACTTTAGATTGTCTTACCATAGCGGATTTGCAAAAAAAATCGATTGTATTCGAATTGCTTCGTGTCCACTTCAACCAGTACACCATTTCATTCGTTCTTATTTTATGTCACCTGAGATTTGCTATAAATTCACATCACATTCTGAATTTTCGAACGGTTTTTCATTAGTCGCTTTAAACGCTGAAATGAGTGTCTGGACAAAATAGGCATTGATTTCATATAACTAATATCACTGAATGAGTTCCAGATGATGAAATATTTGTTGTTGTTATTGCTGAGTGTGAAGAGTGCTCAATCGAGAGAATGCGAAGTTGATGAAGAGTGCAATGAGCAGTGGCCGAAGGCAACATGTCGTAACGGACGATGTGCGTGTCCTCCTAATACTCTCAAGTGAGTTATTAATCACGTCCGCCACTTTGTTCAGAAGTATTTACCTGGATGTGCTAAAGAGCACATTGATTTGGTTTAAGCTAATTGCAATTTCTGATAGTAGGTGAAATGAAGTGTTTTGCGTGTTTGATGATAAAAATTTGCTTATTTGATCATCCATTTGTTTTGCGTGCATGATAAAAATTGATTATCATCAGTTTGAAGTTATAAAATTAAACCTTCATTCAAAGGATTATGAAATATGATGTTCAAAGGCCAACAGAAGATGTTTATTAAGAATCACTTGACTAGTCCTAATACAATATTGTCAAATTATTTTCTTACCATGCACTATTTTAACTATCGCAATAATTTCGTTCATTCCTCAAACACTTTTTAACCCACATCTGGTAAGTGCTGTTATTCTCATTTCTAGCAACTAGTCGTCCATTGAAATGAATTCTTCCAAATTCAATCACGCAATTAATGAATTTTAATCATGGAAGTATCACTGAGAGTGAGCATACCGTTTCGATTCGATGATTGAAAATACAGCTCAGAAGGAAAAGTGATTCGTATGGATGGGTATGTTTATCGTTAGTGGATGCTACTACGGGTCAGCTTGGACCTCCGGTTACGTGTCCTTTCCCGGAAGGAGCCGGTTATCGATCTGTGCTCGATCGTCCCGAAACAGTATTTTGTAAGTCGAAAAAGAAGAATAGTTGTCCAGCGAGCTATGAGTGCATAAAAACGATTGGTATCAAGAATGCACAAGGTGATGGCGTTTGTTGTCCACGGCGAGGTCAGTTATGTATCATTTGCGTTTTTACGATGCAATCCGAGTAAATTAATGAATCGCAGTCGAAACCTCATCCTTTCTTCTGCTATTAGATGCTTCGTTATCTGTCATTCATATTATTATATCTGTTTCGACTGCCGATAATTATTTTGTGGTGTACGTACTCAACCTAATACTTCTAACGATCAGCAATATTCATGTAGAAATAATGCAAAAATATTTTCTTCGCAAAAATACAAAAGTATTTCGGTACCCCTGTGCAATATGGCAAACATTTGTCGACTGGCAGTCTCGTCAACTGAAATTAGAGGGGAGGGCTGAAGCTTAGCCTCAGGCTTGGAATTTATGCTGAGGACCAAGCTTGGGCTTCTGACCGAGGTTGTCACATCGTTAAGCATTAATCTTCATTAATTTTGTGCATTATTCTTGGGTTAGCAATATGTCAGCGTGAATTCATTGCGATCAAATATTCATTGCATTATATAATACTATCATTAATTCATTGCTTTGATTCAATGGCGGATAGAAGCAATTGACTCATCTGAACGGATCTGACGATTGTCCTTTAATGTGACTTTTAGTTGTATTGTAATTTCAGCATTGCTTTCTTGCAACATATATTTTTCATCATAAATCTCGTATTGTAGACCTTGCCAGCATTCCATTTGGTTTGTGCGAGGATTACGAATGAGTGGGAGTTTCACTGCGAAATGTTGCTGTGCGGAAATCCGTACGAATCTTGAAATGCCGTGTCGCCTCGGCGAAATCCCGCTCCTTTTTCTAAACGTAGTCTATCTATACCATTCAACATAGACCTACCTATGTGAGATCGAGCATCTGAATGAAAGCATTCAATTGCTGAAGTACTAATTGAATTGCACTAGGGTTTGATCCAACGTTGTTTAGTGTCTACGGGGTTTGTGGGACCCCTGACCTTACCTACTTACCCTTACCCTTGGAGATCCCTGAAAACACTTCCGCCCTTGACCCCCAATCTGAGACTGTTTTTTTCTGATACCACTACGATCAGATACTTAATTCGTACCACAATCTGAAGTTTACAGTTCCTTCATTTGCAGAAACAACATGCAAACAAAAGGTGAGTGAATCACCTGACGGCTGGGTATTTCGATGGTATTTCAATGGCAGTTCTTGTGAGCAGTTCAAATGGAATCCAGAGAAAAATTCGACGGCGAACAATTTCGTAACAAAAAAGTTATGCGTATCGTATTGTGCAGATTATGCAAAATGAACTCGATTCGAACTGGTCTCGTTGCATGAACACGACAGTTCATTTTTAAATGTATTTTATTCATCGATAATTGAATGGTACGATTAAAACATTGCAAACATAATGTGAATAAGGCTGAATACAGAAATGATCAGCAAAGTGATGTTCATAGATGCTGAGCGCTTTGCGCTTGATAATTTTGCCACGTATGTATCCCCAATGTAAAGCATTTTCACGTTTACACCTTGAGTGGCCAGAAAACGATCTAAATTTTACGTTTCACAAGACTTGTTCCATCAACATATAAATCTGTCATCGATGAGATTCCAGTTCACTGCAGCAATGGAAAGTGAGCATTTTTTGGTTCCTTAGAATAGTTTCAAAAAGTATTGATGTCTTAATGAAAGGAAAACATTGTTTTTCATACCATTTCTTCGTTTAAATTAATAATTCGAACAATATGAAGGAGCCTGTTCCTAATCAACAAATAATTCATTGTTAAGCAACTTATACCAACCAATTTACTCATGAAATTTCTCATCATTTTAGTGCAACCTGATGGAAATGCACACAAAACTATAAGAAATGGGCTCTATTCAGTCTGAAAAAGCATGTCCCGAAAGCATATTATATTAAAGGAACGATAATTTATACCGAAATCAATAATGAGTGGAGCACCCCTATCCTTGGCACTATCAAGTTCACTCCAGTTGATATCCTGCAAATAAATCCATAGACTGCTTTGGAGCGCATATTTTAGTAACTCATTTTAGTTTGCAAAAGGCACTCCTTCGGTACATAAATTAGCCGTTTAACGTTTATTTCAGTCAGCTGCAGGTTTTTATTTCGAGTGATTATTTGTAAGTAATATTGATGATTCATTGATGCATCATAATACTGACGCATTCTGTTGAGAAATCTCATAGAAGCAACAGCATTAACGATCGAAATGATAATCAATAGCATGACAATATTACAATGGAATCACTCACCTCTATCAGATATTGTGTCAGCGAAAACTGAATAATCCCTTTACTTTCCAATTGACAATAATGATTAGGTTCGAAGGTAACGAAGGTAATCTCAACTTCTTTATTTCCCGGCAATTCATCAGCCTTTATCACTTGTTGATTATCACGCCACACACGGAAGACACCGGATAGTGATTTAGATGAAGCCATCTGACGAAATATTCGCATAATTCTCATTTAGATTCATGCTCGCACTGTTGTCCGTGCTATGAAGAATCAGAATTGACTCGCACGAACAGGGGATGCGGAGTCTGACAAAGGTGATATCAAAAGATAAATCTCCTTCAGCTGATCATGAATCCGTCTTCAGATATGGCCAGACACTTCCAGGAATTTGCTATGAGCCTCAGTTAAATTCGAAGTAGAAACAAGGTGTACAATAATACCAGTGTGGTAGTTTTAGCCTAGTGATCGACGCGTTAGGCAGTGGCCACAGAGGTTGTTGGGCCTTTCCACATGATCTCTCTTTTTTGCAATTTGGATTCATATGCTGTCGATTATTGCATCGTCGAATTTACGAAAAGTTCAATTTTTTATGTTTTGTTCTTTTTTGGATATTGTTTTTTTCAGGTTTTATTGTGTGAAGCGCATATTAGGGTGATAATTTTGTTCAGCTGTTTTCTCGCATACAAATAATTGTCACTAATGCACATGCACATGCTTATGCACCACTACAAATTGATCGGAATAAAGAAACTTATTACTATTTGAACATTTCACGAGTGAACATTCAATATGTGACTGTGTACAATAAAATTTTAAAACGCGAGAAGAAAGCAAAAAAGCAGACTAAAGTTGCACAAAAAGGGAATGCTGAGGTATTTATAAGCATGCGGTAAGATATGAAAGCTAAACTATAAGAATCCACTTAGAAAGTAGCTCAAGCTCTTCCAGTCGCCTCTCCGAAGACGGATTCTAAATCATCTGGAAGAACCTCATCGTTCAATATCAAGATCAGTCAGCTTTGCTATTCCCTGTTCTTGCTGATTTCTTGTTAGCGATCGANTATTCTAAGGCATCCATTCAGAAACCATCACAGGCCCAGAGGAATTTTCATGGTGGAAACTCATCGATGGTTACATTTGACAATTTCGTGAAAATTCTTACATTAGACAAATGTTCATCGAAAAAATATTCGTGAATTCACCGTGCTCTTGCGTGCTACATTTATTGCTTGTTGTTATTCATTAAGTCAATTCGACGAGTCAAAGACTGACTTCAAACAGTGTAAATGCTTATTGAACAACGTACATAGAATGCATTAGTTGAGAAATTCCGTTCGGTGTCAAATATTTTGGAAACGTAGACCACCGTTCCAGTTGAGAGACGTATCTTAACATCGTAGCTGAACAAACGATTAGTTATTATTGATGTTCATAGCACTGCAAGATTAGGCAACTGCTGATCATTTCGACATTGGCATTTGCGGTTATCATTCAAGGTTTGATTGATGACTGATTGAAGATTTTCTTGGAGGTGAGGTGAATGAATTTGATTCAAGATCTAAAGCAATGCTAACAAATCAACTAACTTGCACGTCGTTCCCAAGCGAGCTGCTTGTACCATATAAAGTCTGTTTTTGTCCAATTTACAAATGCTTTTAGGTTTGAACTGTTTTGTTATTGTGATCACGAAACGTGGAATGTGTCGCATCTGAATGTGTTTGCATTGAACAGTTCCTTAATTATTACATATCTAACAAATTATCAAATGCATAAGAATGACTGCGGCACTTGCTTGATGTGGTTGGACTGGCATGGCGACCCCAAGCACCTACAGCGTTTCCTGGCCTCCAATCCTGAACCTATCATTCTCAGCGGTAAGCACAGTTTAAAAAATAACTCTTTTGGCTTATTTCAGTAATTGCGAATTTTTCTCGCAACTTTCTATCTAATTTTGGCCAGCTGACACTGCAAGATAGTTGCCTTCAAAAACCTATGCGAACTGCACATTCCTGTCAGCGACCTTCAAAGCTCTTATGTATTCTCATTTTCAAAAACCTCTGAACTGCTCGTGCGCAGTAAAATTGCGTTAAGTCAACAAAACGTGCAAGAACGTGCGCAATTCTCGAGCAAAAACTAACACGTTCGTCATACGAATCGTATCGTGCCGATTTTGCTACGTCAACAAAAACAGCGATCGTTACAATGAATATCAGCAGCATCAAACAGCATCGAGCTGCAATTTCTTCTTTGAAATTACATTACAATTGTTACGTTACTACTTATACTAGACTTTATTAAATCGATTCATAAAAAGCGATTTGATCTACTACGACTCACAGTCACCAATTTTATCGCTTCATCACCTAACGCTTCATTCCGTCGGCAGTATGACCTCCAAATCACTCATTTTCTACGAATAACGAAATCAACTCGACACCAAACCGAATCAGTCTGATCAATCCCAGAGAAATCGTCCAACTCACCATTCATTGCGATCGTATGAAGTGGCAATGAAACTTTCGTAATTTCATTTCGCGTTCAAAACATTCATGTTTACTTTTACATAAATCAACTTTTTATGCAGTTTTCATATACGAATTCATAAATCTTTCACCGAATTAGTACGATTGAACTTTTACAGATTTTCATTTTGCTAAACGTTAATTGCACATTTCATATTGCTTTCCGTACAGGTTTTTACGTTCTAAATCTATTGTTGCTCGATATTTTTCAAATAGTAATGGTTTTGTTTGCGTATTTGTTGAGAAATATTCTCACTTGTGAGAAATACAGTATTTGTGCTCACTTGGCCTGCTCGCCTAGCCAGCCGGGTGGCTACAATCAAGGCTAAAACAATGCGAACGGAAACGCGAGCATCGTGGCTAGCAACGTTATAAACGTTTGATAGCCTGGCCAATCCAGGTAATCCAGGTAATTTGTTGAGAAAATGAGCCTTGTAAGCATTGTGTTGTAATATGTACCGTAAATGGCATTCCAAAAGTCGATATCATTTGCAGTTTAACAAGAAGATTTTTCATAAACTTGTTATCTGCATAAAACTTACGACCGTATTCAAGCATCACAACAGATTATATCACGAAATAAATTTTAAACCTGTGAACTTCTGGCGAGCAGGCTTTGCAAATCACTAATGAGAGGCGAAAGAAGCCGATTGAAAAGATTTGTGATCAAGAGCTTTGAAGAATGCCGCAGTTATACTATACGTATATATTCGATTACATAACTTAACTGGCTACTTTAATCGGTTTTTACATAATATTAATAAAACATCGTTTCTTACATAATACATAGTGAGGCCGCCTTTCATTGAATTTTGTAGGAGAATCAAAGTGAAGTTGAATGGTATGTGAGTGCTGATTACAGAGGTGACGACTGATATGAATTTNTTTTGATGACTCTAATTACATAACATGCAATCAGCAAGGCGGTGGTTATTTCTCGGACTTTTATTCATCAATAAAGCTTTAACAAATTTACACAACAACGTTTACAAAATTATAAGATGGAGAATAGAATTTTGGTCAACTTTTCGAATCAACAAATTGGTCTTTTTTCTTTTCGAAGGAATCCTTTCCAAGGAATAACTGAACAGGACACACTTTTCACTGATGAACAATCAAATGCTGAAATCCAGTAAAAAGATATTGTGCTTCGAAACTTACGAAGGAAAGCTTACGACTCTCCATCTTCATCAACACGATGCATTAGCGTGAACATACTTTTAAATAGGAATGAAAAAGACTTCAAAAAATACAATCTGTACAGTTTACGGTACGGTACATACGTTAAAATGGTTACAAATTTTTATGTAACATCACAGTAATAAGGTATTTGAAAGAGCATGCTACAGTGTCTCGTGCTGAAAGCCAGCCCATTTACAGCAGAGGAAATTCATGAATACTCATGCAAATACGATTAATGTCATAACTTAGAACTGATCGATTTCTGATGCTCAGATAGACATTCAAGGAGCAGGAAACGAATGAAGAGCGATTTTATACGGTAGAACTAGTCGAAATTATGAAAAGTTTGGACAAAAGACAAATATATCAATATAATAGAGCACATCCGTTACACATACAATGCAATTACACACAATAACTGCTCATGAATCATTTCGAATTATTTGCGCGAATTACTATTGAAATATTCAAGCAGAATGTTAATATGAACTAGTAATCATAATGTTAAATAAAATGAAACAATAAAATGGAAGTATCAACGACATCAAATACTTTTACCATGACAAGGTTGTGGAGCGTAATAGGAAGATTGCATTGGGAATTGATAGGCATTCAGTGGATTGATCATTGGAGCAAACATATACGCTGACGGATTCCACATTGGATAAGTCCAGTTCGGAGTCGGAATTGCATATGGAGCCATCGGAGTCAATGAAGACTGAGGCGAGCGCATCAAAGCTGAACTGTCGTACTTTGATGCACCAGCGAATTCAGTGGGAATCATTGTGGTTGAACCGCGAGAAACTCGTTTAGATGATGGTGAAGGTGATGAATCTGAATATAATTACGAAGATTAACTCAACAAACAGCTTCATAAATAAAGCAGTTCTGGTTCACAATGTTATCAGGGCACTTTTGGAACGGCTTATCTCATCGTTTTCCGATTATCGATAACACTTTTTGGGCATGCCGAAGAACGGTCAAATTCTGATGAATTTTAAATCGTGGAATAATTAAATGATATCGCGACCAAAATGATATCACTGAATGTGATAACACAGTTCAAAACGGATAATTCAAGAAGTTTCATCTCACTCGGACTATTTGATAACGATCGTTTTCGCTCGGAACCTTCTCGAAATCCTTTCGCGAATGGGTTGTGTTCAATTTTTAGCTTGATAATATTTTGATTCTGGTACGCTGTTACGGCTATGAAATCCATTACTGGGTCTGAAACCATCGCCACAGGAACAAGTTGATTTTGCATAGGTTGATATACGCCTGATGTTGGTGAATAGGGTACTGCTTCGCTGATTCGATAGACGTGCAAGATGGGGCGATACTTGTGCATTGAATACAACTGTATCTGCAATTTCTATCATCTTCATTCCTGGTCTAATCGATCGATTCAGAATACAAGCGTTCAAGATAACTTGACTTTTTATCAGTTGATGATACAGATATATCGTAACTAATCGGTTTGTGCCAATATCGAGTATCATCGGAAAATTTCATTAAGAACGGTTTTCATCATAGTTGTTCAAAATAATGTTACTCCGAAGTGACCTTAATTCAGAATTTCACAAAGATATCTTCAATTACGAAACAAATTGAGTGCTCTGAAAGGATTTGTTGCATTATGAACGACTCACACCTCTTACTAACAATAAGCATTGACTATTACTAGTATTATTTGTAATTATCATTTCAATTACAATAAATGGTATTCATGTGACTGCTATTATCTTCATATTTGCTGTCATTTTGTGACACGACAGCGATAGATTTAGTGCACGAACTGAAGAATGAACGAGTGAATCACTAAACGAGATATGGATATAGTTGTTAGAGAGAATAGTAAAAAAACGATGGTCAGTAATTAGTAAATCAGAAAATGTGATGTTTAATAAGAGATTGATGATATCTTTCTTTATACGATCTACTTATCGCCCTCAAGAGTGGGCGCCATCAGTGATCGCTATCTTTACGGCGTATATGTTCAGTGAATGAAATCCCTAAGACAATATACCCAAGCTAATTTACAACCTATTAATGATTATAACACTGCGATTCATTCATTATATGCACTCACATCAGCGCTATACTATCAAATCTTACTGCTAGATCATGTTCATTTCCCATCACTACTTTGGATTGTCTCAATTTGCAGACATATAAATGAAGAATGAAATATCTCAATGAAACTGAGTATGTATCCTTTATGAAGAGTTTTCAAGTTCAGATGGTTTCAATCATAAATTTTGAAAACAAAACGGCGAAGAGGTTAGGATTGATTGTGAGGTCGTAAACAGACAAGATAAATTTGCATATCATCTCTACTTTATTAAAGTGTTTCGAATAACGTATTAGTTTTAGTAATTAATATTATGAAATCTCAAAAATCAAACATGGGTGATGGTAAGTTTTATTCACAACTCACCAGAACATACACGGATAACGATCAATTTCATTCCTGAAGGGTGTTCTACATTTGAATTGGTACAATATGTGTTCTTATTCTACTAGGAAGACTTAGATGAAAGTAGCTATCAGGTGAATTCTAACAGCAACTATTTCAGCATCCAAGATGTCCATTTTTATCTACAAGTAGAAAATGTTTTCAGAAGTCGTTTATGTTGACCCTTGAAGAGCTTAGAACGGTAAGAAAAGATGTTGTGCTTGATGAGATGTTGATGAAGACAAATAAAAAAGTCAAGCGTTCTGTTGAATTGCCCTTAGATTGCTTGAAGGTAATCGCTGATCGTCACTGCGTTATGCAATAACTCTTGAGGATATGTTGATGGTATATGAGGTCAACATGTAAAACGAATTTATGAATACCATAATTTGTGATCCTACATCAGTAATACCGATTTGTACGACAATTAATACCTCACAATCATCGTGACAAGCGTATGTACTGTTACAACGGATGAGTATAACTCTAATCATAAATTATATTAATCATTTCAAAATTTTCCTTAGAGTTCAATAAAATTAATGTGAATTGATCTCTGTGATAAAATAGTGAAAGAATTAAGTAGAGATATATGATGCCGAACAAATTAATCTACGGAAGAATTATTCCGAATGCAACGTTTAAACAACTGTGATGGAATATTTTTTGGGAATGAACGCTTTTCAATGGCCGTGTTTGCAACACTCATATCGTATATCGCAAAATGAGTAGTTCAAGGTGTGATATTAATAACAAAATTCTATTGAGTAGTGTATTGGCAAAGTTCATTAACAATTTCATTATCAAAAATGTTACTTACGTTCGGTCCAACATCTTGAGTGCTATTGGTCAATTTGACACGATCAAAGCAAACAGTACCCCTCATCCACGCCTTACCACTTTGTGAAATGCCGTCTTGGTGATGAATCGCTCTCGACGGCGTTCGTGGATCAGCACGACCAGCCGATACCCACTCTCCATTCGTAAATTTATACCTATATGTTCATATCATTTTCTTTGGTCCGCCTAGGAACATTGCTCATATGAGATGTTTTTTTTTAAATTTATTTTCAGCAGAATTGCGGTTGCAATGTGATTATGAAATGTTTCATTGCTAACCTTGTATCGTCAACTCTTTCAATGTGTAACACAAGTGCATAATTAGCGTCCGGTTGAAGTCCCTCAAGTACAAACTCGACTTTGGGAAAAAGTTTTCTGCAAATACAACAAAATGATCCATATTTTCTTCCTTAATTAGCGATCGTGCACCTATCTTAATTTAGACGACGTTCGTTTAGTGCAACAGAAGCTTTTCTTTTCTTTCAACAGAACCTTTTCTTCAAAGGTTCTTTTGAATTGTCAAAGATGATTTAGACCAAAATTGAAGAATTTTCTCAAGAAAACTGAATCGAGAAACGAAGATACTGTATTTCCCATACACATGCAATGATTAAGCTATTGTGTTGATTTTGGTGGATTAATTTTGATCGGAAATGACACTTTCTTCGATTGTTCTCCTTTGCAAACAATATCCGAAAGTGCTCTCAGATAAAGAGTTGACAAGCATTGAGGAGTGCTCATTGTCCCTTCAAGTGTCTTTGCTCTGGGTTCCAATTCATCGCCGACGTTCACCGGTTCGCGAAAAGAGATAAAACGTTCAAGGGAATGTTGAACAGTGCAAACCGACGAGAATTAATCAGCAAAAAATAAAACTGGTATTCAAAAGCGATCGCTGATTGCTTTATTTGAATGAATAATTTCTTGGCGATGATGACAACTGATTGTTAATAGTGATACCTTCCGTTCTTTGTAACGATCATTTCCGTGGTATGTTTATGGAACTGTCTCCACAGATCTTGATTCGCGATTCTCACTCGTGCTCCACTATCAATTGCCTGAGCCATTTCTGAAGAAACGACTTTGCATTTATGTGTTGCTGAGACGACTTATTTCACATCAGTCAGCCGACAGGAACATACAAAAACACATAATTTTATGCATTTCGAAAGACGGCAATAAATTTAGATACGATAGTAACGATTTGACGAGAATTAAAGAATAAATTCAACTATTAAATAATTTACGAACAGCAACCTAAAGAGTGATCAGACGTTTATAAAAATGTGAAACTATTTTGATAATTCCCTCGGTACCTACGCAGCTGAGCAATTTTTCGAAATGCGTGAAACATTGTGAATTTTGCTTGCTTTCTCTGTTAGCATTCAAGTGAGGATCGACCTCAACTCTTTTCACATACTCCAATGTCCTCAAGTAATTCTCAAAACCATGATTGTTAAGCAACTGTGGATCAAACAAATTCGCATGGTTTACTGGTAGCGAAAAAGTAGGATGAACTTTGTTGGCTGAGAGTTGAAACAAAAGACCGCTAAATTTGCGTTTCAGATAGATGAAGGAACATTTCGTTAAGAATCATTGGACCAACTCATCTAAGAGACTTTTATCCAGCATTGTTTGGCAATAAACTGGAAGAAAATAGTAGATTCAACTTCAAAACTACAAATCAAACGGATTACATCGATAATTTACGAAATCACTCCGGCTTACTCTATATTCACACCAATAAACAGAAATTCTCAGCAAACAATAGATAGAGTCACTACTCGCAGATATAAAACAATAATGAGTGCGCAAAAAGCGCTGACTGTTCATTGAGAAGCGTGAATGCACTCAAAAACGACCACAGTAACTCCCCGCTCGTCATCGCTAACGTTAAGTGGCGCTATCCTGTAAGACACGCCCAATTGCTGATTTGTTATTCGTTTGTAGAGTTAATTCCTTCAGGATATACGGTAATCGCCTAGCGCCGAATGTAGTGCTAAATCGCCAGCCACCTGTAGATGAGGTGCACTGGGAACGTACCGCCTTTATTCATACTTCTTTTCACATCAAATAAGAATGCAAAAGAAATCATTTGAATATGATTCACACATTTCGTTCAGTCAATCACAACTCAAAGGCAGTATTCATTGACACAAATCACTTCATTATGATCATCGATGTCATTCTCAATCGCTGACCCCTTACCACTGTTTCATTCAACTCCCAGATCATTTTTTAAAGATTTGCATCCATAAGGTAGCGATTACTGACAGGTTGTCATAAGCGTTCACAGAACTGGTCGCCTTTTGCACACATTCTGAATTTTGCGCTATCAAAATGGGGGAATCGAGAAAATAGATTTGTTACTTTTCAAAAAGATTATGAGAAAGCAAGTTTTCAGTGCTGTGAAACAACAATTTTTATGCCAGAGATAACATTCAACTCAACGGCAACTGGATGAAATTTTGTGAATTTAATCCAGTGTGTACCCTATCGTGTTCACTTCTTGATGTTTCCATCTGTTTTCTTGATTATCATCAGCGAGCAATGTAAAAGGATGACGAACACACCCCACTTGCAAAACGCTTCGTCGTTTCGGTTGTCCAATAAAACTTCGAAGTTTTATTTAACAATTTGGAGATAATGCCTTTGCGAAACAGTTGCCAAAAGGATCGAATGACCATTTTTTAGAGAACTACAGGGGACAGTATTTCGACGTTTCAACTTAAAAAAATTCATATTTGCAGTGAAATAAATGAAGTGAAGTACTTTTGCATTTGTGCNCTACGATTCGATCGTATCAGCAATGAACGTAAACATTATCAATGATTTCATCTTATATTGACCATAAATAAATCTTTATGACTCATAAAATAGCAATAACCTCATAAATAAGTTCATTTTTTGATCATTAATCATTAATTTGCAAATGATGCACATGAGCAAATGTATATCCGGCAATAACAAAATTTTCAAGGTGTTGCATTTGCTCGCAATGTTGTCTGGTATTTGTGAAGTGCTTATACGAAGACGCTACGTCGCTATCCGATTAATGCAATCAGTTCAAGCATCAAAGGCATACCGATTTCATAATAAGCCGAAGGATGTCTTAGAAGAGTTGATTTGAAGCAGACGAAAAGTTTTGTAGCACGAAAGTAAAGAATCATTGTAATTTACCAACCCGAAAAATGGTGCTGGTTATCAACCGATGGTGTTAACAATTTTGAAAAATCAACAAATCTATGCTGTCAACATAACTTCTTATTTTTGCATTTGAAGCAGACGAATGCCTAACTTGAATTGTACTGTACTGCTAATGTAATTATTATGTTCAGATATGAGCAAAATAGTGAAGATTGATGGGTATAAGAAGATGTAACTGATCTCCGTATGTGCTACATCACATACTTATACTGCTTATGCAACAACCTCAAATAACCTCAAAAAGCGGTATTACAAAGAAAAATCACTAATAGCTATTAAAGGGATTGAGTCGTTTGTTGCGTTGTAACCGCAGCAGAGATGCGCCAGTCAGATTCAATGCGATATTACTCAATCATCATGTTTCGTTTATGTATCAATTATCAAATACAAAAACACAACAATCAGTCGCATTTACGTCAACATTTGCTCTTGTTTTGCTACGCTATTTGCGATCACGTATGCATTCATGAATTCAGTGGTGGTAAATGACCGAAATTCGATTTTACAATTAAACTGAAATTGTCAAATTATATTCGATCGAATAACCGACAGTATAAAAGTCCGCTTTGATTTCAAAATTATAACGTTTATTATTGTCGCATCAATATGTAACAATATAAATAAATAAAAAATATATCAACAAACGTGATCAGTTTTTTAGATTATTTTTTCGCAAAGTGATGTCAAAATTTTTAGATTTCGCAGTGCAGTCGTTTTCAGAATGAGCGATTTAGTTACCTGAGCCTTTTACTTGCCCGACACAAAAATCACCGTACAATTCTATCATTACTGATAAAACCAAAAATTTTCATTCTGACCCATTTTGTTTCTTTTGATGATTACTGAAGCGCAATAATACAATCGAAGAATTTGGAATTTTTTGGTATATTTGTATTCTGGAAACGGACTCCATCGCATTCCGATCGAACCAATTTTTCTTCCGATTAGTATCGCTGTCATCAACTAGAAAGTAGAGGATATCATTAACAGCATACGTCACTAATAGTAAACATCCATAAAGAGTGAGTACTACCTAATGTAAGCTTTTTTGACCATTTAAGAGCAGAGAAAAATCTTGCCTGAAATCTTTTCTGGACCATTCAATTTTTTGGACAGTAGGAAATGCATCGAACGTGAAAATTATTCGTGAAACGATGTCAAAGTGCTAGTTTTGCAACAATACCCGGTTTATGTGCAGCTCGAAGTTCCACTCCGAGATTAAATTTTCAGATTGCTGACCAATTTGGTATCGGAATTTAATGTTAATCAAATGCTAACTTCATAAACTCATGCACTTACGGTAACAGTTAGAAAAGTAAACGCATCTGTCAGTTCAATTCAAAATACCATTCGAAACGCGCATTATTTGGAAGGAAACGTTACACTCGATCAATGATCTGAGCATGAGACAAAAGGAGTGAAAATTTCCATCTTGAATGCACAATGGATATTGGTCTTACTGTAAATCTAGCAGCTCTCAGATTGTTTCAATTTGTCATGCACCAATCTCATTGTCAGAACATTTCTTGCAAAAACTTACATGCTCGCAAGCAATGTGTACTTTGCGAGCTACATGCAAAAACTTACATTTCTCGCAGAAAAGTTGGTGCTGCAACTCACTATCGCTGAACTGTATATGTGTTACGAAGCCAAACGGTTTCGGTGCTCTACAGTATCTTCTCGAACGTCATTATAAGTTCGGAATATAAATATTTGCATAAGTAATAAACGAACTGATGAAAGACGACGACATGTGTTGTGCGCTAAGGGTATGAAAGTGTGCAGTGATGCATGGCATAAGGTGTTCGAGATTCTCTTTTAACAANAACATTATCACTTCATAGCCACCACAGCCATCTGATTCGCTCGCTTGCAAACTCATTAGCACTGCGGTCGTTTGCTTTGTGTTTCGCTGCACAGCAATTATTTTCTTTGTTTTTGTCGTAATGCGTTTCATTCGATTAGACATCGCCGAACATCCATCCACACAATAAGTTCATTATCATCGTACATCGATCATCTCTCGTCGTCATCATCATTAGCAGTTCTGCTCTGCAACTGATCGTGCAGATAAGCTGGCGCCTATTTGAGCATGCCGACTGAGGAACAGTCAAATTCACTTCGTTTCAATTAATCCCCACGGATCATCAGTTATCCCAAACTGTGCAATATTCTCTCAACAATTGATGAATTTTATCACTAAAATATCCAATTAAAACGTTCCTCCATTGTTCATCAATGGTATCTTCATATATTAACCTCTTAAGTCGATTATCCAATAGCGTTTAACGTTGAAGATAATATTTGTCTTGACATAATAATTAAGATGATTCGTAGTGTGAGTGCACATAGCAGTAATGGAGTAATAACTTGATATTTTACATTAGATAACTTCTTTTCAATGTTGAAGCTTTCATTGTCCTAAATCTTATCTAACCTTACAATTAACAATTATTCTTATCATTTTAGCTGTGATTATCATTCGATGCTTTATTATCACCAGGATTCAGTTGAAAATTAGCACTGAAACAATGCATTTGCAATATCGCAGATAAGCGCATCAAATGAATAAATCATCTGATGATTGCTTATATCCGGCTCAAATCACTCATAAAAATAGATAACGAATACAGAGTTTTGATAGAGATGTGATTGAATTATGGTGAATTTATTGACGATAAACACATCGATAAGAATATACGATAATCAGATTGCGATGATATACAATTGCGGATGCATTGCACAGAGTCAAGGTCGATATCATCCATATGCTCTTACATGTCGTATTTATCATCAATTTTTTTATTGAACCATTTTTATGACACTGAATCGAGAAATCTCATTTCCTCGATGAGTTTAACTCAGCTATTCGTTCAACAAGAACTTGCTGTTATTCGTCAGCGCTAATCATGTCAACGCAACGAATAGTAAGTCATTCACTGCACATGCATTCGTGATGCAGTTCCGTTCTAGAAGTGTAGACGTAACAGACAATGACAAAATCACTCACAGTCCAGTTTACGAATAATTATAAACGTTTCGTTTAGATCGGATCTCTGGAAGTTGTTTTTTTTTTCAGGATTACTGCACCGATGCACTAATCAAGGCTGAATCCATGCGCATAAAAAACAAAATATGCATATCAAGAACAAATGACAAAAAAGCAGGAAACTGTTTTATTGGAAATACTTTGATTACAATGAAAAACGATAACCGCAAAAAGTGAAAAAAATTGATTACGAAAAAAATTATAGCGAAATATTGCTGGAAAAAAATTTTTGAATCGATTGTAGTGAAGGATACTGGATTGTAGCAGTAGTTTCTATTCGTGAATCGTTTATCACCTAATCGAGTACAGCAATCTGATTAAATCACCGTTAAAAAACTGTCCTATTCATAGAATCTCACGGATAGTAGATTTTCATAACATTAAACCAAACAGTTACGATTATATAATCTCTCTTCAAAACGTGGAATCAGCATTTGTGATGGATATAAATACTGCAAAATATTAAGCAAACTTAACGGAAAGCAAATCAATATGCCATTCAGAGAAACTGAAATACAGTCAACATCTAAAAGTGTCACATAAACAACATATTCAAATAAATCCGAAGAAGATCCGATATAAATTTTCAAACTTATTCAAACAATATAACTAGTGAAATATTCTATCAAAATGGAATAATAAAATTGATAATTTTATGAACGATTCACTACGGCGCAAGACGTTTCATAGTCCATTCCTTATCGCTCTTTTCGAAGACAATTCTGTCATGAATTCGATCTGACTGGCCTTGCCAAAATTCGAAATAAACTGGACATAGGCGATATCCACCCCTGAAAAATCCTTGTTCACTCTTCAAGTGCTCAATCAAGTGCAGCTTTCACTTTGAGGTACTTCAATGATTCTATGTGAGTAAAACTGATACCCATATAGCGAGTTGTTTAGTGCACGCAAAGAAGAGCGTATGCATCCATTAAAACGGAAAGCTTATGTTAATGCTCGCGAATTTATGTTAATCTTGATCACTCAAGCTCAGCATCCGTTAACGAACGTGACTTTGGCAAACGATGGAATGGGATGAATGAAATGAAGTAAAATGTGACCATCACTATAACGACACCAATAATAACAAGCAATCACCAGCAGTCTGGTCTTGTAATTGCACTATCGCCCTTCTCCTCGGCTAATCGCTGCAGTTCATTTCTTTTGTCCACAAGATACTGAAATGACATAATAATAACGTTGATCAGTTCATCAAAGAGGTCACATAATTTGCAGATGTCAAAGAATGCAGCCACTAAAAGACTAGAATTTAACTTTTACTTCACCTGTCTATTTGGTATAACACTACTTTGAGAACTCAACTTCGATCCTATACGACTCTTCGCTGGTCGACTATTCCAATAATCCTCAGCCATCTGAGACGGTAACAATTCCATTTTGCCTTCAATTCGAATCTGCAGAAATATCATNATTATCAAACTGAATCGCAATCGATCGGTCGCTGCATACTGAACCAATTTCCAGCGGTGATTCTCTACCGAAAATCGAAGCTTCAAAAGCAAAACAGAAAACTTGAGAAGAAACAAAAGTTGAATACCTGTCGATCGACCCGTGGCCAATAGAATAGCATACAAGCTTGGGGATTTGCTTGAATCTCTCGTGCCTTTCTACTCTCCAAATTTGTATAGAAGGAAAAGCCTTGCCTATCATACTCTTTCAACAGAACCATACGTGATGAAGGGCGATTATCACTGTAAGCAATTACAACATTAGGATACCACGCTGAAATGGGAAATTTGCGAATTCAACTCTAGAATCCGATAATTCGGATTGTTCTCCATCGCAAATGTTGATATTAATCATTAAGTTTCAATGGCACTTGACAAAAACTCTTATTCAGAAAAACAACAACTAACCATGCAGTTGATACACTAACAGCATTCACTTCTTCGAAAGAGATATCTTTCCTTGATGCAACATCTTTGAACCAACAATCGAATACTTCGAAGGGATCCTTCGACGGTAAATTCTCCTCTAACAGATACGGCTCTTTTAGATTCATGTACGGTTTGCGCCAATCTAAAAATTTCATTCATTCAACAAATTTTCAATTCGCTTCAAAATTTGTTGCAACTATCTTGTAATAAAATGAAATTGCTAACGAAAAAAATTGCAATCAAGATGTCCCACGATAACCGATAACATAATTTTCAACTTTTATTCGTTTCATTCAAAACGCGATAAAATACTGCGACGACGAACGAGAAAAATACTTCGAAATCTCGAGCAAATCACTTTTGTGTCGTTACTAATAAAAACTGGTAAAATGATCGCTCGTTCAAGAAGCAAATTGTACGTTCACTGATACTGATGCAGACAAGAACAATAATGCTAACGAAAGCAATACTGTCGACTGATAAACGAATTGAGAGAAGGATGAACCTTTTATATCGATACCATACTCAGAACCAGACTTTGGATCGTTAGCTGCTTGCATATTGATAAATTTTGAATAGTTGATAAGAAATGGGAATTGTCTAACTGGAAATTTCGATATAAATGACTCGAAAACGCATTGATGCGACGAACGAACCAAGTTAAATAAGCCAACAATGGAACGCATCGATATGATGATATACCACCGATCTTTATTATATCAGTTATATTCATACATTCACGGCTGCTATAAAAACAACAACAAATAAGCACAAATGAATGCCGTTATAAACTGCGCACACAATCAGCAACGATACATATTTGAAGTGAACACTGTCAAACTGGGTCTCTTTAAAATCTATATGTAACTAAATGTGTGATGTACACCACTGATCTTCATTATATCATCCACAAGAAAATGTGGAGGGTTCGATGATACGATTGGATCGTAAAAGATTGATGACTGCTCTTGTTCATTACACTAACCGAATTAAAACATGCATTGTTTCGATGCATTGAACATAATTCGACTGGCAGTAAGACAATGACCATTTTAATACATTTCTTTTTCGAGTTTAAATCAAACACCAAAAAACTTGAAGAATATTAACAATATTCACTAATATTAAATATTCACTAATACTGAATTATAAGCGAAGAGACAATGAGAAATATAAAAGAAAACATGGTTGAAGGCAACGAATATAGAGTAGAATGAGTAGATGAATAGTAGGAATCTTCAATAATGAAAGAATGAATCAAAACGAAATTCATTTTGAGAATGTGGACAAATCTGAAGAATTCTTAATGCTTTTTCCAGTGCTGCATCGTTACACTGGAAGTCGACATAGGTGAACATATTTTGCGATGGATTATGAAGAAATGGATTTGGATTTGTTTGTTGTTAAATTCATTGCTTACGATTAGGATGGAAATACGAGCATGAAACAGCTGGATAAAGTATTATTGATGCTCGAAGCAGACATCCAATGAGGCATGCAAATGACATCTCAAAGTTAGGCAGTGCGCTCGAATCGAGGAGTGCTCTTGATGGACGCATTGGAGCAATTGAAATGACAATGCAACCAATAATCTTAGTACTTGAAAAAAGAAGAGCGAAAGAGAAGGGAGGAGAAGGAAGAAGGGATAAATAAAATTTTGGGACAGAAAAATCTACCCCAAAACTTATTTATTTTATAGACCAGACTATTTTTAGCCTCCCCCCCCCCTCCTTTGGAAAAAAAATCCTGGCTACGCCAGTACAAGATTGACTTTAATTTGTGGTACATTCAAATTTCCCTTCTTTTTTTTCAGTTCATTTCGTTAAATTACAAGTAATCCAGTAAGGGTTGCAAAAAGAAGATTTGTTGTCCCCAGTTGCCCAAACAATTAGTAGATTCAGCATGGAAACGATAAATTACAACAAGTTAACGACAGTCGAATAAATGATCAACATACGACGTGCACTTATCTTACTTTGCCTCTTGCTTCCTCATCCTCGCACAGCAGTTCAGCTCGCAAATAAATTGAAAACAACAGCCAGAGAGCCGAGACGAGGCGTACAGCAGTTTAACATTTTCTCGCTTCCACTCAAATGATCAATATTTGACGGGGAAATCGGGCGGGGTAGGAGAGGGCTGATGCGGATGAAATCCCGCTAAACGGCGCCTCAACACTGGCTTTTGCTTGGAGGGGATCGAAGGAGCCTGCCCTCATTCCTAAACCCGCCTTTAAAACCGTTTTCAAGAAATATTTTCAACCTCGCACAACGAACAGTCTGAGGGGCGCAACGCCAACTTTCAATCTTTCGAAACTTCATGAATACTGCAACCACAGACCTGAGACTTGTGACTCTGTTCATTTCCCCGATCTCAACGATTAAAAAAAGAACAACTTTCCTTCCCGGATCACGCGTACAACTTAGAATATTCTATACCACTAGAATGGAACCGGTTCTCTCGGCTACAACTGTGTCATTATTAAGGCGTTTTAAACCTATAAAACCATAGCAATTGTTACTCTTCAGAAATTTTGACTTGTTTTAACCTCTTCAAAGATACATGAACTAGAACAATGAACTCGAGCAAGATGAATTACGAATCAGGTGACAGTTGCAGTATGAACTGTAGAACATAATTTCATTATCGTGATTTGCATAAAACTGGGAAGTGAGCTCAAAACAAGAAGATGACAATGAAGATCAAAAAAGAAACTGCAAGCATAATAAAATAGACTGAGCAAAATTTCATATTTCAATTTACTGTTGTAATGCAAATTGTGAAAAATGATTTGGGTTTCTCGACTCATTCAAGATTAGACGACAGGAATAAGAAAAGACAGAGCAATGCAGAAGAGTGCATTAAAAGCAACCTCACAAATATAACTCGCAAATCTAGACAAATTCATCAGCGAAGACTCCAAACAAAACACCATTTTAGCATACAACACGAGTTACGAGAATTACCGTATGTATACGAAGTTGCTGTGCCCGTTGCAAACATTCCTTTGACAGTAAAACGTTCCATCTTCCATTCCCCAGCGAATATATGGAATATCTTTTCGGTTTTCTGACAAGACATGAAGTCGCCAATTAGGCCTCAATCAGTTACTTATTTCCATCCCTAATTTACCTCAAACTGATGAAGTTTAGAATGAATTTTTTGAGAAAACGAATCAATATATGAACGCAATAATTTGTACGTGATCGTTGAAGACAGCACGGGGCGATCGTCACTTGTATTCCACAGTTATGAGGGCAATGCTCCTATCAGAATGTGAATTCCAATGAACTTCTTGATTTCAGCAGCATTCACTTGTGCTCCTGTCTCCTTTCATCGTTTCATGACCTCCATTCGTCCACTTTGAAATTTTTTCAAGAACATTTTGCTGCAACAACAGTAAAAAATCCGATCCATTGATGTCAAAATTGTGAACTGCGAAACTTGTTCAGCCAATTTCTTCCTTGATCATATTATGTGCCCCTCTCCGACTAGTCGGTGACTTCACGCTTTGACAAACCATATTTCTGCATCATTTTTGATTTGCGAGTGTACTTTCAAACAGCTCATAATCAGGATGCTCTTCAAGATCGGAGAGAATTTCATCGATATCACTTGATCAAACATAGTCGTCATCCTCATCAGTAATATCTTCGTGTCTATCTTCATATGAATTACGAATTCTACCAACTGCGGACGTTTCGTCACATATAACTGCACAACGCATACAAAGCGGAAATCGCATATCAAGAATCACAAACTCATGCACATTTCACGAGTGCTTGATTGCGAAACGTTTCGAGTTGGTCGGTCCATTGTGTTGCCACTTTCGGGTACATCCCGAAGCACCATAACGAAATGTTTTCGTCTACTTTCGTTCCTTACGATACAATAAATTTACAAGCATCAGCATGCATAAATATTCTCGTCATTACGAATAAATAATCAAATGGATAGAGCCAGACCTAAGACGCCCGCTTCACCTCTGATGCTATAAAAAAGTTCAGTCACGCAAGAGTTAACATTGGATCAGTAATGTGTGCGAGTGCATAGACCTTCAATACCTTCACCTATTCGATGTAATACTAAATTGATAACAATCAAACCAGCTCGGAATTTTATCTTTCCAAAACGAAAACTTTAGAATCAGATGAATCTTGGACAACAATGTTCATAAATGACAATTAGTAATTGAACTTTAAAAAAGACATACGGATTGTGGAATTTAGTTGAAAAATGAACAATTTTAGTAATAAAATAAGTGTACGTTCCAAAAGTGGAGTGAAATGCATGACATATGATCATTTTTTGAACTAAATGGTGCTTCGACGGTACTGATAATGCTCTTACTGTTAATGACACTGATAAGAGATTCCAAAAAAAGATCAAGAATCATAAGTATCACTGTCCCATATGCTCATAAGTATCACGGCAAACAAACCATTTCGGATTTCTTCATCCGTTCAAGAATTTATTGACAAGTCCCACATCAACTACCTTTATTCGATAAAACTATCGTTATCTGATATTATAGATATTTGATATTCACTATTCGATAAAACAATTCACTCATCGAAAATTGATGCGAAATCACAGTGAACTGAACTGCTCTGAAGTAGAGTGCAAAATAAACAAAAGGTGAAAATGACCATCATTCGCCACGACCGTTCAACGAAGAATAAAATATTTTATTGAGGTATATAACATATATTAGGTATGCAATATTGAGGTAAATGTTTAGCAAACGTATTTACAAACTAACAACCAAAATCACTGAATAAATCGTCCATTTACAGTGTGAACAATGAAACGGAAAAGATGAGAACTTACGGCTTTCATCATCAAATTCGTACCACAATCAAACAATCACACGATGATAGCTTCATGAATATTGGACTTGAAAAAGAAAGCAAAAAAAAAACGAATTAGAGAGATGACAGACCTTGTCGTCACTTCAATATAATTCTTCAATACGTTTGTTGTGTCAAAAAAAATTAATCTTCAAAAGATGGTCGAATTCAAAACTGGTGATAGTGAGATGTGAACGACTGGATCTTAACAGAAGGATGTGTCCTTATATAAGGATGTATCAAGAACGAGAATATGCATGGCAACAATCGAAAGAAGTCGAAGAGACTTTTCGCTTCCAGTATCTCAATAAACAAAAAAGAAAATGGCAAACAAAAAACATCAAAGACGAACGTAAACAAACTCTGTAACCGAATGAAAGTGTCAAAACATCGAACCATAAAGTCGAAAATTCAAACATTACAGAACGAGTACACCGAATACACCGGGTTCGACGTGTTCTCCGAAATACTCGTAAACAAACAATGTCACCGTTTAAACGTATACAAATTAGCGCAAATTGAGACATTTGATTTCTTTTACAATTAGATAGAAAGTTTACAAGATTATGGTTTATATTCTCATTTTGAAAATTTGACATGCGATTTCTGAAAAAAAGAGACAGAGCAAGTATTATGCAGAGTCAACATGATATAATAAAATAAAATAGAAAAAAACAATTATCATAAAATGTTGAATCAGGTTTTTAAAAAATTGCTTTACTTAGAGGAATGGCTAATTTTTGTCACTTATTTCGTCTTAGAGCTTTTTGTTATTTCACGAAGACAATCCATCGGGTTATTACGCTATTCATCCCCATCATGTGATAAGAGCAACTCATATTCCACGAAAATCAAACATATCGAAAACGATGATAGTAGCAATTCTTTCGTATTATTTTCAAAATTCGTGCGCTTTTGAGAAATCAAATTGATTCAATGATCAGCACTCTCTATAACTGATTCAACAACCGATTGCAAGAGCAAGCAGTAAATTAAGTAAGTGCAGTGATCAACTAGACAATATGCATCGCATCAACATTACAGGGCAATTAATCATATATTTTACAATAGAACGAATACAAACTGTTTGTAGATGGCTGCACTTATTTAATTGACTGATGACATATAATAGAGATGAGTGGAATAGTCATGCATGAAACTAAATACCAAATGAACATGTAAATGTTTCAAGTGGTTACTGTAAATGGTAAATTAAGTGGTTACATTAAATAAACGTCCACTGATGTCAATTTGGACAAACAATCGAACAAAATTGTAGTGGATGTATGAATAGAAGCTTTACATATTAACTTACACATATACTCAATTCGCTCTCTGAAAACAACCATAAAATATCTTCGAAATAAGCAAAAAATTACTAAAATGTCACATTATCGTCTACGCAAAAGTGACTGTTAAAATTGGAGTAATGATCACTTGTCGAAATGATCTATGGACATATTAAATTACCACATCGCATATCGCTCTGTGACGAGTACCTTTCGTTAACTGAGTTTTACAGTACGAAAAAAAATCAAATCGATAGGAACGTGCACAATGAGGTGATGAAGAAACATACTGATGTTAACACTAATCGCAAAAACAATTTCACCACCTTATAACTCATTTTCTTGAGTATTCTTAAGAGCATAAGAGATTGCTTTTCGTTGAGAACAAGCAATTACGATTGCAAAAGTTACTGATGCATGGTCACTTCGATCTGAGGTGCGTTCTCTCGTATACGAACGCGCGTTATCGACGGATCGACACCGAGCAACTGGGTATCCGCTTCGAGAACCGCAAACAGTGTATTCGTCACAAACTTATGCGCGGCTAACGCCAACTGTGGTGATCGAACCGTTTTCATCATATCAATCCAAACACGACCTAAAAACGTAAAACAAATACATAAAACGAATCGTTGTTTCAGAGAAATAAATTAAAGTTCAGATGAAATCAATCAAAAATGCAATTGAAAGTTACATCGAAATTCAGCAAACACGCTTCAAACAGAAAAAAAGATGTTAAAAAAGTTTCACAGATGAGAATCCAGCTGAACGTTAAAGAAAATTTTCAGCTTACCGACATTTTCCCATTTCGCATCACTATCAATAACAGATTGTTGGTGTGGAGTAGGCGATGTATTTGTTGATGTCCTCTCGGCAACTGTTGCATGGCATGACTGAAAGATTAACAATCGATGAAAACATTCAAAAAATAAACATTACGTACAGAATGGGCGCTAGCGAGGCTATTTACACGTGCCTTGCAAAAGTTACCTTCAGTTCAACGAAATTCTGAATTTGATCGGATGACAAAAACATTCAGATGAAGATGTGTGTAGTCGACTGAAATGCAAGTGCTGAACGCAAGGAATGATAGTATCATAGATGATTATTACCAGTGTTTTTGCGTCATCGCTTTGTGATTGCTCGGTTGAATTAGCCACAGATCCATACTGCGGACTCATCTCACACGCGAATGCTGTGTTGCCAACGGCTGTTGGGAGCGGGAATGCCTTTAAAATCATTCTTGAAAACAATAACAATAATAGTAATAACATAATGAATATTAACAACGAGAATGACGATAATGCAAATACAAATCCAAATTCAAAGAAAGAGATGTAACCAACTTGTTTTCTACGCGTATTTTTCGGCTTGTTGAATGCACAAAAACGATTACTGTTTCGCGCTTTTCGTCGACCAATTTGATGACGTTTCATATTGAGTGCATCTCGACTGGTATCAATATTGTTATCATTATTAGTCCGTTGAATATTGTTTGTTACCATCGTTGCTCCAACAGAACTTATTTGAGAATTAATAATATCCTCGAGACGAGTGTTGGTATCGATGTTACGGATTGGTGAGTTAGATGATGAATTACGCTCTTGCTGCGCACGTGACGAGAATGATAGCTGTTGAGTCAGTGATGACGGTTGCTGGTGATCGTTAATCGCTATTTGATCTTGTGATCCTCTATTTTCGATTTCAATCATCGCGTCGACACATGACGAGGACGGCGACGATGTGGTTGCCATCACCATATTATCGTCACTTCAACAAACATTTCAATTGTTCAAATGCACCATTAAAATTAAAAATGGCTTTCTAACCCTTCATACTTCAACTTCAAGCGTTGGACTACAGAAATAGTCCAGGCCTAGAAATCTGGAATGTCCTCAAGCTGATTCAGATGGCATAACTTTTCTTCTTCTTCGAAAATTTCATCAAATATTTCTCACGATGATGACAACTACCCAAATATTTCCATCTAAAAACAACAAAACCGACAAACGCATTCATCTGGTTCGATAACTTAAGACTAGCACTGAATTTAAAAATAGAAAAAATGTGTTGTATTTGAATAAACGACTGAATCCAATGAGACTGATTGAAAAAAAAGATTTTTGTGGGCTGAAATTTTGAGTAAAAAAAAATAAATATCAAAAACTTACCGGCATTTAGTATCATTTTTGAGAGGTTGTCGTTGTGATGAAAATAAGCGAAGTGCAGCATTCATTAATCCTTGTTTCCCGAAAATTTCTTGCTGTGGAACTCCTGCATAAGCAAAACAAATCTGTGTAACGGTTGATGGCAATTGAAAGTTTGCGGACACGTTAATTATGGAACAGAAGGAAGAAAAATACGAGAAATATATTTTGACGGTTGGTGGAAGCTTTCCTCATTTATAAGTAATAGGTGAATCAAAACAGTAAACTATTCAAAGAGATAATTCTGAAGATGAGATAACGCCGAAACATTGAACATCATCGTAATATTTCTAATTGTGCAGCTCGGATTTTGTCAACAACACCACCTAACTCTTCTGACTTTATTGAGACATTAACTAAACGACTTTTTGATTCATAAGAAGAATAAGAGTTAATGTGATTTCATTCAGTACATCATGATCTGCGCTACTCAAGCTGTATAAATGGTGGAAATTTTCGAAAAGAATAACTGCTAAATAAAACAAATAACTTTTCAAACCTTTCTTAATGATTTCACCCACAAATGTTCCGTTGCATCGAATATCCGATTCAACTCTCTGCAATAACAGCAAATTGGAACAGCGTTCTAGGATCATTCAATCTTTTTAAAAAAATGTTTATCTGAGCATTTCAATCTCAGTCACACGGAAAAGGTTCCTAACTATTTTTATCTATTTTATGGTAATAACTAAACATAATAAAATATTCGTTACCTCACACGGTGAAATCTGTCGCTTGAGTTCGAGAAAGGAATTCTGATCGCGATCCTGATTTGATGTTGTTTCGTCAGAACAAGCCACTGCAACTGCAGCCATCGTTTCAGCTTCAGAGGCATTGATGGAGTGATGTGCATTTAGAATTGTATTCACCAACTGCGCTACATTTGCTGGAGAAGAAGCATGTTGTTGTGCGTTATGAGCAATCGTGCACGACGATAATGCCGAAGTTCGGTGCCAACGTGTTTGCCTCAAATTACCATTTCATATTATTCAAATTTGCTTTTGAGAAATATGCAGGAGGTTGTGCTGAGAGATTCCTGATAACAAGGCCACACAAATAATATCCATTAACGATAGTATAACTCATTTGAAATACAATGATCAAGGAAATGTGATCGGAACAAAACAGCATAGAAAAATACAATCTCATCAACTAACTCGTATTGATCACGAAGAAAACTCATTGGTTCGAAGAAAGGCCACGATGTTGTACCGTTGCGCCGTTTGCCATCGTATAAACGACGTCGGTATTTTTCACTCAACTGACGCCATGCAGTCGTGACCGTATCGCCAGTCACTGCATAAACATATAAACTTTCAATGTGCATTCCAACTTTTACGAGTTAAACGATAACGATGACCTAATTAAGTGGCAACATAGCAGATGCAAGTAAATCGAATTGCACTAACCTCCAAGTAAATTGAGTCGGTTTGCAATATCGGTGAATAGTTCCAGTTTAACGTCGTTATGAGTGATGAAGCTGGGTGAGGTACGATCCCATAACCTTGGTTCCGTTTTCATCAGCCCAATCAATTCCATGATCGCTTCTGTTCCACCTGCTGCCTCGATCAGATCCATTTTCGATCACTGAAATTTATTCCTTCCAATTGAAAGTCCACTTTGGGGAATTCAAACAAATGAAGGCACGTGAAGTATAATTCGAATTGCGCTGGAAAAGCACTTCCAGTTATGAGTGCGCGATTAGAAGAGATTTTATTGATAAATACCATTTTTGAATAGTACAGTTAATTGGAGCCTCAGAATTTGTAACGTATCTATGTCAGAAGAGGAAGGGTCTTGTTAATTGGTAATTGTTGTCGTTAACTTCTTCATTAAAAAACTAAGGGTCAAGTTAAATTTGAAAAAAACAAACAAAACTGGCATCGACAACTTTTTTCTAGAAGCATATTAATTCGTCGAAAATTTTTGTAAAATCCAAAGCAATATTATATAGGATATGTGAGCATTTAAGGGAATTTTAGATATTACTAACAAAATATCTGCATGTAAAACAGGAAGACCAATTTTTTTAAATATCCTGATTCTTATTCGTAAGATCCGAGCACAGAAAAATATGCTACATCACTTGAAAACTACCCATACGAAATTTCAATTCAAAAAATTTGTTGAAAGGCAGCTAAGTCAACATGTTCCTCCGGTAAGGCGTCGAATTTCGCCATTTTTGGACTTCGGAATTTCTAAGGTCCCCACCCATTCTCAAAAGAGCCTCCTGCTCTAAAACAGTCCGTGTGAAAAATCGCTTCAAATACTTCGTCTGAAGGATCGATGCATCAAACTATTTTTGTCTAACAGGGTTCTAAGGAACACAACGCAGATGATGGTTGAGAACTTTTAATATTATTTTTTCTCGATTAACTTTTAGAATTGTTCTTATTTTCGAATGAAAAGAATAAGATTTTAGAGAGAGGAACGAAGGAAATTCCGAAATTCGCGCATCAGCACACCTGATGCGGAAGAAAATTTGATCCAGTTACCTTTCCAATTAACACTTTTCAGCGAAGTTTCGCGGAGATTGCTTTTAGACCAAAACGCGTATTTTTCTGAGTTGAGAGCCGTACATTTCAGACCTTCATCTCTTCGTACAAAAATTTATCACCCTATAACACACAAGCATTCTTAACGATTGATACGTATAATCGGTCTACTAACACAGTTCGTTCAAAGAATTTGTTTGTTACTCGAGTTGGTCATGAATGAAAGCAGCTTTTTCCACAGCAAAAGAAAAGTAAATGAAATCACTCGTTCCAGTCAACTCAATTCTTTTGCAGTAACGTAAAACATCAGCAGTTTCACGAACAAACATCAATTCACAAGATTAAGAGTACGATCAAGAAGTGAGAATAGGACGTTTAGTCAGAATCACAGTCTCTTCTTTGGTAATGTATGGTCATATGCTTCGAGATACTGATTAGTTCACCATCAATCTTCAGCATCTTTGAAAATTCAACACTAGAACTCGTTCATGATCCCACAGTTCCAAGTGGAATGAGAAATGGTGAATACTGACTACGAGGAATTCTGCCTTATATCAAAAGAGTGAATCATAAATCGAAAATGCAGAACGCTTAAAGAGAATCTAACACAAAAATTCTCTTACATAATTGAGAAGCATACTTCGGAGGGGATAGCAGTACAGATGGAAGTAGTTTAGCCCCCCGAAAGCCCCCTATTAAGTTTATTTGGACGGATCAGGCTGATATGTACCCTCGTGCATTGCTATAAGTAATATAACAAGTGAATAACTCCCGATTTTTCAAATCACTCCGTATGAACTACCCAAGATCATGGCGAAAGCCAAAACCTCATTTTTTTAGTTCACGCATATGGGGACTGACCAAGACGGCTACATTTGGATGGGATAAACGGGGCTGAATTCGTTGAACAGTCACGGCATCGTATTGCTATAACCCAGACCAAATTCACAGACTGCCTCATATTCATCATTCAAATCTGTGACCGACAAGCTGTAAATCTCCTACATACAGGTTCATAGACCATGGAAAAAAAAGGTGAGCAACACAATTCCTTACAGCTGAAACGTAGTTGCTTTAAGAGCTCATCGATCAAATCGACGAAACAAGCGATTAAACAATATGCAATAAAAAACAACATAATGTTCACATGCCAAACAACGCACGCAAGCACGCTCGCTTGCAGCAGATATTTGTTTGCTTCAAGACGACAGTAATGCACACTCGTTGCAGGCAGAGCACATGCGCGGAGTGTGTTTAAAATCGCTCCTTGTCATCGAAAATGCTGCTGCTGCTGCTGCTGGTGAGTACGATTCGGTTGCTGCACGTCTATCGTAACACCTAAACCATAAACTCATCCTCATTGTAAGCATAACTCATCTGTGCAAATCCACATAACCCATACTACTAACCAACATTAACGGCTCAAAGCAATGGCGCCGTACTTTGGCGAATCGTTTTGGGCGGCAATTCGCTGCACCTCGATTGCAGAAGCAATAGAAGGAAGTGCAATACTAACGAATGATTAAAGTACGAATTTGTGGGAGCAATGTGGCTGAGAGTGAATTAGTAAGGAGAGAATTAGCTGATATACTGAAATTGCGATGCACAATTGGTGAATGAAGTTACGAGAGTGATGAGACAAGCATTTGGAGTAAAAATCGAACGAGAAAATAAGCAAAAGAGAGTTTTGTAGAACGGCAATCAGTGGCAATAGCTACTCATAATGTGCATGCACGTGCTAGATTCTGCCGTTCACAAGCCTCATCTAACACTCTCTTCGAGAATTACCTCTAATTCTAATGGCATTTCATCACTCACGTACCTAACTTTGCTGACTGCATTACTGTTCCATTATGTCTTAACGTTTTTCTTGTTCTCTTCAGCCATATCAGCAGTTCGCTCTCATTCCGTTTTCTCCAAGCAATTCACGGTCTACTTCCTCCGAACAGTTTGCACTCTTCGCTTATTATCAGTGTGCAAGTCCACTGCAAATGATACGCATAAAATAATTTGGCAGAGCACGACAAAACTCGTTGAGATGAGAGGGTAACGTGCACTTGGTCCCTATAATTTTGATTGAGGTGTGAGGGATGTGGTTATTTGTGCCTTAGCTTTTCACCTGACAATAAGCATTTTTGAAATGAGGACCAATTTAACCAATTATTTATCCGTATATTTCAAGTTCAATCGAATCAGATTATCTATTACTGGCGAGCAGACCAACGACGTAAACTGATAAGAATTATTCGACGAAGCTATTGATGATTAATAATTCAAGGCGAAGTACCATTGGTGAATTATCGTTCTTCGACAAGCAGTAACTATTAGTTGTATTATTGCGAGGTGTATAGCATTTTTGCCGCAGAATGTGTTCAAGTTAAACGTGTTCAAGTGATTGATTGCAGAAGAGTCACTTTGTTCCATCTGAATCGATCGACTCAAATGTTGCGTAATATCTTCAGTAAAGGTTCATCTGGAGTACAGATTGGGTGTGCGCTGAGGGCAGCGTCGACAACTATTGCTACTCCAGCTAATGTTGATAAGAAATGTAATTATATCCATCAATAAATTTTATTCATTCATTAATATTTTCGACTTACACCTCTTTAAGTGTTTTTTATTCAGTACGTTATGCCCAAATTGTTTTTGGGATGAAGAAATAGATAATTTTAGTCCGAAAACTTTATCATGTTTATCCTCACTTTCTGCAGAATCCGTTGCTATTTGCTAGTCCCGTCAAAAACAACATAGTAAAACGATAAATTATCCAAAAACAGGTTTTGTGCCAAGTGGCCCGATTTACTAATTTTTCTTGATCATCTGTAAGGGATTTGGCAGTCGTCGTGTCTGGAAATGAAATAAGGCCTTGTGAAAGCATCGGACCTGAACGTAGCTTTATATCCTTCCAACCAATCGTTTCCAGCCGATCCATTTAATTCATTCTCGTCGATTATTAATGTTATTTGCTCTCAAACTCGAAACCAATCATGATTTCATGATTGAGTTGTCAAAGTTTTCTGCTCAGCCAAACGATAGACCGTATATCATGAGAATGAAACTCGTCGTCTCTTGTAATAGTACGTGAAATTGGTAATTCTTGGAGGCGGGATGTGAATGTTTAATTTTATTGTTGATCAGCAACCGAAACCAATGCAATTTTCAGCTACCATCTGGCATATCGATGAAAAGAAACGTGAGAGATTGGCAAATTTCGGACGCTATGCGGCAGAATGCTTGCCTAAATTCATCGAAAGAGTCCAGGTATGACCAATTATCGGATAAAAATAACTTGTAATGGAATTTCACACTGCTCTCTGCATTGTCATTGGAATATATGAAAATCTTTGACTACTATCGCATCAGATGGCTACCATGTAGCCGTGTATATATACTGCAGTAACGTAACCTAATTTCACTTCAGTTGTAAGTTAAATCAACTACCTGTTGCAAATCATCACAAGTCTAACCGAAGTCTGTCAACTTGTGATTAGTTTATCTATAAAAACAAATTTAGTGTATCTGCAACATTCACTAAAATAATAATTTAGCAATGGCAACTGTAAAAAATATCAATTATAAAAATGTTTAGTTTGCGGCTGGCGATGAATTAGAATTATTGATTCATCCGTCGGGTGTGGTGCCGGTGATGACGTTTCTAAAAGGCAATCATTCGGCACAATTCACAAATCTTACGTTCATTTGTGGCGTTGATGTGCCAACCAGAAAGAATCGCTTTGAAGTAAGGATTATTCGAAGTAATATCTGAATAACTTCGTTTTCAATCTATTCTATTTTAATGATTATTCCACTCGTTTAGATCATTCCTTAAGTTGATGACTGTTCAATGATTTAGAGTTGCGAAAGGGATCTGATTCGATTATCGTACTCGTAGAGAAAACTTAATGAAAGATTTAAGGTAGTGTACTCGTTGTTGTCCGTACGATTCAATGCACGAATTCGCGTGCGCACGTACACGGATGAAATAGCACCGATTGAATCTATAACGTCGGTTTTCAAGGGAGCGAATTGGTTGGTTTTTGGTTCAAATTTAGATGTATAGCCAGAGGGTACTTGCCTCTTTTTCCGTCATTGACATTCTGAATAATTTTATCGTTGTTGCACAAGTGCTCTCATGAAGACTCGCTGGTTTGGTTTTGCTATACTCCTATTGATGACATAGGTACATCCACCCCTCTTTCTAGGCAAAGTTTTTGGTTAGCCACATTTTTGTAAATGTTTGAATTTTTGTATTGATTTATTTGACAGTGACTACGTCATTATTATTGTTATTATGATGAATGGTGCTATTAATAAGGTACGAACGAGAGGTTTACGATCTGTTTGGGGTGTGGTTTAACAATCATCCAGACTTAAGACGGATTCTAACGGATTATGGATTTGAAGGACATCCACTTCGAAAAGATTTCCCTCTTTCTGGTTATAACGAGGTTTGTATCGCTATAACGACTGATTCCTATCACGTCTAGTTTTGCATTCACTGTAACTGTTTCATATCGGAATTTTTCATTTATCATTCTGTTTGTATAATATTTGAAATGTGAGATTAAACTCAGCAGACTGATTAGACATATATTCAAAGGGTCTACTGATTTGTTTAATATGCTCGTGTACTGGTTGGTGTACATCCTTAAACAATGCTGAAAAACCATAACATACAAATGTTATTCATCAATATCTTCTAGGTTTAAGAATTGATGAATAAATTTCAGGTTCGATATGATCCCGAACTGAAACGCATTGTTTATGAGCCAACTGAGCTGGCGCAAGAATTCCGTAAATTCGATCTGGAAACTCCATGGGAAACCTTTCCAGCGTTTCGAAATGCTTCGATGACATCTGGTTACGAAGAGATCAGTTTGAAGAAGCCTGAAATAGAGGCACCGAAAGGAGATAAGAAATGACTAGCGAAGGCGTGCAGTGCTGAAAATGTATACGAGTTTATTAGGCGTACGAAAGTTGTATAAAGATAACTTTTGTACGCTTTAAAAGGGCGGATGATTCTTATTGATTTTGATGTGTTCAAACTCTCTCACCTCTTTTTCTTTGCTTTCGTGCTCAGAATGGGCGGTTTCTGAAGATGACTGAATGAGACAAAATCTTATACCAGAAGAACTTACCATAGGAATTTTATTTCTTTTGTGATATAGCTGAGAATTGTGCGCTGCTCTAAATAAAATGTATATGCGGTAATTCACAAGAAGGGTTTTATGTTTTGACAAGTCAGTGGAACTCTCATTAATTTATGTAAATTCTGTAATTATCGTTTAGCGATAATGGAAATTCATTTCCAATTCCACAGTGAAGTTCGTTTCGTTACGAAAAGGAGAGAAAGAGACTCCTGCGACGGGTTGACGCAAAATGCGTTAATCGTTTATTTTGATCGGTTTAGCGTTACTTCAATATTTGTTTCGTCTCCTTTTTAGTTGTTTTTCGTTAGTTTTCAAAATGTTCGGTGAATTCAAAGTATAGTTAATGAATTTTATGCATATCTGTCACTCCTCATCTACCTTCCTGCTGAAACTTCAAGTAACGTTCACATGAAGTACTTTAAACAATCTGCGCAACTATTACTGCAGTCATCTGAACACCAACATTGCTCTATATTCGTTCATTGACTTCAGCGGAACACTTCAACTCTAATTTTATTTCATTCATTATATACACATTGCGATGAACGGTCAGTGATATTGGCTGAACGATGAGGTAGGTAGTAATTAGTTTGTTGAAATGGCAAACAGCACTTTCTTAACGTGATCAATTATTTCCTAGGTTGAAAATCTCACGCAACATTAGAGAATCAGTAAAATATGAAAATGACAAAAAAAGCGAACAAGAAACATTTCTTGAGACTCGTATTATGAAAGAAACATATATGTGAGTACATTCATCCCGTTGAATGACAACATCTGCAGTTGATTACAATATATAACACAATTATGAACGCTGAGTGAATAGAGATGGTGGATTTATGAGAAAGAATCTGAAGAATGTCCAATACTGGAATGCTTATTTCAAGCGAAATTCTTCTTATTAAACGCTGCCTTAGCAAATGCATCTTGCAGATCGCTTACAAATAGGTATTACAGAGCTTAATAACTAAAGTTACAAATAGTTCAGTGGAGTCAATCAATGCCCTTCAGTTTCCATACATTGCAAAAATTCAAATTCTGTTTACAGTGCTATTGGCATACCGCTCGGTTTCGAGCAAAACTTTCCTCCGCGAACAGGAATCTGCTTACAATTATACGTTTTGCTTGGAACTGAACCATTCGGTGAATTAGTCGCATTGAAGTTGCTTTTACGGCAGATACAGATTAATCGACTCGAAACTGATTAAGTCTGTAAAAAACAACAATCGAGACAAAATTCAAAAACAATACGCAGAAGCAAGTATATGGTTGAAATATAAAGAACACTGCTACAAGCACTAACTTATCGTTAATAAATTAAAAATTATTGTGCAGTTATACAATCACACTTTCAACAAAAGCTCAAGAAAGCGCAACAACGATATAATCGAATAACAATTCAAGAAAAGATATAATAGATTAACGAATATTCATAAACGAATAATTATACAATAGCTTTAAGCTTCATCGCTCGACAGCAGTGAAATTGACAATGAAATTTTCAAAAGAAATATAACTGATTATTACGACAAAACACATTTTACACAAATTACAACACTGAAAAACTGTTGGAATGAATATTGTGAAAAGATATTTCGTCGACGCTTCAAATTAGCCCATAAGTATGACGCAATTGCTCGGTTTCATTGACGGATTAATTGATGACAATAAGATGACAATTCAGTACAGCATGCTTTATTCAACAAGTCTAGAGATGATTCGACGAAGTGAATTTACAGAATGAATCACGTTTGTACTGTGATTCTTTCAACGAGTTTGCTTTATTCTACGTTGATCCAATTTCAGGCTGCAATCATTCAATTCACGCGAGAAATATTATGTTTACAGTACTGTTTTACAATAATTATCCAGTTACTGTCATAATCACATTTATACAATTGATTATAAACCAAATCCCACTGCTTCGCTCAGGTTTGACAACTTAACTTCAGACTTGGACAGTAGCACTAACGATACTGGCATATCATTCGAATTCGTAAAAAACTCTCTTGGTGCTGTCGATAATGTTGTCTTGAAATTCGACAGAAGGTTACTGCTACTCGTCGTCAATTTGCTGCGGTTCACGCAGCCCATCGCTGTGCATGTGTTTACCACTCATCTCCATCACTGCCACTGCTTCAGGATCTCGATCCAGCGCAGAGATCTCTTTCTGTTCGATGATCTCATTCCCTTCACTGTCATAACGTCTTCGTTTCTTTGCCATTCCAATCCGCCATATTTCCACATTGTGTACGTCGAATTCATTCTCACCAGCCAACCAGCACTTCTCGAACGTACTTATATTGGCCGATGATATTCCTTTACCGAATTCTTCCCTCAGAAACAACGACCAATTCTCGTCAGCACCTCCAATACCCTGAACTGATCAATTGATTTCGATTCTGATTCTGAATTATTTTCACCCTTTTCTGAATCATTGATTTTATCAACCTTATGTAATCAACATTATAATTTAACTATGATAAATTGTAACAATCAAGATCAATATATGCACTTAAAGATTCATACTGGAACTGCTAAAGAGGCAGTTGTCAAATCAAACAAAATACTGAGGAAACAATTTTCATAGAACCTTTAAGTGATGTTCAACGTTACAGTTGTTTGACTTGGGTGATACCCAAATGACCTGCTTATCAATTAATGCGATTAGTTTGCTCAAAATCAGGTTTCAACAAAAAAAAGTTGAGCCGAGCGACGTACCAGTCCATTCGGCAATGTCTGCTGCATATGGTTAAGATACGCGAAATGCTCATTGAAACCAGTCGCGTTGAATATGTTCACGCTATGACGATCCTCAAATAAGAAGCAACGCTGATCACCACTGTACTGAGGTCCACACACGAAACCCTCATTCGCAAATCCGCCAAAAACACGGCCTTGAGTTGTTTCGACGATAACAACGCATGCACCTGTTCCATCCACTGCTTTCAACAGTTTTGAGAAACTTTCACCATGAATACGACTGAAATCAACAAAACTGTTCCGTTGAGTATTCCCACTTACAAAGCACTTATCTGAGATTAACTATTGTGCATGTTGCTATTCATGCTGGCTGATGGTAACATTTCTTTTGTTGATCACACAACGCGCATACCTAGCTAATGGCAAATGGTTATGTCCATATGATTCGAATCACTTATTAGTTTTGCCAATTCATAGCTAAATGCAGAATGAATTCAACGCTGGTGTAACATTCAAAATGCATGCTTAATGATTATTCACAGAATAGCAAATAAAAGCTGGAATGCGAGCTTATTATTGGTAAACACAAATACAGCTTGAATTGTAACTGTTTTCATTACTTCAGTTATACTGATGAATAACAATAATAATAATAATAATAATAATAATCTCAGAGAAACATAAAACTGAATGTACACACCTCGAAAACAACAACTTCCACTGATTCCTTGACTGGTGTGGTAGTTGAAGAGTGATTAGTAGTAATGCGGCAGATGTTAATAAAGTGCGTTCTTTGATGGACGGTAATAACTTATTGGTATAACCGAACAGCAATGTCTCGAAAACATATTTGCACAAAGTTGGAAATACTGTTGAATGTGACAGACGTTTTGATATGGTGTCAACTGTAGAGGGTTGTTGTTGCTCTGGTGTTCCTTTCAGGATATATTCAACAAGAAGTGACTGCGACTGTGAGTCGTCCACACACCCTTCACATTTCAGGAACGACGAAACAATGCCTTCGATTATCTTCAAATTTTAACCGTTTGTATTTCCATCAGAAAAGGATAAGATATCAGAGAGCTGCGATCGGTAATATACACGCTTTTCAGCAGATTAATCACATTCTTGTTAGGTGAAGAATCGTGGAACGATCACCACCGCAAATGGAAACTATTGTCAAGTTTATGAAGCGATATGAAAGACCTTTTCTAGTGGTTCTCCGAATTTAAGAATTATTTCGGCTTGTTGATCATAATCACCCAAAACCATTTCAGCAAATCGAATGAAACTCTGACATGTTAACTGAAATTACATATCACATTAAACACCACAAAACGAATATTATCTCATTGGGAAAAACTGAGTTATAACCACCATTCTATCAATTTTATTAAGCAATGCTAGCTTGCTTTCAAAAATTTGTGCTACCTTCATCAATTACCATTTCAGGTACTTACGGAACTGAGATATTTATGAAATCAAAATTTTATTCCTAACGCAGATCAAATATGAGGTTTCTTAAAGGCCAACAAACCCTCAAAACAGTTCGAGTCGTTTGAACAATAAATAATAACTTACTTTATTAGGTTCTTTAGAAAAGGAACTGATGCATTTGTAAATAGTTTTGGCTAGGCTTTCATCGAGGAATGATGACGTGAATTCCTGAAAATTATCCGTTTGCAATACTGGTTTATTCGCTCATTTGCTTAAAAATTAATTCAGTTTTTTTTTCAATGAGAACTCATCGATGAGTACTGCAACGATTTGGTCCAATTAAATTATAGTTGAGGATTATTATTAATGAAGAAGTAAATTTGTTCACGCAATATTCATTCATTCGTGGATTAAGAATTTCCTAAAATGAATAAAAATGAATACGATGGTCAGCAATTGAACACACGTGAACAATAAATGCACACAATTAAATATTAGGTCTAGTAGAAAGTTCTCGGGCAGCTACGCTGGCAAACTGATATAATGAAACATTGTGTTTCATTGTAGAGTTTTTGTATCTAGTGTTATACGTCGCTTTGTAGCCCATTTTCTGCGCTATCCGAATACACCCATACTTAGTTTTCATTCTTTTAATTTGGAGACTTTAGGAGCATTGAATCAAGGCTATGGATAAGATGATAATTCACGGAATTATGCTTTATGAATATGCGGGGATAAGAGCCCTGGTTTCGCATTGGGAACGTTGTGTGGAGCCGAACGGTCCTTATTTTGAACAAAAATGTTAATTTTGAACCGAGTTATGAAACTGTGAAATTTGGGGTCTAACTGCCCGGAAACTTCCTACTAGACCTAATAGTTAATAACAATAATCGAATTAATTAACCAGAAAACTGTGCAGATCGGTGTTTGGTGCTATTTTCTTGAATTGCTGCTTAATCCAAACACACGTTTCTTGATCCAATGATGTCTTTTCATTATTAGTGGCGTCATTCTTTCCATTACTGTTTCCCATTTCAATGTTCTGAAAAAAAAAGATTTATCTCAGCCGCGTTCACAAAGATGAGATGGGAATTGACATTCGATATTGCTATTCAATTACACAAAATCCAGCTTTATATCAACATTCAATACCCGAGGCGTTCAATAAACACTCAGTGAAAAATATTGAGACGTTCAAATGAAACAATAACGCATGATTTTTCGTTATGAATAGCATTGAACATGGAATGAGAGACGTTATGAAGGTGTAACACGGGAAACGTACGGTATTCATGCGACTTGGTATGGGAAAGGGAAGCGAGAGAAATATGCTCAGGGATTGGATATGTGATTGATACGCACACGCGATCTGCTTTAATGATCATGGTAAGTAATGAAAGATGAGGGAGGGATCTGTCTCTATGATGAGTCTTCAAAGGAGAGGATTTATGTAAAACGACAGTTGTGTTAGAGATGAATGTGCGATTAAGAATTATTTACGTTGTACGGATATGATAAGCGGCATGTTCAGATTATCCGTTGACATACATCACACGAGTGTCGGCTATCTTGGGTACAACTTCTGTGCTCAAAGAATATTCAGGCAATAACCGCTTTATGAGATTAACCAGATCGTTTTTGGTGTTACATCGTGACACCCGGAGTAGTGCATTCATGAAGCATGGAAACGTTTGTAAGTGTAAATGAGTGAATTTAGATTGACAAATGTGGAAAATGAAGTTCTTATGAAACAAATTTTAATGTCAATATTTAAATGAATCAATATGAAATTGGTTGTATGTTGTCATTTTGTGTTAAATCAGGTGCGGTTTACTGACTGCTGTTTGACTGATTCATTATGCACGATTTTGGGAGATGTCAAATTAAATGCACACTACTGATGAATATCAATAATCAGTTTTATTACAGCTGTACGTATCAATTCATTTATAATCAATTAATCCGATATGCATTTTCCATGTTTTGCCATTTCGTTATAAACATATTGGTGTGTAAATTATTATACTTCATAAAAGCACCATAACGTTGGATATGCTTGCTCACTTGGGTGATTTGAATAGAATTTGTTGCAGTGAATATTTACCCATTCCAAAGGAAGTGTTGTAGTGAATATTTTATTATTGCAGTGGATGTTGCCATCAATATTGTCGCAAGTTGTTGCAGTGAATATTTTTCCCCAGCTTACTGACGGCTCATAAGCAGATCATAACAGTTACAGCCGAAATGAAATCTTAACTTACCACATCTTGTCAGTTATTTTCATAGTCAACTGAATCAAAACTATTAATCCGAAATCGTATACACTGATTCAATCGTATACGTACAACAGTAAATCATTCCGTCACAAAAACTGAACCAACATTACGATGGTAGGTAGTTAAGAATTGAAATTTTCGGAAACAAGAAACCGTGCTGAAGCAAAGATGCCTTTCTTGGAAAACGCAATTATTTGTGATTAATTCTGCAAACGTTCATTGGAAAGCAATTCACACTTGTGCTCATTGCAATGTTTATTGAGTTTGAATATAACCGATTAAGCATTTCAGTGTGTGTTTTATTTAGAGGATTGTGATTATTGAACAAAGGAATTATTCGAAATAAATTCGATGATACTGAGTGACAGAAAAGAGTTGGAATAAAAATTGGTGCGATTATGAAATGCAAAAACGATTGAGACTTTTATCACAAAGTTTATCGATTAAAGGAACGAAACATATACTGATAACGAACAAATAATTAACAAAATAACCGCTGCACTATCCTAGAATTCTTTACAAGATCAAATTTGTAATCAATGGCGTAGCCAGAATCGTTTTTAGAGGGTGAGAAGGCATTGCAATGACGGTCAGCTTGGTCACAAAACGGTCAAATTCCTGCGTGGATTGTTGCATGTTTTCTTGCCCTTTCCTCGTTTTTTCCTCACTTCCTTCTCCCTTCGCTCCTACTCTTCCTCNCCCCCCCCGTGGTTATGCTTATGACTGTGACGTTTCCACATGTTAGAATAAATATATTATATACGTATATATAAAAGAAAATGAATACTGCATTCGAAATGAACTACGTAACCTTCACAAAAATCGATGCATCAGATTCATCACAGAACTGAATACGTTATATTCCCTATAGCTGTGCAGTGTATAGCGTTCGCAAAACCATTCAACAGTTAACACGAAACGAACTAACAATAAGCTAATTACCATTTAACGCTACTCCTAATCATCAGTTCGTTAATATGAAGTGAACCAAGCTAATTGCCAATTAATTTCTGCATGCTATTCTTTATCATCGGAGGTAGATCAACAATTTCTTCACTGTTCACTTTCATCGCAACCCCTTCTGGTATATTCCTCTCGATATATTCCAGAAATGTACTCATCGTACTTCCGGTCACGTTCTTTATGCTCATACGTCTTATGTACGTTCTCGTTTCGTAATGAAGTTTATACTTCTTATGAACGAATTTCGAACGTAATAATGGCTGAATCCAACGAATATATCCAAGAATTTCAACGGGCGTACATTGGATTGATAAGTGATGGCATGCCGTCTGAAACTGTTCATTTCATCATATTGTAATCGACATTTTACGATGATTCTCTATACCGATATCGTTAGCTGTGTGCAAGACTGGTGTGAATGAGGCATAAACTGATAACTGCCGATTAAATAAGCCTCGTTATGAGAGCAAATGTTATTGATGCTATTTTATTACTATTGTGGTCAATAATTGCAAATTTGGTGTTGTACTCATTATGGCGATAACAAACAACATTGACATACAAATTAGAACAATGAAGTAGAAGTATTAAAGCACCTGCAAGAAAGTTGTATAAGACCTCAGAACGGCTTTGTCGTGTCCTCGCACCTCTAAATTTACTTTCGAATAGAGTTTATCCAACTCTTCATCAACCTTCGTCTCACTGAAAATGATTCCTTGTGAAATCCATAATAAATCTGATCTCACCACAGAAAGTCAGCGATACTTTGATGTTATCCAACTAGAGTTTATCCAACTCTTCATAATCTGTTAAATGATATCAGCACTTGGCAAGAAGGATATGACTACTTGCATCTGATTGGTTTCGATATGGATTGATTCACCGTAAAATCATTGTTTATATTAACCATTAATTTTCTTCGTTTTATTACGACAATTTACAATGTGCTAATAAAGGACTAGCGAGAAACGTATCGAAAAGTCAAGCGTTCGAACTGGATTAAGTTCAGCTTAGTCTTGACCTTATGCTAATGCCTGAACACAGGCTAATACATCGCTTGAGCTTTACGATCAAACTTTGGATACGTTCCCATTCAATACTATTCCAGCCTGACTTTCAAATTTTTCGCCGGAACCCACCGATTGAGTGAATTACGGAATATAACCAATAAAGACTAACTTTGTGAGCGATGTTCCACGCAAACACGCTAAAGCACTTGTACTAGTTTCAGCGATTGATGAGGACAGAATCGAACTGGTACGATTGAATAAGTTACGACATATACTCGATGATATCATTACTGAATTAATTCACTTATTATGCAGTTAATCTGATTGAAACACATACGTAAACGCTTACCAAACGAGTACGTTTCAATATGAGCTAAGCTCAAATGTTTCACAATTGACTTGAATTTTTGGTTTTGCTTATAATCATATAAATACGGCATTTTTCATTTGGTGATATGAATTTTTGTTCATCGTTCAAAAAATGAAGGAATGAATTTATGGTTTGAGCAATTCTCCAATTATTTGATTGGCAGTTGTTACTCTGATTGAATTGACCCAACTAAAGTATATTCACTGTATTTGTAGAACACGACGGATGGATAATTCGAGATATAAATTCGTAATGTGATAACGATTGTTTGAGACTACATCCACCAATGTATTATCAGCAAATGAGTACAAATTATCAGTGAGACGCACGCAAAAAACAGTGAAATTCCAATGGATATTTCATGAATATTATTGGATATATTATATATCAATGATTCGAACGGATTGTTGAATATCGAATGAAACGATTTCCACTGAATGCATATGCACACGATTATGGAGAAGTCTGATCTTTCTTTTCTTCACCAAACATCAATCACTGTACTGATCGTATAACAAAACATCTTTCAAAAACGCAAAAGACCACTCAGCTAACCAGCCAACCAACAACAAATAAACTGAATGAATAAGAATCGCGCTCGCTCGGTGACACAACGAATTTATTGTTGCAATAATTACCACAACAAATCAACAACGATGTTCAGTGGTACAACACGAAGTGTTTCGTTTTAACGCTTATCGATATCGTTATTTATTTACGAACAAAACGAATCAATCAATTCACAAAGATAGACTGCAAACAAGTGACAATAATAACGCATACGACGATGTAACTTGTCCTTCATTTCTGTTACCAATTACCCTTCAATACTGAATAAATCACCGATACATGTGACCAAATTTTTTGAGAAGAAAAAATAACGACAACAATAATAAGGCTACAAAACAATGTGCGACATTTTCACTGAGAATAATCGTGTGATAAAGGATTGGATGGTCAATAAAGTTTGCAAAATGATCTCTTATCAGTGTGAACAAATATTACCACTTTCATTATCAATAACACTCTTCGTCGCTTAAATAATATAATTGTTACTATTCATCACCCTCACTACCGAACAATCCCAATTCAAATCAATTGTTCGTCGGTATTTCCAAAGAAATTCTTAATCAATGACAGCAATTTCCGCGATGGCATCTGCTCACTTCAAAATCACAATTTATCGCGAACATACGATTCGCTCGAAATGAATTTACCATTTTAGACGAATAAATCATCACCGACAACAATCGTCGCAAATTATAAATCAATTAATGAAATTTCAAGTTTAAAAAATAATTGTTAAAACTGATTTAAATAGTAAAAACTTGATACATAAGTGCGTCTCATTTTCTAATGTTGTTTCATCAACAAAACAGAAATCAGCAGCACTCTCAAGCAAGACTCTTACNAAACGACACGCACACATCAACGACAAGAAAAGACATTCCAAGAGCAGTAGTAATTATAACAGTTATATTAATAAGATTACCACACAAAAATCCATCAGGACGAATGTGGCGGTGTTTAAAACAAAGGCTTCTTTATTCCTCTATAATCGCTAGCTTACACCCTTTCAATTATCAGAATTAGAGTGAAATGAAACAAATCATCATTGTGCTTGCATTGGTTCTGCCGCACGTCGTCTACTTGGTGGAACATAAACATTTGGATTTTTTGGTGTTGCTTGTTGCGATGACGGTGGGATTGGATTTGGAGCACCTCCCGATGTTACCTGAAGTAAGACAGTGATCATTTAAAATTCATTACATCCATAACAAAATACATTTAAGTCAAGTTAATCTTTTTTTGTGATTTTGTCACATAATACTGAACATAATATAATATTCTACGGACCCAAAGATAACGGTACTGACGACAGCTCAAATGAAATTGAGTGAATGATTACAGACATAAATAAACTAAACGGAAACGATAACCGCAATACTATTAATGATAACAATGATCATAGCAGTAAGAGTAAATACCTGTTTAACAGCAGAGAAAAGGGCTGCTCTATCAGTGGATGTTGCAGGCTGACTAGATCTGTGCCATGGATTCGAAGTTGGTGTTGAAGAAGCTCGTTGACTAGCAGAACCACCAGCTGCTGCCGCCCAACTGCCACCACCAGACGATGTGTCTCTATCTGATGTTACCGTAGTGAAACCGTCATTTTTCCTTCAATTAAACCATTTCAGTAGAGCAATTGTCAAGCAACACTACGTATTCTCCTCTTACACAATCATTTAAACAACCTAATCAATCAAGTGAACATTATCCATAACTCATCATATCCCACCATCAACTGCACCTGTCGTCATTCAATAACAATTGAATCCAAATAAACAACAATCACTAATATTGACTTGGTTCGATCAAAGCTTTATTTTTGATTACTATTATTATTAATTTACATAGTATTAGAAATAATCAGAAATTTGTATTAAAAATACTCTACCTCTTCTTCTCATCATCCTTTTTAAGTTTCTCGATTTTTTCAGCATCTTCAAACGTCGGAAACATTTCTTGATCGGCAATATTTGGTGCCACACCAGTTCTAAAAGCATTTTGCGCCACCAGATGACGCGGCCTCCAGATGGCCGGCTTCGGCGGTGTTATACTCTCCTCCGGTTCCTTCTTCTAAAACCAGCTCCATCACATGTTTGCAGTAAATTGAAAAAGAATCATCGCATGATCATTCGGACTCAACCGAACAATAAAATAGCATTGAACAATCACTAATCAATAAGATAAACCAACCTCAGTGGTTGTCTTGTTCCAAGTTTTCGGTGCTTCCGTAGTCTGCGATTTCTCTTCATCTATCGCTTCGTCGACTTGCTCAGTTAAATTCATATCACGAATACCAAGTTCTTCCAAAATAATCTCTCTACAATTATCATCTTTATTAATATGGATGCAACTGAGTACAACTTGATGCCGATTCTTCGTCTGCTGGGATACTCTCATGAATTTTTTCCTCACATAAAACAAAAATGTGACTCAACACGAGCATCCATCTTCTTTTGCCGAAATCGTTAACATATCGGAATAAACTTACTTATTTGTATCCTTGAATTCGAGCCATTCGGAATCTTCGGTTCGCTTCTCGAAGAAGGTCGCCTCCTCTTGAGCACGCTTTTCTACGTCTTCATTTTCGCGATCTCTTTCCTCCTCAAATGGATTAATTCGAAATGCAATCAATTATAACAATTCCAGAATGAAACAACTGTCAAACTCTCTGATTCCTTTGGAAGAGAAGTTTTCGTTCAGCAGAGTAATGCATGATTCTGATGTACAGTGAACCAAAAATTCAATTTAAACAACTTCATGAATGACTTATATCCACTTGCCTCGTAGAATAACTTCTACCAGAGTTGAAACGATAGATCAAAATACAAATAGATGTATTAAAGAAGGAATCGTTAGAGAACCTGTCTTTTCGCTTTACGTTCGAGTACTTGACCAACATCATCAACACTCACTTTAACCTTCTTTTTTTTATCCTTCGATTTCGCCGCTTTTTTGGCAAAAAACTGCGACAAGTCATCAGCCATTCTGAAAAATTTTCTTTTCAAAAGTAAACCAGAAAACAGTGCTCGTATAAAATCAACGAATATTTATTTTAAGTCGAATACTGCAACACATTCCGCTAAATTAGTCACCTACTAAGACGTTAAGCAATGCAACTCGATGATTTATGCATTCAAGTGGCCCAACTTGCCAATTTTCTAACTGCCAAAAAAGTAAACTAAAGCCGGAAAGTTCGAAGACTGATGAGTCTGAAATAATTTTTGCAAGAAGTTAATGCCAAACATTTGTAAATGAGGCTTAAAAAATTCGAAGGAATAAAAAAGAATGATAAACCTGCTGAATATAATTCGTTAAAATGAATCCAAGAAAAGACGAAATGCTTGACGAGCTCAACAAGTGACGATGGTGAATCAGTCGAAGCAGCCAATAAATAAATAAATAAATAAATCAATTTGACTGATTTTCGTCTTGGACAATACCAAATACTAGCTATTTGTTATTGACACAATTATGACGTCAACTGAAATTTGAAAAACATCGACAAACTTAGCAAATTTTAGCGATGATTATCAAATGATGGTAACAGAACCGGTTCAACATAATTTATCGAAGAGTTATTTTGATGTGGGGGGAGGGGATCAGCTTGATGGTTATATGAACAAATAGGAACTTGATCAGAAAACGACGACAGCTAGATGAATCATGTACAAAGATTAAATCAATTCCTACGATCCAAATTGATTTATATGAAAGTAATGCCCATATATCTTACCAAACTAGTTGTGGTGGTGCACAGTGAAGGGACACAGTCAAAGACGATAATCAAATGACGCCTTTTCGAAAGGAACAATGCAAAACTCCAAACTGATTCACCTGGGAGGGTCTTTACCATGATTAGGCAAAGTCAGACAATAGTATAGGTGTTATCAGTGGATGAGCCAGGCTTTTTTAACAACCGCACGCATAGCGCACGCTTTATTCTGGATACGATACGAGATTCCAATCAAGATCTCAGCAAAGTGCTACCAAAATTCAGCAGCAAGTGGGTTTTATTCTATCAGTTCGATGGGAAAACAAGAGGAAAATCAGTCAACTGTTAGACAAATCAAAATGAAACTAAATATGATGAGCTTATTTTACGTCCTATACACATTCCCGGCAGCAAACAGACCAACGGCAAAACGATTTCCTTATCACAGATTGACGAAAGCAAACCGAACAGCATCTCTCTCTCACGAATACAGTATTAAATTCACGCCTGTTGGCACACATCAAACAAAAATTTCATCGAAGCGAAGCCATTTGGCGCACTGCCACATAAGTATTTCAAAATGGAAGATTATTTAATTGTCATCCGTTTTTGCAGAGTCGGGCGAAATCTTAAGGTAGCGACTGAGCAGTTTACATCGCAGATAGCGATCTGTTATGCACGCGAACGTCAACTTGCCGTGCTAGGATTTCGTGCCGGCTGCCCCGCATTTACCATTCTCATTCAGCACGCGACTTTTCAATTTGGGTCGGGGTGTGCACTCGAGATTTTACAATGGATTGAATTATTTACGCGTTATCATAGGGTTAGTGAAACGAGACGTTTAATCAAACGCTCTGGATATCATAAACTGACAGCGTACATCTCACAAATATCACTGGAACAGTTCATAACTCCAATCATAGACCTAACCAGTTGTCCAACTAAGACCACACTGTGTTCCAGAGGTGGGCATCGGTTTGTTAGTCATCAATCGCTAATTTATTCAGTAGCGAATCAACGAATGCAACAAATTTGAATGAGTTGACGAAATTGATAGTGGCGATACTGTTCTGGCGGCACGTTAATCGGTTAAAACGATCGCAATAGAACTACCGAAACGATGATTGTGTACAACACGCGAACATTTGGGCACAGATTACGTATTGTTAACGGAATACAGAAGTGATGTGTGCGTAGAGCNTGCGGTCGTATCGCCACCGGGATTGGAACTACAGCAAAACTTTGCCAGAACCGGAAGGGAATTGCCAGAGCTTCAATCAGTCGGACCCTGAAGGGTTGAAGAAATCAGCCGGAACACCAAAACCGGAAGGCCTATCCTCAACCGCATGCTTCTTTACGGTTACCACTGAATGTGCAAACCGAAACAAAGTTTGGTTATCGGTCACCCGAATTGACGAATATGTTTAACGGTTAATGCCATCTATTTTCATCGTGCATAACTATTCAAAGTTGTCGACGTTAAATTTTTGATTGAAGGGTTACGAGCACCGGGCAATGAATTGCTAGGCCGAGTCGGACCAAAATTTGCCAGGCCTGGCCGGGCCAAAGCAGGAATGTAAGTGAGTGCACTGTGTAAGCGCCAGGTGTAGTAAGTCGTAATCCGGCTTGAGAATTCTTGGTCCGACTCGGTGGCATGGACCTGGCACTTCCACACCTTCTTTAACGCTGCAAATACTTTCGCATTCGTGATCAGTTATAAAACAGTGTCATTAGTAATGTCATTTCAGTGAATAATTACGAACTAAACGTGATGTCAGCTCATTCCGAGCGGATTCTAATCACGGGCCTCGCTCCCGAGACGACGTACGGTATGGTTGAAAGGTACTTCTCAGAGTTCGGAGCATTAACCGAATGTACGGTTATGACTGACAAGGTTCCGTTTCACAGCTTTCAATTTATTTCTTTCAATATCCAGTCGTTAATCAATTCACTGTTGCTTATGCATTTTGGTACANCTAAGCTGACCTATATCTTTGGAATAGTTTGTTCATTAACCAAGTTGTAAAAGGAATTGATTAGTCGCTTTGTGAAGCAATCGAAAACAGTTAATTTCTAGGATTCGCGTCGATGTCGTGGTTTTGCATTCATCTCTTTCATGGAAAAATCTGTTGCTGATGAATGCATGCAAGTATCATCGCATTACATAAACGCTATGAAAGTGAATTTACGACTTATCGATGATGTTAGTTTGATCGATTTGTTCAAAATATAACTGGAAACATTGGGGAGACATCGGCGAAGGAATATCGCTTCTGAGGATTAGGAAACCTATTGTTAAAAAGATGAAAACTTGAACACCCGCTGAGCGCTCTCATCCAACCTTCTGGGACAATATTGTTCACCTCGAATCCAACCGCTTTGATTTGACGCCACTGCCCAAATGCGGATAACTATTGTCGCAAACGTGTTTCTTAAATACTATTTTCATAAACAAATTCTTTTGTATTATTATGAAATTAACATAATGCAATTATGTTCGCAAAATTGACATTGTTTCAAATTATTTTGATGTTATAGTTGATAGAAATGCTTACAGAAACAGCAAAGTTCATGTTTTCTTCGCCCACCTCATCTCCTGTCAGCATTGATTTTGGAAAATTTTGACGTATGACATTCTTTACTACTAAACGAGAATAGATTTGTTGTACCATTTTGCAGTGCATTCAAGGTGTGTACGCTTGGAATGTGTAATGATTACCTAATAAAGAAAAGCTCTTTAATAATCTCAGAGAGATAATCGAGTAATAGAGGAGGTATGTAGTGATAAGTTGAAAAGTATCCAGGCACGGATGTCAAGTGCAAAATGAATACATGAACTGTGCATAATTTATCTGATGCTGCAGGTGTCACATGATGATGAATTCGCAGATGTTCCAGTGAAGAAAATTTTGGTCTCGTTTACAGACAGAGATATTTCAGCACGTCAGATTCATGAATATTTCTCAAGATTCGGTGATGTAAAAGTCGATTTCGATGAAGATGATGAGGTATGCTGATCTTATTGACTTAACGAATACTTATTTCATTGTGACTAAATCAAATTTTTGTGATATTTGGGATCATTGAAGTTAAATGCTTCATTGGATCTGAATGTCTTCTTCATTGCGTATATTACATAGTTGTTAATGTCATTATGGTGATTCTAAAAAAGCCATGATGATCTTAAAAATAAATAATTATTGTGATATTTGTATTGTTAATGTTGTTTCAGGATAATCTTGGTATTGCGTATGTAACATTCGATGACGATATCACATGTAAAACGTGCCTGGCCATAAACGAGCATCGCATAAATGGATACGATATTGATATTCGTGCTTTAATACGTAAAGAAGACCTGCTTAAGAACGAACAATCGAAACGTGAGAAGATGGCATCAGATAATCAATCGGATGGTAATAATAGTGCTGATGATGAATACAATCATCATCATAATCATTTAAAACGATCTCATTCATCAACCGATTACAATCCGCAGCAAATGACTAGCTATACGAATGTGAATTCGGTGCAACCAGCACCTCTATATAACAATGATTATTGCAATGATATTACGGGTAATACGCATGTTCGACCCTTTGCTAATTATTGCGATGATTACGGCAATAATTATAATTATTCTAATATGAATGTTCATTCCGAAGCAGTGATAAGGCAAGCCAGTCGAATGTATCCGTCATATCAGAGTGATTATTATTCACACGATTATAAAACCAATTCATGTCCGACCCCATTCCATCCATCAAATCCATATTATTCGCCATCGGCTTTTAACGATGATGAGCAACCACCAAGAAAGCTGTTCTCCCCGCAAAACCCATCAGCTGCCTCATTATCGGCTGGTTACGGCGGTTATGTTCGAGGTTGTAGTAATTATTTTACATATCCGAATCGTTTGAACTATCCAACGTAAAACTTCATTCGATTTGTTTATTGTTTCTTTTGCTTTATGCTTCTCGAGGTGATTGTAATCGGCGCGGAGTGATGATCACCAAAATGTCGAAGAACGTTTGGTGTGACACTGTTGTGGACTAGGCTAATCTTATGTGTTCTGTCACAACTGAAATTATTCACTGTCATTAACTTTTTCAATGTTTTTATCGAGTAGCACTATGAAATAGTCGTCAGGTCCGATCGAGGTACTGTTTTTGGTGATTTTTGAGACAGTGATGTGGCAGATATGCGAGAGGCGTTAATTGCTTCACGAAACTGATGAATTATGCGTTGTTCATACCTTATCTTATCAATTGTAATATATCGTTGTGCTGAGATATTTTAATATGTGTGCCTCATTGTTTGTATATGTTGCGTACGTTACTTCATAAAAGTATACCATTCAATAAATGCATACTGATTCATCTTCAATTTGATTGCCTCTTCATTGGATTATCTTTTTCAAATTGATGCAAGTTTAGTGTATGGACAGAACTAAGCGACCAACATATCTGGCTGACTGACTGTGGTTGTCGATTGAGTTAAAAGTTGAATAGATTGATCTACTGCAGTGAATGAATAGGAAAAGAAACAGCAGGTGAATAATGCACGGAGGGTGTGCGCAAGAAACAAGTTGATGACAGTCAACGAATAGTAAAAAATGGAACTTGGTGGCAATGGAATGTCGCACGGAGTTGGTGTGATAACGAGCATTGTATGGCAGTTAGTTTATGAGGAATGGGTAGCACATGGAGACTGTATCGCAGTTGGGTGGGGTGGGGGGGGGGGGGGGGGGGGGGGGGGGAGAAATATGGGAGGTCCACCGTTTCTTACATGAAATCAGAAAACAATTATATTATCAAATACCATTTAATGCAATTGAGATGAGAAAAACAAACAGTCGCACCAATGACTTATTTATTAACTCGTTAGGATGCAACAATTGTTGTACATTAATATTATTATGATTGTGCACCAATAGCAAAGTGTGTTTCGAATTGCTGCAATTTAACTGTCGTCAAAATGAGGAAATGAATGCAATGCCATGACGTTTTCACCGCTGAGCGTATGCCTAATTTCATATTCTCATTGACAATGAATAGACCATGCAAACTCTCATTGAGATATTGTTTGCGTAGCATACTAATAGATGAAATTTTTTTCTGATTTCAATGATTATTTGGACTCAAACGACTGTTGAATCTTTTTTCTTTGCTTTTAATGCGGAATGATTTGGAGCTTCGTGAATTTGAATGATTCGGAGTCGGCGTTTCCCATCAAACGATGTTAATTTTTTCAGTTGTTATTTGGTTTTATCAACAGGTATGAGATTAATAATCGCTTCGAAATTGGAATTACCGAATGCAGATTTATCGGCTCGATTTCGGAAGGTTTTTCATTTTATCCATTTCTTTTTTTCGCAATATCTCAATCTTACTCAGCAATTCCTTTGATTGACTCAGTATCTCTTCATTGCATGTATGCTGTTGATCATCAGAATCCATCAGTCACAATCACGAAATTATAACATGCATGTTTAACTAGCATTATCCCTATTGAAATATGGATAATCATTATCAATTGAATATTATTTTTTATCAAACAATTCAAATTTGCATAACTAAATGATCCATATTTATAGTTGATAGCATTGTGGTGCGACAATTGTAATGCTATGAATAAACGCGTCCATGGAGCCAAGCTGTTAGAATCAAATGAAGAAATTCATAAAAATATAATTGCTAAACTGAAAAGTTGTCAGCTGGAAAATGATATTGAAGTGAGGCAATTTGTGCCCAAAAACGACACTCTGTTCTCCAGTGAAGCGTTTGAAGTGTGCCATGTTTCTGAAGGTTTGCATCGTCCTCTGCAGACTCTTGATAAATTTCATTCTGATCAGATGTTTTGCCTATTGCATTTACATTTCAGACAAACGTCAAGCCGATTTTTGTTCATTTGTGTTCGATGATAAGCAACATCCTCATATTCCATTCGACTATCGACTGCTGTTGGAAGCTCATCCATCGCCTGTTGGCGATCACTGCACATGGTGTTCCTTTCTTTCACCTTCTATCGATTTTATAACTGTTACTGATTAGAGTGATCTGTTCCAGATCTATTCTCATCAATTTTCTGTCCTAATAGTTTTTTTACAGTAGATTTGTTTTGTTTGTATATGTAATCATTCTATTTTAGATGCATCTGATTTAGTGGAATGTTGGAGAGTTGTCGTGATTTCATGCATCTGACCTGAATATTATTTTTTTTTGCAGTGAGTTGCAGGTTTATGGCGATGGTAATGAACAGCAAATTGGTTGGATGCGAGACGTTGCATTCAAACATCTTCTGAGGTGATCCGTACAGTCGTTTCGTTTTCATTCATAAGCAACAGTAAAGTTAACGTTCAGCTAACCACCTGTTGTACAGCTCATTTGTTTGTGTTTCATTGATAAAATGCATCAGTCTACAGATTTATGTGCGTTTCCACTGAAGTGGGTAAACTGAATTGATTTATGTTATTATTTATCGTTCAGATGGTTAGCAAATATCACTGTTGATGGAAAAGCATCAATAAAGTCGCATCAGCTTATTCAAATTGATAATTATGTCAAAACATATCGAAATATCAAAGAGAATTTTGGAAAATCCATCGTTTTGGTAGGTTATTATGCATATCTGCCATGAAAGATTCATCGAGCAAGGAAAAACAAAACAAAATGAGTTTTTTCTTTGAATCATTTTCGTATTTCTGAACAAATGTTCTACATTCGACTAAATGTTGTTGAAAATGGTTCATTATTGGTATTGATTTTGTAAATTTCGGTTCGAATCTTTACATTTATAAATATTGATCATCAAAAGTTTGTGGAAAGATTTGATTTTTTTGTTTGTCAGAAGTGGAACGAACGAACTGATCCGCAAAAATTTGTTTACGAAGACTGCGCCATCGCTGCTTATTTAATCGTAAGTTTTTTATCAGCTGAAGCATTTTGATAACTGATCATTGTTATTTCATCGAGCATCACAAATATTCATTCACCTCATTTTAATATTGAACTTGAGTATCTTCGAAACTAACGAAAATATCAGTACGAGCGATTGAGGATGAGGTCGGAGCAAAATTCAAACCTGAGGGTCCACAAGCTTAGAAAGTAGTGGTGATAATCGACCGAAGTTCGTTCAGAATTCGGAGTTTCGGAATCTCAAAGTGTGACTTCGGTTGGATTCCGATCGAACTGAAATTTCTTCCGGATGCTATCACTAGTAGAAAGGGGGCTGGAAATCTTTCGGATGATCGAGGGCCCTTGATTAACCTTTATATTATGGATTACTAATAATGATTTAGAGCTTGTCTGCTTTACATGCGAATGTTTTAATCATCGTCATGAGCGAGATATTTTTATGAATCATGCTGAGAGCGTAGGGATGAGTTTCGTTGCGCCATTGCTTCTTTCATTCAGTAGAATAAGGCCTTGCATCTTCTGACTTGAATTATCCTTGTATTTACAACGCAAATGCATCTTAGTGAGCATTGTTACGAACTTATCAAATTTATTCCATTTATCCTAAAGTGTCGTTGCGTTCAAAGTTGATTCCCCTTCTTCTGAGTCAAACTGTTCTCTTATTCAATATCTGAATAAACCTTAATGAACCATTGAGGAATTGTGGCGGTCCAAAAATATCGAGCCGAAATGTTTTTGCGATATTGGCTGTGGTAATGGACTTTTGGTGCATCTTCTCACCACTCAAAAGGTATTTCTTCAGTGCGGTTTTTTTTCTTTGTCTATTATCTTACAACTACGCTAAAAGCATTTATAAAGAGTTATCATAATAAAGACTATAGCTTCGTCGATGATATAGCATTTTAACAGTTTACTGGCTATGGAATCGATCTGAGACGTCGGAATATTTGGAGTAATTTTGAAGGGACTGACCTGCGCGAGTTGTCCTTAAATCCAGAAGTAGACACCGTGCAAGAAGGCGATTTTTTGATTGGGAACCACAGCGATGAATTAACACCATGGATTGCAATTCTGGCAGCGAGGTGGTGACAGTATGAATTTCGTGTTTTCTTATCATAGCGAGTTATTTCATATATTCAGAATTGCTTTCTTGAAAAGTCGGTTGAATACTGTTGCTTTAAATAAATCTGTTCCTTGCCTAATATGCTCCTGGCTTTGCGACCGTAGAAACAATCGTCAAATCGCAGTTTAGCGTTTTGACTATTGATCACTTTATTCATATCAAATACATAATCGATAGCTAGTTGTGGTGCTGAGAGTTAGATTGCTACTATAATGAGCTATTGCTGCGTGTTTATTGGCTATGAAATCGATCTGAGACGTCGGAATCGTATTTCATTGAGTAATTATACTTTAACATCTCTTCAAAGAGCATTGATCGGTTACAGGTCAAGATGTAATTTCTTCCTTCTGCCGTGTTGTCCTTTTGACTTTTATGGACGCTATCAGAAAAAAATGAAAGGAATCAGTGGAGACAGTTGTTATGGTTCATATTTGGTGTACTTAAGGAGCATTTGTGAAAGGTATTTTATACTGCCAATGAAATTATGTTTTGCTCGATAAAACAGTCGCGTTGTTTCGCAATTCAGTCAGTTTTAATTGATAATTTGCCCGGTGTGTAATAGTCACTTCTGCGGCGATCGAACGCCGTCATTTTGAAGTATCTTTTATATTATTAATTGACAGTTTCATCGTACCTTAAGATTGGGATATCGAATTGAAGAAGATCGTCTCAAAATCCCATCAACTAAAAGACGATGTCTCATCGGGTTGCTTCCGAAAGATGGTCTGCCAACGAATCTTGATGAAATCATTGAGTTTATTTTGGGTGAGAAAAAATCGAATGGATTTATCGCTCGTAGTAAAGTGGAAAAAGTTAGTTTTGCAGAATACTTTTCCTCAGTGATGACACTAATTATAAACACTGTGAACGTAGTTTTGAGTGACTAAGGCTAATTTTAGAAATCGTGGTGATAGGTGATTTTGAATGCAGAATTCTTTTCATTGCAACAGATGTTCATTACTTCAAATTTTATTGGTTCTCTTGTGAACATTCACACAAACAGAACAACAAACTCAGCCTTTTCACGAATGAAATTAAACCTGAATCATCTGTATCACTGCTTTAAGGTGACGAACTGTTCGCAGCTTCCAAGAGACGTTCGACATAGTCTGACAATGAAGATATTTGACTATTTGTTCAACCTGGATGGTGAAACTAGGTAAGATCTGCTATCCACTTGTAATAATATCATGCTGAGTGGTGCTCATTTCTTATGGAAATATTATTGGCAACTAGAAAATGCTATGTAATAGCTTAATGAATTCATGAGTTATCCATTACGAAAATTGGATTTCCTATCCCTTTTCGAACGCAGACTTATGCCAAATCGAGAACGCATTGTTTGAATATCTCAATATCTAGTCTGGTTTGATTAAATCGAAATTCGGTCGTTGTTCAATGGTTTATGAATGCAATTAATACGTTTAAAAACAGTTGCTTTTCTCGGATTTCATCACAATAGCACTACAACAGCGATTTTGCAAGAGTAACACTATCAAACAGAAAAACGCTATTAATGAGCTTGAAACCCTATAATTGATTATTAAGCCCTACGTTAAATTTATTCAAAATTCATTCGAATCGGCTGTAATATTCAATTTGATTTCATTATTTGATGATATATGTTTGGTAACATTACAGTAGCACTCCATCATGTAATGAATGGCATCGCGGAGGTATTGCTTCACTTCTGCAAGTCACTCAAATTCTTAATGACTCTGATAAACAATATTTAAAGAATTCTGATGGTGGTATTCAAACGTTTCTCAAGAACCAACATCAGGTTTTCAAGGTTCATAGTTATAATTTCAATTATTTTGAGAACATCAAAGGAAATGAATCGTTTCGGATTCCTAGATGCTTTTCTTATTAGCGGTCTTTTGTGATAGAGCGGAGTAGCTAGGGTATGACTTACACACGGACTGACAATGAGAAGAATATCAGCAACAATGTTCTTAGTGGCAATGATATATGATTAAAAGCCTGGTGTCATATAGATATTACAACGGCTATAAATTCTCGAGATAATCATGAATAGGACAAAATGTGTGGTAAGAGGTAGGGTACTGCAATAAAGAAGTATTGATGAGATGGTAATTTCGATCATTTGAGGTATCGCGAGGGATGGTTTCGATTCGTGATTGGGCTCAAGAAGGTGCTCGTAAGGTGAGTGCCAACACGAAAAGAAGTCTCTGTTGGTTCCATAAGAACCATCCGAGTGGATGTCCTCTTCCGAGTCATCTCTGTTCATATGTACATCACTGATACATACATATCAAATAAAGTTCTTATGACACTGTCTCTTTCGAAATTTCGCATTGCTTCTTATCCACTGCAATTTCTAGTGAAATCTTTTTATATATTCAGTTATCTGTACAACAAACTACGCGACGTGATATTTAAAATTCCGTCGTAAATCTTTTTTGATTGGGAAANGAAGCATTTGAATTATCTATTAGAATTTGTAAGATAAACCTTCTTTCAGTTAATTTGGTAGTTTAGGCTGCTAAAATAAGAACGGCACTCTGTTTGTATACATACATTCGTGACTGAATTAAGAATGAGGATCTGACTTATATGATAGATGTGCATTGCAGTAATCGTCATTTGTGTTCAGTTGAAGGTAATTCAAGATGAGCTCTACCGATGAACTGGCAAATTACAGATTACAACTCGAACAGGTTCCGTTGCATTTTCTTCATTTTCGAGCAGTTTTGTTAATCGTTCGATGAATTCGTATGGTACTGTGTGCAGTGCACGAGTACTGAGTTACGAGTGCACCTAGTATAATGAGGAAGCGTCGGCTGTTTTGTTTCAACAATTCCGTTTGGTCTTTACTGTTGAGGTGATACCGCAATCATGAGATTCTCACTAAGATGATGTTTGAGATCAATTATAGTTTCAAGTTTCGGGCCTCTGCTTTTCTTCCGCATTGATGTGTGGTTCGTTCATCCAAAAAAGTTATTTTAAAAAATTTAATCATTCCTTGAGCCATCAGGATAGATGGAACGGAAGAAAGAGTGCTGAATGACAGTTATATGAATCCGACAACCGTGGCAGAGAAGTAACTGGTGTTTATGCCACGTTTTCAGGTGGAAGCTGCATTGGAAAGTGAACCGGACAATGAGGAGCTGAAACGATTAAAATTCGATCTGGAAGAGGTGATAAAGCTCGAAGAAGAACTTCTTAAGGATACCGCGTCTTCTGCTTCACGACAGCAGTCGAAAGTTGAAAGCGCTTCGGATATAGCATCGTCTCCGTCCTCATCCGTACCGAAAAAAGAACCGATAACCTGGAAGGTTGGCAGTAATTCGTGATGCGTTAAATTATATAGTTAAATTCATCCCTAGCAGTTGTTCCAAAATATGCTTCAGCGACTGGAAGTTATTGAGCATAATTTCATTGGTGTTGAAGGTTGGTGATCAATGCAAAGCACCGTCAGCTAACGGACAAAAGTTTTTGGCTGTTATTGATGGGTTCACTCAAGAATCAGCTGCGGTTACGTTTGTCGGTAAGTATTGTCGATTCGATTGCAGTCTCAAAACGGATAATTTTTCATTTATGGAATGACGCGAAATGAAATTCAATAATCCACTATAGTAATCGTTGAATGATTTTGAAGTATCAGTTTTTATGATAATCATAATCGTTTTTGTAGATGCGTTGTGCTCACAGAGCTGTGTGTATTTTGAATATATATCTGAATTATAGGTAAAGGTACGAAACATATGGTGAAAACATGTGAGCTTTCGCCGGTGAGAGATGAAGAAAACAAAAAATACGTTTGGGATAAAACAGCAAAAAGTTTGCATCACCGTAAGAGCGAATGGCAGGTAGAGTAATCGTGGCGATTTTTTGAGTGTATAAAGTTATCTCGCATGCGTTTACCCTCTTTGTAGAATTAAATTTATGCATTTTCAAGTATTTTACAAATTACCAATCGTAAGGAGGTGGAATAATGGAGGTGGTTTGTGAGAAATATAAATGAATATAATGAAATATAATATCAGTAGTAATAAATACGATATTTAATATCTCTTTGGCATAGTATTGAGCGATACAATTGCAGATGGAACGAGAACGGCGCCGTTTACGGGCGTTGAAGAAGGAGCACCGAAAGAAGGAGTTGGAAGAAGCGAAAGAGGACGAAAAGAACAAATGGCTGTCGTTCAATGCGAAAGCGTCGAGTCGTTCAATGAAGGTTCAATTCGTTTTCGTTGGCTTCATTATACTTTGAAGTTGAATAGCCTTATCAGGCCTCTTAGCCAGAGATTGAGATTGGAATGTGTAAACTGTAAATGCCGAACAAGACGGGAATGTCATCCTTTTGAAGAGTCACCTTTAGTATTCCCTTTGTGCCGCTGATTGTAAGAACTACGAAGTCCATAATTTTGATGCCGAATATTACTTTGATTCTAGTAATATTGATTATAATAACAGTTATTAATTGGTAACATTTCTAACATTCAAGGGATTCAAACGACCAACCGCTTCTGGTTCAGCCCCGGATGGACCAAAGTGGGGCATCACCACACAAACATCAATCTCGTCACGTCGTGATCTTGGCGCTTTCAAATCAACACAAAGAGGAAATATGGATTCTTTGTTTTGAGTTTATTCGTTTAATTGCCGATTCGCTTCGTTCGGTCCGTATTTACCATTTGATTACGTTTTTGAATAATGATTTTATTTCGTCGATTTGCTCTTTTTTCCTTCAGCTTTTCCCATATTCATGGCTTGTTTAATGAGTACAAAAATACGAATGATGGTGATAGGTCATTATGAATCTGTGAAAACAATGTTTTTCGGAGTCGGAATTTTCTTATCAATTGATTGCGCCGTCATGGACGAACACGAACGGACATAAAACTTATTGCAGTAACGTGCTATGTTTCTTGTTCATTGCTTCGTTATCGTACTGTATTCAAATTCGATTGTTATTGTTTCATTTTATCTATCGTTGGAGTTAAAATCTTCATTTTAAGAAAGCTTCCCTTCTTGTCCTTTTATTTCTTATCATCTTATCATGTAACAATGTATTTCATTCCTACCTCTATGAATCCTAATCACCCGTTTAGTAGATCGTATGTACTTTCCTAAAAATTGTTAGCCAAATGGTATTCTTCTTTGCCCCATCAGAATAAAATGCTTCGTGATGAATGACACTGGCATTTTTTCGTTCTTTTTAACGCAGGTAGTGACCAGTATAAAGTAATAACTAATTCGCTTTGAATGAAATAATGTTGTTAATTTTTATGATTGAGAAGGAATAAGGCGATTGCATTCCAAATGCTTTCTTGGATTTCTTATTGTTAGATTGCAATAGATTTGTCGAGTTCGATGATGTTAAATAAAGCAAAAAATTCGCATGGGATAATTTAAGTTCATCCCTTCGTTATCTTTAGAATAGGATCGAGGTGGCTATTAAACTAAAGTGAACGGGTTTGATTGGTGAATGACCTCGAAAAACCGAATTTCGGTGGTAGATTCGGGAAGGAGCCCTTCCCAGTTGGGGTTCCGCGTGGAGAGTCCTCGTGATGATTTCTGATGAAGCATCTCCAGTTGTCAATCCCCGTAGGTGCACCCACGGGGATTGATAAATGGTTGGAATCCCTCGCGAGGCGGAGGATTTTAGGAGCCTCGTTGGACTCTGGGGACCTCTTACTTTTTGCTTGTAATCTGGAAAATATAGTTTGTTAACGCTTTTGGAGCTTTTTCAAACATGACGACGCAGACTGCTTTGAGACGTGGATTGCGACGATGAAGCATTCAGATTTTTCTTCGGAGGAGGACGAACAGTACAATACAGAAGAATTTAACTTAATTGGCGAAATGAAACTTAATGGATATGTTATAATATAGGATGCCACTCGCTGGCTAATTAATATATATCAATTTACAATGAATAACTTTGATGAGCTGAGTATGGACTAGATATATCGCTTAGGGTGCCACTCGTCGGCGTATTACATATATCGACTGAATGACGAACTTCTCTGATCTCCGTTCCTCGGCTTCTCCACAGCCTTCTTTTATGGCCTTCGTTCCTTCTCCCTTTCTCACGTTCATGAAAGATCATATTCGTAGATAACATCTTATTCTTTGCTTTCATACAATGTCTTTGTTTTGGCCATTAAGATGCATTTTCTCTGAATATGCAACAAATATGTTGCCTTTCCCATATGTTCATCTTTATGTTTTCATTTGAACTGTTTCATCGGAATGTTGTTTTGGGAATTCGAACAGTACACTGTTTACAGATGGAAATTCATCGTCAATAACTCAAATTTTCTGGCTTTAGCAACAACAGTCATTCATACAGCAATGGCGATTATAATGTGTAGAAAGGAAGTTAATGTAACAGTCATAAATTTCGGTTAAATCCTCTGAAGGTAATGAAGTACACTCGAATATACGAGTGGAAAAATATCATTTTCAAAATCAAATAGACTTCAAAAGCACATTGTAAACAAATGTTTGTAATTTACATATATCACCAGTGTATGATCATTTTCTATTACACAACCACATCATGTTCCTCATTCATTTGCTCATCCCCAAATGAATTATTACTCGAATAACTTTGAATGGAATAACAATTCGTATTTTGGTTGAAGACAACTGTAGAAAGAAAAGCGCTCGAAGTCTTGTGTTAATTTTGCGGAGAATTTTTAGAAATTTCATCACAGAAATATTTCTGATTATTCGAGTATAGTGAGAATGTGAACTATGGAATTCAGCAATATTTTGTATGCTCTTTATTGGGGTGTTCAAATAGTAGTGATCGCATCCTATTCAGTTCGGTCTATTGCGAAATTCCAGTTCGGTCCTATTCCGAACAAATCGACTTTTCAGTGTTCCGAAGTTCGAAATTCGACCGAATTCACATTTTTAAATTCCGAATCTCACAATTCCAACCGAACTCCGATCAGTTACCATCGCCACTGCCTCGGTTCGAAATTTTAGCTGATTGATTCACTCTTTGCTGACGGACTCTTTGTTTGTATGTACAGTTAATGCGCTTTTGCCAGATAAAAAAATATGGTAGAAATAAGATACGTTTCATATTACAACGGTTCTGTTCGCTTATTTCATAAAAGATTGTTTAAGACTTTTTGTTTGACGAAGATGATCCATCCTATGGTGAGTGAGTGAAAAAGCTGATGTGTTCCTAACCTGTTGCACTATACGTACAGAAGAATATGCTAATTTGATGGGTCTTCGATTCCATATGTAGATCTTTGCATGGCTCTTTTCGGTTGTGTTCCTTTCGAAGTTCTCTTTTATTTTTATCATTTTCTCCTGAGAATTATGAATAATTTTAGAAAAATTTTGCATTGTTTCAGTAATGAATGTTACCATAGCAGACGATCAGTTGAAAATATTAACTATAAGTGTCAAAGTAGAAATAGACCAGCAAGGCGGCTGGACCAAAGTAGAAATAGTAATAAGTGTATTGTGGAAACGTTGAACCAGCACAAAAAAGCCCTTCTGAAACATATGCATGGGAAACAAATTTCGCACCGGAAAAGACTACGTCTGAGTCCTCGCACTGAAAAACGTCGCTGTCCAATGACGGATTTAAAAAAACAGTTACACAGTAGTAATGGTAACCGACCGAAGTTCGGTTAGAAAAATCCGACGAATTTCAGTCGCAATTCCGAGATTCAAATTCCTCACAGCAGAATTTTGAAGATCGTATTAATATAATGAGCATTGTAAATACTATTCGTCGGTTTGTATGTTTATTATTCGAATTATTCTTTGATGAGTCGTTTTTCATGCTTGAACTGTGTTTTTGATGGAAATCTTTTTTTAAACGCACTGTCGCTTTTCGTTGAAACATATTATTTTTGTTTTTGGGATATATTTGATAACTTTCTTCTTGTTGGTTTTTTCTCTATTTTTCAAATGTTTTTGAAATGTTTTATCATTGGAACGATGACTTTTTTTCGCATTTCGACCGAACCAAAATTTCGTTCGTTTGCCATCGCTAAATAATTGTGGAACTGAACTGAAACAAGCAGTTTGTCAGGTATCTTTCGTGTGATTGTAAAATAAGCTGTCTGACTCCTCCACGGCCGTGTGGGAACCGTGGTTGATTCTGATGGTGTTTTTTTTNTTTTTTTTGAATGAATGAATGAACATCTCAACTCGTTGCTTTTGAAATGATATTCCATATTCATTGAACCTTTTGCAAAAATAAATTTTCTAATTGTTTCTCTCATTGCATTTTTACCTCAATATAGCTTGCGCATGCAGAATATTAACGAAACAAAGTATCATACAAACACAAAGGGAGGAGATCCTCCAAGTGAGATATACGAAAGTTACATTTCATCATCCGAATCGATAGTGCATTATATCCGTGTACATTTATCCTATCTTACACATATATAGCTGCAGTACAGAGCTAAAGGTTGATTCATGTATCACTTTAGTGTCCCTCACGAATCGTCTCTTTCACGATGCATCGAGACAATAAGTCAGCTGATCTGTATGTGAACGATCGAATGATGCACCGTTAACGCTGTCATGTTCGATATTCTATTCGATGGTTCATAATGATTTCAATCTTGAAATAATGTCATCGAACTTGAAAGAATATGGATACTGTACAAACGATGAGATTCCCCAAAGATGTGGTCACAATTTTCATATAAGAATATAACATCTTGGTTTTATGTGAAGAATGATTCATTCGTGTGTCGCTGTCGCTATGCATTGTGAAGCAGACAAGTCAACAGAATAGGAAATTTCTGTGTATCTAGTGTGGAAAGCTCTGGAAAAGACTCTGTGGGAATACCTAATCAATGCAGGATGTCAACGTATTTGTCTTCTAAAGGGAGTGATTCATAACGATACTTCTCAATTTCATTTGTAATGAATGTCGCATTGTAATGCTCAGGTTTGAGTTAATCCACAATTAACCTCAAATCCTTTCCGTAGTAATTTCGTCTGATATGCACACTCACTCGTTCATCGGAGTGATCGAATTACACGTTACGAAATCGTTCGAAAATCACATCATTCCCCGTTTAGAATCTCTCTGATCGTTTCTCGTCTCGTCTTGTCACCCTTTGAACAATTCTCGTTCAAGTGACGAGAAATTCAGCTGCTTCATCTCATCTCGTTCTCGTCTTGAGTTTCATCTTGTTCAATTCTCGTTTAAGCACTTCTCGCCTGTGATTGCTTGATTGCCCGCAACCAACCGCTATTTCACTGCGAACATGCACATAAGGGTGTTTTTTTGCCCGGGGCCGGCTTTCTCACAATGCACTTTCTTCCGTTTCTACTTTAGCCCAGTTTAGTGATTCTCGGCTTGGCTACATCTTGGCTTTTTGACAGTCCTGATTCCAGTTGATAATGCTTGCAGAAAATTGCCAGGATTGTAAGAAGAATATTAGAGAACGAGCATTAATTGCTGTCGATGTTTAAACGGTTAACATTCGTATTGCTTTCTTATCAGACGTCGATAGTTATTTGAGCCATGCACTTGTATTGAAGCTTGTTGAAGAACGCTTCGTTCATACTGATGTCATTAATTTTCAATTGCGAAATCATAAAGTGCGTGATAACAATCTTGTGATAGGAATATTACGTTGATCGTTCTTTCGTCTCCATGCGATTTCGCAACTTACTTGCAGTTCATTGCTCGGCTAATTCAGTTTGTGTTGTCAATCCAGTATCGTTCTGCCGAATATCGTTTATCACTTACATTTACAATTGTATTACTGCAATTGATGGTAATCGGTAAAGATGCAACGTAACTGGGCCATAGTGTTGTTTGGCTGCGAACATAAAGAAAAAATCAAGCGTGATATGATTCGGTAACATTTTTGTGTTTACATAATTTTTAACAGTATTCCATCAAATTCATTTAATTTCATAACATCGTTTCTTTTCAAAGTTTCTTCTTCACCTTTTTTTAAACGTGTGAATGCATACATGTTATTTTATATGACTCATTTTTGAAAAATTCGTTCTGAAATCCGGTAGGGATATGCGTTTACGAAACAAAGCCAAAACCATCAAGTCGATCGTAACTTCGATCACCTGATTCTTTTCGAGCTGAAAGATCGCATCGATATGAATGATGCGTTGAATCAATGATGGATCGTTCGTTGGATTGGTCGATCGACAATGTGCTGGATCCTTATTTAGTTGTTGTGAATAGAGAAAGACGTTAAAAGCGATCTATATGTGAGGTGATAGTGGCAATCGCAAAAGCGACAAGTATGCCGCCACATAGGGGCAATAGATTTGGGCTGGTTGATGAAACGGTAACGGAGTGACTTCGTGTGATGGATGTGATCAAAAGCGTTTGTATTTAACCTCAGCTCAGTAGCGATTACCCGCTGAATTTAATCACGTGATTAAGCGGAGGCAAAGAAACTAACAAGGATTCCCATAGTAACGACGAGTGAAAGGGGAAAAGCACGTTACGACTTGCAGTTGAAGATGTTCCAGTTGGGTTGGGATATTGGCTATTAATATGAAAGAAACGATTCAATTCAGATCATTCGGGGAAGTTTTCCACGAAGGTGCAACCAAATACACAATTTTAAAATTATGTAAAGGTCCAACGATATATCTTCATTACAACGGTAATTTCTCGATGGTATCGAGTGATATATTGGAATTATTAGGGGAACAAGATCCAGAATCTCCATTGCTACTCGTTGTGTTCATCAATGACAGTGGTACTTTTAGTCTTTTTTATTAATTTATCTCTTGCCGGTATTCGTTTCTTAACGATGCTTCTGTCATTATTGTTTTTCTTTATGACTGATCTTCCGTTCTGTGGTTCATAATGATTTTAATCTTGAAATAAGTTAATCGAACCTGAATGAGTTAGGAGGATATTGCAATAACGATAAGATTCCTTGAAAATATTATAATAAAAAAACTCTAATAATAAAAAAACTATAATAATAAAAAAACAATAATAAAAATGACTATNATAGTAGTAGTAATAATAACAACCAAAAAATTATGATAGCAGATATATCATCGAAACACTTCAATAAATTATAAGTAACAGATGATGATTTAATTGATCATATTCTTATATCTATTCGGTTGTCAATTTCTAAAACACGTGCTCCCCTCTAGCATCAGTAAACATCAATTTTAATACCTTTGCATTGCCCGTGTAATGCAGTCAACAATATTTTGAAGCCATCATCTTCTTTAGTTGGCAATATTGCCGCTTTGAATTGCCAATATTACTCAGTTTGAAATTAAAGGTGATGAGTCGATATCGGAGCGATTTCGTGAATCGTTCGTTGAGAAAATGTTTATATTAATCTTGAGCGGCGATGAGTTTATTGGATCGTCGTCGTCAAATAGTAAGAGTAGTTCTTATTCGTGCATTGCTAAATGGCTAAATGAAATGTCACAGCGCATCAGTGATTATGAATCTGATGATTTTGACCAACATTCATTAAGTATATCAAACCAACAAGGTATTTTAAATTGTAATTTGTATAATTAGTGCACCTTTATACAATAACATCAATTTGCATTCAGTTTTTAAAAATTTTTGATTGTGAATTATTTATATGTCACGATTGATATACGGATATGCTGAAAGTCTTCAAGTGAGAATATTAACTTAATTGTACGATATATTTCTCAGTCTGATTGAGTTTTCAAATCCTTTTTCTAAGACGGATTATGGGTGAAAGTTAAGTTCTGAGTATAAAACCCCAGTTAGTGTATGAGTTAGGATGTTAAAATATTCATTGACCCCTAATGTTTCGACTGTTGAAGCTGCAGTCATAGTGAAAATCTATTCCTCAAATTTGGGTAAGTAAATTCAATCACCTAAATTATTAACATAGTTTGAGGAATATATTTTCACCCTGACAATAGCTTCATGAACCGAGATTTGTGCTGAATAGATATTTTAACATCGTACCTCGGACACTTACTTAGAACTTAAACGCAGAACTTAATTGACTTCCATCTGAGTGAAATCGCTATCTAACTGAATTTTTCACTCTTTATTATGTGAATTTGTTTCAAACCGTTTCCTAGGTTGCCTGAACTCATTCAACGTCAGAAAACTGATGCCTTGAAGGAGGTTTATGCAGTTCGCCTGATTCAGTTTTATTCAAAACGAAATAGTGTTACTTCTATTGAAAAAGCATGCATGGCTAGTGAATGGAATTGAATTTGCAGACGATCAGACACCGAATGCAAAGAAACGACGATCAACGGAAGGAATATCACCAGAATCGGGTGCAACTTTGCCCGATGTCGAAAGAAACGAAAGTGGATATATGTCAGAAACTCGTCTATTCGAAAACGAATTGCCCACTGCTCACCATCGTTCTTCGCAAATGCTTCAAAGTAATGAAACATTTGCGAAGAACAATTGGAATGTTGACGATACGGTGCCATCAAAGAGTATATTTCATCAACAACAACCAACCTTCAGTAGTTCGTATGATGCATATCGCTGGGGTATGTTCTATTAAATTGATCATATTTTTGTATTGATAGAGTGAACCTCCGTGCGAAAGCATTGTAAAGTCTATACGAAATCGGGAACTTATATGATTTAAATTTGCAACCAGTACATTCGAGTATTATTCCTAGTATAATGAAATTTTTAATGTGGACTAAAATTTATTCGTCAGGCTTTGATTACAATGCAATAAAACAAATTGACATAGACAACTGTGATACGATCTCAGAATTTGATATGTTGATGGAAAAATTCGATGGTATTGAAAAGTTTAACATAGCACCGGATGAAAATGATTTGGTTCGTGTTTTCATTTGTTCACTATTGCATGCATATTTTCTGTATTCTCATATCTTATAATTGAGGGTTTTTGGGAAGGGAAGGATGGTCAGAATTGTTTGAATGCATCGAACGTTGTTCCAAGTTATTATTCGCAGTTGCACGAGTTCAGTTTAGTGCAAATGTTTTTTAATTACGAATATTATTTCAGAGTAATTTTCATTGCCCACGTAGAATGGATACAAACTATAAATGTGGGAATAGGATAAAGAGGGTTAAACTTTTCGAATTTTATTGAGATGAACAAAAGTTCCGAAAGAGGATTTGGTTTAGATGCTTTAGGAAAATGAGCATATACTCCATATGATAGACTGAATGCTCTGATCGTTCGTTGATCAGCCAGTAATGTTGGTAGATTTCGTGGAGCTCTGTTTCTTGTGTATACGCAAAAAATCAGTTTCGTCACTGTTATGAAAAATTCGTTATCATCTAATCACTACTGATCGCTCAGTGTTTTCTTATATTGCATTTCATTGCTTGTGATATTCCACTCGTTTTATGTCTATTTTTAATGCGATTCATTTGATCGATCAGATATTGTGTGATCAAATATTTGGTGAATTATTTCCTTTCAGTCGTTGTCTGCAAGAACAAATTTGTTTTTCTTTCTTTTTTTCATCAAGTATATCTGTTGAAAAAAGTTTTTGGAGATCTCGGAATAATTTGTCTAATGGATAGCTTGACCTTCGCTGCGTTCCAAGAATTACCTACGGAAAACAGTGTTTCGCTTCATGTGGTGATAGTGATAAAATATTGACGAAAGCAACTACTGTGTGATTTCGTTTTCAGAATCAGATTCGCTTAATGTGGTGTTTAATTATTGCTTTTGCATGAGTAAACGATACGTACTCTTGCTGCAAACTTTCATAGTTAAATGCCAAATAACACAATTGGAAAAATACATAAGTAACGTTTGGCATGAATAAAGCCAACAGCAATATTTTTGAATTGAAATTGGAATAATGAAGTGGTTAATATTATTTATAGATAGTGAACATCGACACAGAATGTGTGCATAATCGTATCGTGGAACCGCGCAGGTCATCTGAACTTAACATAAAATTGTTGCGATTGATACGTTTAGCGATTTCGAGTGAAATTCTCAAATTACAACATCAAATCAGCGAATTCATTCAAAGGCTATTTGCCAATCGGTTAATTTTTCGTTTATCTATGCAATGATGCGGCTTTGTTTTCTCATCAATCAGCCTTGCCCTATTTTCGACTTTTTTGAAAACGTTGACCCCATTTGATACGAGTGACGTGTTTGGATTGGTCTTATTTATCACTGTTTCATTTATAGTTTCACTAATATTTTCGTTTTACTTTCGCACGAGTCCTCAAATCGCACAGCGTTCAATTGTTCATTGAGTCAATTTGTTTCTCTTCTTTGCTTTCATTCATTCCCATATCCGTTGTCTGTTCATCAGCCAAAATACAAAAAAGCGATTTGCACCTGTCTCCAAGTGTTGTATGGTTACTGGAATTCCGACTGATGTTCAGTTGTCGTCTGGACAGTGCTGTCCAAGAGCTGTTGCCCAAACACATTTCACAAAATAAATCAAATGTTTTAGTCAGTCATGTGAATTACCTAGACTTATTACCTGGATTGGCCTGGCTATCAAACGTTCATAACGTTGCTGGCCACAATGCTCGCGTTTCCGTGCACATTGCTTTAGCCTCAATTTACGCCATCCCGCTGGCTAGGCGAGCAGGCCAACCGAACACAACCGAGTAAATAATTAGTCGCCGTGAATACTTTACATAAATAAACGCAGTCAAATACCAATTCAATAAATAATCATTACTCTAATAAAATAAATATTCCGCCGATCGCTCACTGCGATTGACGAAATAACCACTCGATGTCCAAGTAATTACCTAGACTTATATGGCTGTGAAACATTTATAAGGTTATTGGCCACAATGCGATTCTTCGCGTTTTGCTCGACCTTGCTTTCCTATTTCAGTTCCTTTCAAATTTCCTTTCCATCTCGTTCTCCGATCTTGTTGAAGATATTTCGAGCGATGTCTACCGCGTTCTTATCAGTTATTAATGTTATAAATATGCCTGGATTGGACAAGTCAGCAGTTGCTTCCAATTTTGTTGGCTGCAGTGCATTTTCGCTTCATTCTTTCAATTTATATCCTTATAAGACTCGTATCTTATTATTTACTCTTTTTCACATTCCTTGTATTATATCCGTAAAGTAGCGAGAGTGTTAACTGGATGTATCATTCAATGCGCTTGCATTCATCACATGTTTACTTTTTGTACCAGTGATAAGTATATCGTTTATAATTGCCGAACGTCTTATTTTTAGATTCCTCCATCAGATTTTCTTCGATTTTGTTCATCCAGCACTCAGGAATGCATCGTTCTGTAATCAAAGCGCTATCAGTTCATTATATGAAATCCTCAAAATTCTACAAATCGCCGCCGCAAAAGATCTACAATTCGTAATTTTTTTTNTTTTTTTTGAAAATTATAATTATTGAATAAAATTCTTGCATGTCAATGCAATAATTCATAATTTCACGGCTATAACTTTTCGTCGTAGATGTAGATCATTATAGGTGCTGAATATCATTGATGCATTCTTACTGTTGATTTAGTAAGTGGATGCACCAACGGTAGAGCTGGTGCTTAATTTCGGTGTAATTCTTTTCGTTTATTTTCATCATCCGGTAGTTGATTGTTTTCATTTGCAGACTGAATTGATGCATGATGTAAATTCGTTCATGGAGCGTATTCCAGATCGATTTTGGAAATATGATTATTCATTGGGGCTGCGAGATGAGATTATTGTTATAGTTGAATCTTTGAATGTTTGTTTTACACATATCAAAAGCATCTTCATCCATCCATTTGTGCAATTTTCATTTTAACTTCAATGATGACTATTACAGTATTGAGTTGAGGGACTGAGATTGTGCTATTCTATTAAAGAGCATCAAGTGCATTTGATAGAGAGGTGTATTATTTGAGCGTATTCGTTCAGGGAGCAAATGCAGATGACTGGCTTGCGAAGGAGGTTGAATATCGACCAATTTGGATGGAGTGCGATGAAGTGGAACCGCATGAAGATTTCCGGAAATTAAGTGTTCGTCCAGTACATAAAGATATAATACGACCAGGTTCATTTTTTTATCTCGCTCTTTCTTCAACAAAATAATGTCAACAAAGAAACAACATTATCCTTTGTGTAAATGAAATTGTAATTGAAATATTTTGAATGGTTATTGTATGTCAGTTTGAATGGTTGTTCCGTTATTGGACAATGTTGAATAGACATTTTGACGTTTGCAAAAATCAACTGCACTAGGCCATTTGTTGCAACTGATCAATTATCTAACTTTGATTGATCCATGATTCCATTCTCGTCAAATGTTTATGCCACATATATCAACATGTGGTCCATGCATATCCAGTTATTTCAATGACACTTTAGGAAGGTTTAGTCCAAGCAAAAACGATTTTCTCAATGAGTAGTCTGCATCAAATCAATTACAAAATACTGTATTAGCAGAAAATGTAATTACCTTGCCTTGCTATTACCTTGCGACCTGTCTTCGCTCTCTGCGTGGGCGCAGGTCTACCGATCCATATTGGTAACATATTTTCAGAAAATATAATACCATATTGATATATGGTAACATGTTTTCAGCTATGCATGGTCGATATTGTTTCATGTTCTGAATTGTTTCAGTGCGGCCATTCTTGAGAAAAAATAAAGATGATGAAAGTTTCCGTGATGTTGAGCAATATTTGGATATACAGTTCAGATTATTGCGTGAAGATCTGGTGAGTCCACTGCGTGATGGCATTGCCTTGTGGAGGCAGAATAAGAATGGTAGTGGTTATATTGCATGATAGCATTTTGCAGTGTTTCATTATTATTCTTTCGAACAAGCCATCTGCGAAATGGAACAACGATAATCTTGGCATATGCTTTGGTATTTTTGGAAAGTCATGACGAATTGTTGTGAATTAGCTGTGCAATTCACCCAAATTTCTTGAAACACTGGAATGGGTGTTATCGGTTGTGCTCAAACAAAAGCAAAAGCAAAAAATGAAGCGAAAGATGAGGGCTAATTCGTTCCCCATGACCTGGCTGTGGTCCTGCTTGTATGGTAGATAGCTGAATATCGAATCAGGATAAATGGCAGTGGTAATTGTTCGTATTTCAGGGTACTGCTCATCGGATTCGCGAGATGTACTTGAACAGTTAGATTTATTCGTTATGAACGGTGTTCGCGTTGAAGGCCTTCAACTTAAACGAAGCAGTGGTCAGCTGTTTAGATATGTTAAGTTCCAGGTTATACTCTTTGAATGCTTACTTTTAATATGCAACTTCTTAGAGCGCAACAAGTATGTCTTTACGTAGGGCACAACAAGTATGTCTTTACATTCAATTTAGGAATTATCTTCACTTACTGTAAGTTCTATTTGAATGTATACTATCTGATTGAAAATAAAACGAGTCACATTAAATGAATACTTTTGCAACTTCAAGAAATCTATTAATTGTTGCAGCGCTTTCCCGTATCAGTTGAATGAATAATCCGAAAATACTCCTTAATCTGACTTCATCTGTTATGAATATGAGATAGATTGTCGAAGTTTTCTATCTTAAATTACGGATAATAATATCACATTTGGGTTTATTGTTTTCATATCCCATATAGATAGGATCTCTCCCATTTTGCAGCCCCCACTAGATTCGATGGACGGTTCATCGCAAAAGCTTAAATTCGGACAGATGGTTGCATTGTCGAGTGATGAATTCGAAGGTAAAGACTATCATTGAAATAATAAACTACCTAAAATGTGTTTTAAGACCATTTTATTCCTGTCTTCGTCCAGTCATCCATCACGCCATTCCTTTAATGGTTCATGTGTATGTTTGGTTATTGGTATAATTGTGAAGACTCTTTTTTCTTTCTTTGTACTGTAATAAAGTTCGATGAATCATTTGATGATTCCAATCATAGATGATCGTAAAATCTATGAAAATGGTCGTATAATAAGGAATTGAGTTGCGAATTTTTATTTATTAATCGGCTGTTTTTAAACTTATGAAATTGATAGAAAGTTTTTGATTTATTCGAAATTCCTTATGTTACAGAAGAAGCTTTATTTGCAACGGTAGTGGAACGACCAGATGAGCATTCAGTTATTGATAGAATCGGTTTGTCGTTTTGCGAAGAATCTGAAGTACAGGTATCAAGATCCAAAATATATACACTCGTAGAATCGAGTGCTTATTTTGAAATGTATGAACATGTCCTTAAAGTGCTCAAGGTTATTGTTTCTTACTTCGTATTTCCATTCGTTTTGATTTGTCAGTTACATTACACGAATTCATTGTTTGATGTTATTCCTACTGAAATTGACAGCATTAATTGTTGTTCGATAGTTGAATTCTGTTTCATTTCAACTCTTTCAGGAATATGACAATAATAAGCCGATACCATTCGAAAGGTATTTGATAAATTGTGAGACGAATGTCGAAAAACCAGCTTATTTGAGAGCTGTCACTCCGACTGGTAATGATTGAAATGAGATCGATGCATTCTCTTTTAAAACTTCATATTTGAACTAATCTTATGAATCGACTCATACCAATTGGAAATAAATATACCAGTTTTATCTACACAATTAGATTTTCTTTTGTGGCTACCGACGCAGTGGCAGACAACTCAGCAACCACCGAACGTGCCCATCAGTCGGGGCTAGCGAAAATACCAGTGATGGTACTGATTTTTGGTAACCGCCGATTGACCGGCATCTTTCGATTTCGATCGGTGGCCATCCATTGATCGTACTGTATACAGAAGCCTGTAATGAAGAAAACACTTTTCAATTATTTTCAAATTGATCACCCAAATTTCGAGTGTTGTTACCATCAGTTTTCATGTTCATTGCTTTCCAGCGAATTGCTGAACACCTGTACTATTCTACAGGTGATCAAATACCAACGAAAACGTTAAGTATATTCGGTAAGAAGTATGATGTGGATAAACTGATGTACAAACTAGATGGTGATTCGCTGAACATTAATTACACTCAGCGTGATGCACTCATCAATGCTCTTACCAAAGAATTTGCGCTTATTCAGGGTCCTCCTGGCACAGGTGTCATTCTTTGAAATGTTCTTTAACTCATATTCCTCAAAATTCTGATGCGATTGTTCAGATGTGATCTGAAGCACATTTTCAATCTGTCAGCATCGATCGATACCAACAGATGTGAACGATCGTCATCTCTGCGAATCGCTTTAATAAATTTTAGGGAAATCGTTTGTTGGACGACTCATTGTTCGCATTCTAATTGAAAATATAAATTTATGGAACGTAACGCGCAGACATCCCTTACTGGTTGTTTGCTATACAAATCATGCACTCGATCACTTTCTTGAGGGTCTCGTTGGTGACTTTCCACATTATGATAAAAACGTTAACAGCGATTATCCAACTATGGTGCGATTGGGTACGCGATGTAAAAACGAAAAAATTGAGAAGTTTGTGTCTTTCGTTTATACTTTTTCCCGTTCTTTTTTACTGATGCAATCGAAAGTGATCATCGAAATTGATGTATTCTTTTGCATGATTGCGAAAGTTTACTCTGATTGCTGCATCACAGTAATATTTCGTCGAAACGTTATTTTTAATCGATCTCACATCATTCATTCATATGAGTTTGCAAGCATTCATTAAATGAGCGATTGTTTAAAGGTTTGTAAAGGCGAGTGTGACGCAAGAATATGAAAAACTTATCAGTGAAATCGATAGACTTAAAGTACGTCAATTTATGCATTGCTCTTAAATGTGTTGCAATTGTGTTGAGCAAAATATGTTGATATTATTCGTGGTTCAATGAATGTGATGAGTGCTCTCATTGAGAGTGCTGTTGGTTGTTATCAGAAAAAGTCGCAGATTACAAGATCGCGATGCAACTATAATACTAAGCATTCAAGTAATAGTAACAGGGATAATTTATAATAGTAAGGAGTTTGGAATTGTGTTGTCGGCCGCGAGTTGACGCGGTGGATGGCACCGAAGAAGTTTTGTTCTTGAGTCTCTCTTTGTTCGTCAATTTCTGACATTGTTTGTTAGAGTATTTACCGAAAAGAAATCCTCCAGGCACGGAGAGTGATGGGAAAACGTGCCAAGATTCTCGATGACATTGTAACTCGATCAACGATTCTTTTCAAAAGTAAATCTGAAATCATCAGTTATCAGCTGTTATCCACGGTGATATCGAATAAACACAAGGGTCAACTTAGCCGTCTACGAAAAACACCCGAAGGAATGATGACAGTATGAATGCAGCTTCATTTTCTACTATTTCAATCCTTTCCTCTCAACGATAAAGTAGCTAATTTTGGAAGAAAGAAGACAAATTCTCTTGAATTTCAAATTTTCCGTGGAATTCAGTACATTTTATCGAAGTAAATAATTGATTGAGGAAATTGAAATGAGTCTAAAGTACTATTCCTGAGTTGAACCTGAATATGCATCATAAAGCTAGCAGTTGCTTTTAGCTAGATGAAGCGTTGGCTAAATGGCTTTCCATTGAATCTCGAAATCCCGAATGCGAAACCAACAGTACCGAATCAAGATCTGATAATGGGAATGAGGTTAATTTTGCTGAACTCTTGATTATTTGTACATAGATTCATATTTCAATCATTACAATGTGTCGCATTTAACATTTTAATCTGTGAAGACAGTTCTGGCGTTGTAATGATAATTTTGGAATTTGCTTAATTCAAGTTCAGCATTTCTCATTCGTTTCAAAATATGTTTGAGTTTGTTTCATCATGAGAGTATTATTGTGTAATTAACAAAATTGGAAAAGGTATTTAAACTTATAGAGCAATAGAAATCATGCTTCAAAAGGCGATGCTCTGGGATCAGATGAATGGGATGTCAGTGAAGATATAAATGATAATGCATCATCGTCAAAAACAGATCCTCACGAAACCGGATGTGACAATTTTGATGGATTTGACAGTTATGATGATAATGGTGGCGATAAACGATGTATGAATTGGAAGCAAATTGAGGTAATGATTATTTTATTATGATGCTGAACGATGTTTGATCGCTGGTTTGGTACAACATTAGTTGATGGCATTTACAAGGATTCTCATCTGGTATAATGTCTATTTTCAATGTTCATCGGATAGCAAGTTTTCGGTTGGGGTGGGGGGAGGGATCCAGATCAAAGGGACGAGGAGAAAGTTAGCCGGGGGATCCCTCGGAAAGCAGCTCGTTCAGAGGGGGAACTCCGACCAGAAAGTTGGGAAGCGAGAATTTCGAGGAATCGCTCCTCATCGGAGGCACTCTTTTCGTTGAACACTGATCGTAAATGCGTAAACATACGATTGTATATAGAATTTTCGTACTGAACGAAACAACATGTTCAGTGGAGTATTCCGTGTGTTATTGAATATCAAAACTATAATGCATAGGAGGCGTTGATGCAAGCGGAAGAAGGAACTAATGAATATTATCACAGTGGAGTGTGGGATATAGTTGAGAATGAACGAAAAACGTCTCGTGTGCCCATCTTCTCTGCGAGCACTTACCAAGATGGTTCAAAGAAAACGGTTGTTGTTTTCTTTGTTCTGCTTCAATTCAGTCTTTGTGAGTAATACTCGTCAACGTATCAGTGATAAAAATCAAAAGCTTTCTCGAGCTTCAGTTTAACAATACATTCATCAAATTGATGTGCAAGTGGATAATTCATTTCAATATTACGATCTAGCGACGACGTACACGTTTTCGAACGATGACAGTAATAATAAGAATAAGAGGCGATCATGATAACGTTGGTACGTTGTGTGAGCCTCAGATATAAATAAGTGCATAAAATTATGCATTTGTATCAGTTGTTTTATACATCTATTCATGTTTGATATAATATTTGTCTTCTAAATTTGCATTCTTCACCGTGTATGTTCAGATTCGGTACGATAAGAACATAGTTGCGAAACTTAAAGCATGCAAGGAGGAGATTCTGAAGGTGATCCCCATTAACGAATTTTGGTTCATTTTTAGCCATTTTTAAGTGGTATACATTATTGCATGTTCTAATGCATCGTTCAGACATTCTGGAGACTCAATTTCTGTATGCGTTGTATTTGTTCTCGCTGTTATTTGCAGTTAATCGATGAGCGATAGCGTTCGCTGATCATCTGATGATAATAGTGATGAAACCGTTTTGTTTTTGTTGTTATTAGAGACTGTCCCCTGTATCCGAACTTTCCCACATACAAACGGTCGAGTAGCGGTTGAGATTGTGTGCAGTGAGTGATTGATTGCCTTGGAAGATAATATCGATCCGTTCATGTTCGATTCTAGCAAGAAAGAAAAAAGGTTTAACGGTGATTGATCTGATGTTTGAGTGCGAGAAAACTAAAATAATTGTGCTATTTATTTTATTCCTATTCCATTGAATATGCGGGTAATTCCGGTTGGCAATACAGTTTTGCAAAGAAAACAAAATACGTAAATTGACAATGGTAAGAGTGTTTTGAGTGCTTATTCTACTGTTGCAAGAAATTGTTGATAAATTTGTAAATGAAGAAGAGAAGTTGATCGAATTTTGATGATGAAAAATTAATGGCTCGATCTAGCTTTGAGCAGTAATGAGAAAAACGTTAGCAAGTCATTTGGGAAAAACAGAAAAAGGTCTTTGTGTCCCGCATTGCTTTGTGTGTCCTGCAATAACTCACCGAGAGTTTCGAATCCAAAAGCGTTGCGAAGAAATGCCGGTTGAGCGAAAGAAAATTGTTTTTATTGAGAGATATATTTTATCTGATTGTGTGTGGGTTTAATTAGGGAAACTGGTTGGCAGGTAGATTGTGCTTAAATTAGGTCCTTATCCTCCATCCTAATCAACAGTCGCGAACGATGAAGATTTTCAGAATTTAACCAGACAAATAATTTCGTTAACGAATGAACCTAAGTGCCAAAAGGTTAGGATCCGGCCACTTTCCGATCCCAGTGTCGAGATAAAATGCCGGTGTAATCATAAATCGATCATAAATGGAGGACAAAGCAACGATGGTGATAAAAAAGAAGGCAGGAATGGTGACATTATGAAATTTTGTGCACTAATTTTTGGCAAAAGAAGTCTGAGGTGGCGCCTTACAATCATTCATAAATTCCCCACTAGGTGATTAAAAAACAAAAATTCCTGAATGAGAATGGACTGGGAATGATTGATGTATAACTGAAGATGAGTGTGCTGTCAAAGTTATAAAAAATCTGTGTTTTTGTCGAATCACCAAATCGCACTGTCCCCGGATCCCCCACAAACACTAGTTCGGATGCGGAGGAACAGACGTTGTCGTTAAAGTAGCAGTTCGCATAAATATTGTCGTATAGTTCGCATTGTCACTATCGTTAAAGTAACAGTCTTGTTATAATAGGCAACGGCATTGAGCAAAGAAGAAGCGGAATCGATAAAAGATGTGAACGAATTAGATCGAAATCGCCGGTGGATGTTGTATGCATACTGGATTAAGCAACTGAAACAGTGGGCTGAAAAAGGATTGAAGAACCTTCTGGAGCAGTATCAAAAACATATGATCGTTGTTAAGGAAACCTATGAAAGGATTGATGAAATCGTTTTGAGCCGATCATTAGTAAATTTTATTTCCCTTTTTTTGTTTGATTCTATTTTCGGCATTTTCAAGAGTGCTTCCGAAAAAATGGATCAACAGCTCTCACTCCTGTTGCATCTATATATCGAGAGTTTTTTCATGCAAGGTCTGGATAATAGGCTTCTTGAAAATCTCATACGAACTTGTTGATAAACTTCATCACATTCGCTTGAACAGCGAAAAAGAGTTGAATGACACGAAGTTATGTGTTGAGAAGTGATAGATATGAATAATTAATTTGAGATAATCGGCGCGACCACAACGGGTGCTGCAAAAAATCGTTCTTTACTGCAACGAATCGGCTGTCCAATTGTTATTGTTGAAGAGGCGGCTGAGGTGTTAGAGGCACATATTCTGTCGAGTATTGTTGAGTCGTGTAAACATGCTATCCTTATTGGCGATCATCAACAGTTAAGACCCAATCCAGGTGGATGCTTTCACTTCCATTTATTCCTTGAATTACAGCCTCACTGGATTTTGAGTCAGTAGCGTTGCGTTTAGTGTTATGCTGACGTCCGGAAACATGTGATGGGGTTTGCATTAGGAAGCGTATTCGACGCAGAAAGGACAACACTGAAACAATTATTGTGAACTTTAAACCTGCATACTAATATTCTTTACTTTGTGGAATTTTTCGTCGCCTCTAACGTCGAAAAGACAACTTATGATGATGTGATCAGCATCGCAGCCATCATTCGCTATTTGTTTTTCGTTTTCAATCGCATCAGTCTTATTACTGGTTTATTATTCAGTTATAGTATGTCGCATTCATTTTGTTAAACTCAAATGCAAGAATTCTTAGATATTAAAATCGCTTACGTTATTTTGATTGTAAATTATCGCGAATATTAATGCTTGGACAATTCATTCAATTCTAAGAGATATATCTTTGTTCTAAAATATTTGATGCATTTTTTGCTTGCATATAAAATAAGCATGTAAGATCCAATTTGCTTCCTCTTTTCACGAAATTTCTAGAAATGAATCAGATTCAAAGAAAAGTTCCTTGATATTTTGAAAGGTTTTTTCAATGATAGTGAGTTATCGATGTTTATTTTCTTGCACCTGTCAAATTAGTTTTCAAAACTGGGCGTAGGCGAGCTAAAAATGATCTACTGCTCAGGTAGTATCAGCATATTGCAGTGATATTATTGTGATGATTATGCATCAGAATTTTTAGACAAGTGTCATGATATATGATGATTGTTTTAGCTGTGCACGTGTTAGCTAAACAATATAAGCTGGAAATCTCAATGTTCGAACGCCTCATCAAGAACAATTATCCGTGTAGTACATTACTCTATCAGCATCGTATGGCACCTTGCATATCGGATACGTTAATGCCGCATTTTTATCCGTTGCTTGAGAATGCTGATGTAGTGAAGGAGTATCCGGATGTGAAAGGTGAAGTCAGTCTTATAATGCAGTATTTCTGAGTGGGACATGCTGAGAAGCAAGCAGTCTTATTGTTTTTATGTCATCGAAAGTGTTCTTCCAGAAACGGTCGTAAAAATTAATGCTTCTGTTGTGTGCTATGATGTGATAAGAGAGCTTATGAAGCACTTTCTCTGTGATCGTCCGATTTTTGTAGGTTGTGCTACGAATATATTTATGTTTTGTCATCGTCAACCTGAGACTCCGATCCCTTCTTTATCTCATCGTAATGAGTTTGAAGGCGATTTCGCATTCGCATTGTTTAATTATCTCCTTCAACAGGGTTATTCCCCTAATCAGGTAATTTGTCGTTTTTTTCATTCATCTTTGTTATTCCTAGAAATGACTAAATTTCTTTCCGCTTTCATCAGTTTTTTAATTGAAAATAATTCTTAAAGCTATTTATTCAAAGATTCTCAAAAATTGCGCATAAGTCAGAGACGAAATTCACAAATCGGAGATCCCGGAAATACGATCCTCTTGAAAAAGAAGCAAAGAGCAGCTGTTGTATCTGCTTTTATATTCTGAATATATTTGATGAAAATTTCGGTATATTTTGATGTGGGTGTTTATTATGTTATGTTTATTAACGTTGATTGTGTTTATTAATTTGACTCATTACCGATGTGTAAATATCGCCTTTTTAGATAACAATATTGTGTACTTATGCGGCGCAAACTGGTTATGTGAAAAGTTTGTTGGATAAACGTTTGCAGTTAGCAGGCGATTATCCGAGAGTCGATAATGTCGACGCGTATCAAGGCGAGGAGAATGATATCGTAATATTATCACTTGTACGATCTTCTCCATATGATACTATTGGATTTCTTGCGGTAATTTTTCGTTTATATTTAATTCGTATTCGATAATGGAGCGATAGCTTACTTCTTAACGCTATTGATTACCAGTTCGAATAACTGGTGAAACATCGGGTAAATCAAAATAAAATATGTTTTCTAGTGTGAATACAAAACAAAATAAAAAGGCAACTTCTTCAAATTAATTCGTTTATCAAGTTTTTCTAAACCGCTCTAATGTAATTTAATCGGAGTGGAATACTCCTGTATTGCTTGAATTAATAAACGTAAGCTACACTTGAAGAATCCAAATCGAATATGTGTTGCTCTATCGCGTGCTAAAATTGGTTTCTATATGATTGGTAATATTGATTTCTTGGCGTATCATTCACATCTTTGGGCTAAAATTGCAAAATCCTTGGAAGATATCGACGCGTTAGAAGACGCGTTTCCCATTATTTGTAACAAGCATGGCAATGTGAAGGTATCGTTTTTTTTTTAAATTCCGTTTTCTTTAGAAGTATTCAACTTTTTCTCATTAAGGAAATATTTGAAAATTCGACCATCAATAAACTTGCACTATTTGAGTCAAAACGCAGGACGTAATAAATTAAGTTGTTTATCTTTGAAACATGAGTTGCTGGTTTCTTTTTAGTTAATTCACGATGTCGATGAATTTTATCTGAAATTGCCGAACGGTGGATGTTGCATCGAAAGTGAAAGTGACTATTAAGGAATGGATACAGTAATACTGCGTGCTCTTTACTAATTGCACCTGTTCACTCATCGTATTGTGCAGTAAATGAATTGATAGTGATTATTTGAAGGATGCGATTTATGTTTGAGTTGTTCTTTGATCAAATTGTTTCATACATAATGTTTGCGATTACTTATCAGATTTTGGAGTTCTCTTTCAGTTCAGACTGATAATCCGAATAAGAAAGTGCTCATATTGTGCACTGATGCAAAGAAATAATCGTCTGCTTACCACTTCGCTCAGAAGTTTGCTCAAATGTATAACGATTGATTTGTCAAAATGTAATATTATTTTGAATAATACTTTATGTAATCAAGATTGTTTTTTTAATCGTTTTGTTATGTTCATTCCATCTTGATGATCTTATAATTGTTTTTTTNTTTTTTTAAATAGCTTTGAAAAAATTAGAATTCATAGGTAGATTAAAATGTGAAATTAAATGGTAAGTAGTTAGTTGTTTCACGCTGTCAGGCTCATCAGAATTTATATCACTTAACGACAGCTGGAACATGATGATATCTTCGGAGATTTTTTAAAATTATCTGTTGCTTGTTTCATAGACAGATTTTGTTGCTTGTGATATCCTGGAATTGAATTTTTTTGTGATATCCTGGAACTGTGCAAAATTGGACGATCAATCTTTTGATTCCTTCAGGCATTCTTGAGACAGCAAATGCAAATAATCGAGCGTTCTTAGTGAATGTTTTCATTCAAATATTGTCATTAAATGAATTTATTCATGAGTGTATCTCTTACAACTAAAATCAACCACAGAAATTGTTTTGGTTTGATTTGTTGGTGCGCATCGGCATTTGATGAGTTGTTCTGATCGGCTCATCGTTAAAGTGGATCAACCTAGCCGAGCGATCGTTTGATTTGAAAATGTTTGTGTGTAATGAAATTAGCACGAGGACGTCCCATGAGCTTTCCTCCTCGCCCTCGCGACCTTTCAGCGAGGGCAGAATCTCTAAGCAGGCTTTTGAACTAGGATCGCTGCAAACGGAAATTTTCATTTTCACCAGTGCTATTAGTATCTTAAGGTATTGGAAGCAGATCCGAAGTCACCGACGGACAAATTTATTGCCGTCAGCTAAGCATTCAATGATGTCTCTCTGGTGAGCCAACAAACATGTCAAAACAGTCGTTGAGGGCAGATTTGTCATACGTGCATGTGTAATGTACGAAACGTTGTCAACCTGAAATTTCCACCAATCAGTCATTCGTGGTCCATTTTTACAATCTGTGTGCACTATTCAGTGCAGGCTTGGTGTTTCACAATCACATGCATCTCTTGACTGCACAAGAATAAAGTGTTATTGAATTTATAGAAGGCCAACGTGAATGCAAATATAATTTTCAAAAGACATTATTGGTTACAGACAATACACTTGATCGTCGAGTTACCAGTGCAGTCGCACATTACAATCAGTCATTCGGAATGCTTGTTGATCATTTGAATGGATTGTTGAACTCAAACATCGTATTCGTCTGCATTTTGAAGCGCATCGAACTGCATTATACGTTGTTGATTATCCATTAACGTTGTTCTTCTACGTCTCCAATAGATCACCGCTACCGCAATTGCAACCAGGAAGCCCACACTTGTGCCAATCAAACCACCTATTGATATACCGCCTCCAGAAGAGGAATTACCGGCATCAGCTCCTCAAAATAGTCATTAATGATAACACAGCGATAATAACAGAAATATTAGTACTGTTCATAATAATAGTAATATTAATAACAGTGATAATATGGCCATTCATGATCCAGATAACAGAAACTTTAGTGACCTAATTAATGACAGAGCCGTTCATAATAATCATAATAACAGTAACCCTGATAGTGATAAAAGTAGTAATAGCAACAGTGGTAATCATAATAGTAATAGTCTTTTCATAGTCTTTTTCATTCAGTCGAATAAATAGGATAATAATTGTTGTGATAATAATGCATAATTTAGCCTTGCGATACAACCTTCGATAGACGTGCTAACAATAAGCACGTCTATCGAAGTCTTCACTCTTTAAACGTTTTGATCTCAAAAAAAGTCAACTTCAGATTATCTGATGTCTTCACCTTACCTTTGTGTATGTCGGATTTTCCATTCGTTTCTGAGTCACTGTCATCATTTTCGCTATCGAGCGCATCACCCGAATCACTCTCATGTGAAGTTGTATCCTCTTTTTCAGCATCAATCTTCGACTCCTTTTCGTTGCTTTTCTCCATATCCCTTTGTTTCTCATCTTCAGCTTTATGTTTGTTATCTTCATTTTCGTTCTCATCGTCTTCATGTGATGGTAAATCTGGTATATCATGTTCATCGTCTCCGCTGTGCAATGCTAAAAGTGAAAAAAAACGACTGATTTGTGTTTGTGGCTTTTTTAAACATTGACTAAGGTTTCGTGATGGTGTTTACAATGTTCGAAAATGAAAGTGCTGCGGTCTTTTGAGTGCAGGAATGTGAACTGAAATTGTTGTCCTTTTAAAAATTTGCATTCAATTTGAATGAGTGCAACAAGTTGAACCGATGAAAATAAAGACAGCATGATGATCCTATGAAAAGCAGTAATTATTAACTGAGTGTTATCGACATCGTCTCCCAATCGCTTATACTCTCGATGCTAATCCTCGAAACAACAAACGTATTCATCAACAACCATCAACGTAATGTTGTCATAATAAATGAAAAGTAATCTACTATTAACTGACACTTCGAATCGTCCTCTTCTTCATCTTTCCTGATCACTCGAACTGAACAAATGTAATGCAAGTTCTGCCAACATGCTACTTTTTGCCATTTGAAAGCACCTCTTAAGTTCATTTTCACGCATTCAAAATTATCTCGTCCATAAACTTCACTCGGCTCTCCTTTGTCCCAATTCACAAATGTCAACGGTGATAAATCTTTCCATGCAAACGCATCTAAAAATCATTTGTACAATGAATGTTTTTTTACTGTCTTGACTGCAGTCGAGAGAACGAGATTACTTCATTTGCTAACTAGAATTTGTTCGGTCAAAATGGCAAACTGCACAATTCGACATATTTTAACAACCCAGTACCATCGTTCAGAATTGTGCGTTTTCGAATCAAATTCAAAATTTCAATGCTTTCAACAAGTTTCATTGTTTCGATTCTGTTTTAAAATCATTTGTGGCACCAGCGAATTCAGTGACAATTTCTTATACGTATAACCGTGAAAAAGCTACGGTAAACATCTTCCAAAGCTGCTCAGAAGACACCTTTAAAGTTCAAGATTCTATTCGATACCAAGGAACTCTTATCATTTTGACTTTTGCAAATCTTGGTAATTCAATGAAATGACGAGCAATTGCTCAATTAAGATGGTGCCAGAATTCGTCCCGAATTACTCTCACTAAAAATGAACCTTTGTCTCTTTTTATGAGGCCAATAAATGCTGATGGTAGATCGAGCTCCTGATGTATTGAACGTTCCTTGAATTTATCGAAATCTTGCTGCGTTTCAAAACTCGCCAAAGTTGCATTGAAGAACTGAAAAAAGGCAAAAAATCAGGAAAGAAGAACACGCACTGTAAGATATCAATGCAATACGTATTATAATCTTCTTGAATGACTCGCACAAAGATTTTCTTGTCGCATCTGCTAATTAGTTATTATTTCGTTCCATCTTCCTCTCTCAACGAACACCAAATAAAAAAGACCGGAGCCAATTTAAGTTGAATTCAAGAGATCATTCAGTTGTACCACCTTGAAACAGTCATGCTCTGCTTTATAACCAGTACTGATCATAGACGTCTTCGTTACCAAATGATAGCAATGCGTCTCGCCCAATATCCAATCCTCTTTTCCCTTCGGACAACGAACTTCAGGTTCAATTTCAGCAAGTGGTTTTTCTGAAATTTTTGAAGTACAAAATTTAAATAACGAAATCTAAAAAATTTCAAATCATTACAGATTATTACAAAATTTAAATATTTAAAATGTAAAATCACTACAAAAGAATTTCAATCCAAGAATTCCTGACTTTAGTTTTCAAAGAAATACAATCATGAAAGAGAGTGACAAGAGAGATGCTCGTCAACCGAAACGTTGAAACACATAACTTTAGAGGATCAGAAGAAACCTTTGGTGAAGCGACATACGAGTTGTGCTTTGTCTGAACACGGAACCATAAACCACGATGGTCCGGCTTTAGTAAGCTTAGTCATAACGCAATTACCGTTACGTAAATTCGGTTCCCCGCTACTCCAAGGTGCTAGTCGAATTCGACGTGCATCAGTTCGAACGAAACTTGAAATGATCATGTTCCTTTTAATGTATGCACCCGAATTACTGATGCCTTTAAGTGCAATGAAGACAACTGAATTATTGCTATTATCTGTGTTTCATTGCTGCATTTGTTCTTATTGTTAGCATTGTTTCAATACTCGATGAATTATGAGAATAGGAATGCAAAGAAAAATTCTGCACAGTGAATTCACAGGTAAGACAGTTAATATCCTCATAGACCGCAGAATTTGATAAAGAATGTAAAACGTCAGCACTTCATCGCTTTGCATTGCTGAATGCGCAAATATAAAAGCCGTTCTTATTCAACGAATATTACCAAGATCATCCACTAATTTTTCATAAGCAAGGTCAGAATGCTGTGAAGTTTTTGTTGAGGAAGAAATAACTCTTGATACCGAATATCAATTAACAAACCCTGAGGATTCATCGAATCGAACGCCCATATAAAATTGTTGATATCCATTTTGAAGTGCGATTGCACTCATAAATGACCATTCGAAAAGGTCATCAACTTGAGCTGTTTGTCCGTAGTTGTTTTTGGCTGTATTATACGGGCTTTTTTTGGGCAACTCTGAACATATTTTGGCTGCTTCGGTGAAATTGTAATATCCATTTACTGAAAAAATCATCATCAAATCTTTTCAAACATGTCATCAATTATTTGCAATTTTTGGTTCTTACAATTGTAACCGTTCGAAACGGTCATTTCATGATTAGGCAAAAGCGTCGTGGTCTCATGTAGGCAATTTTCTTTGCGTTGTTATCGAATATGTAGTTAAGTGATTCAAAACCACAAAAATAACTCATAATTCAATTTAGTAATATCTTCTGTTGCTTTTAGCTACACATTCAACTCGTCTAAAGAATGAAAATCGAAAATTTCGATCAAAATTGCAAACTAACCATGCTTATTGGGGTCAACTGCTGGAAAGCAATATGTGACAGCACCATTTGAGTAGCAAAATTTGTGTTTCATTTTCTGATCGGATTTTTCTGAATTAAAAATTCTCTGAGATGGAAATTTCTAAATTTCACTCGAAAAAATCATCGTATTTACGGATGCAGGGAACCACGGAAGTTATATATTTAAAGATCAAGATGTTTGTGAACAAGTACCGAAGACGTTATTAAATTTACAGTATCGCATGAAATCATTTTCGAATTTGAAGAAGTGTAAGTAATGAATGACCACCGAGTTATTCACCTGCATATTTTTCACATATATATGGCAACTTCTTGGTACTGCATTGACCATTGCTAACTGTTTTCGTTTTACCAGATTCTGAACGTGACACCTCTGAAGAAGAGCGAAAATGCACAAAAAATGATACAATATCACTGTGCAAGCTTTTTCCGCAGTTTTCTTCAAGTTTTTTTCCGGAAGTTAGCGGATTTCTCATGGATGAGAGACTCGCGTGTAAGTGAGCGAAATGTGAGCATGAGCGATGAGTAAGCAACCGCAAATACACAGTTTCATCATGAGCGATAAATTAGCGAG